AGGTCCGGTTGCTCATAGAGCTTGAGCTATTGGCTCGACGGAGGGTATTTTGGCTAGAAGGGCGCAGACTACCGGCGATACTAGACTGGGAGGCGACAGAGGCGCGCCGCTGGATCATTCTCTTCGTCTGGACATTTTCCACTGGAGTCGGAGTGGGTGTGAGACTCCGTAAGGCAGCAGCAGCGGCGGCAGATGAGAGACTCGATGAGGACGGTTGAGACTTGAGGAAAGCATGGGAGGCGGCAGACTGGGCCGATTGCGCATTAGACGTCGAAAGGGGCTGCTAGAGATAGACATTGGTATTAGTTGTCCATGGTGTTAGACCAGATTACCATATTGTAGACCGACCTGATGATGCGACGCGCTCCTCCGTCTCCGGAACATTTTGGCGGACTAAGACGAAAACCCTAGAACGTGTCGCCGTCAGGCAGACACGCAGGGTTAAGAGTAAGTATTCCGCTCACCCCGGCAAAATGTCTTGTCTGGGACCTTTGAATAAAATGCGACTGTTTTGACGGGTTCTGCTTTGTTGACTGAGAAGAGAGGGATGGAACACAGGGAAATAAAAACCGGTGAGTGGAAGAAGAATTTCGAAGGGTTTGCCAAGCAAGATCTAAAACAAGGTTAAAAAAGAAGCCAATCCCCATGGATTCGCTTTAGTTAATCCGTCACTCAGTGAAAATGATGAAGTCAGTGGTCGAAGGAAGAACCACGAGTACGGAGTAAAAGGGAGGCGGAGAGCAAAAAGAAGAAAGTCTGGAACTTGCGTCATGACGGTGGAGTTGCAAATCGGGCAATCAATACGAAACTAACGGGTTAAGGGTTTAAGGTTGTGTTTTTTTTTGGCCCTGAGTAATTTTAGTTTTGGCTCCTACAGAGTACAGAAACCAACCGCAGGAACCTGAACCTTTTTTATTATTATTGTTGCATGCATTAATCAAACAGTACTAATTGACTCGAGGGAATTAATTTAAACGCTCCGTAAGGGTTGATCTACTTCCTGAAGAATAACGTTTTTATACATCATATGGGATTTTTCTGGAAGGTATTAAATGGGATAACCCCACTACATGTGATACGTACTGTGTACTAAATAGTACCTACGAAAAGAGAGTCTATTTGTAAAAAATTCGGCGCTATTCGATTTCGCTAATAAGGAGAAATTCACTACGGTGTCACTTGGCGACTTGAACAAGAATATATACAATCAGTATTACATTGCTCGAGAAACAAAAAGCCTATGGATGGACTTACTTCATAGCACTGATGTCTGAAGCTCTGAAGATTATAAAGGGTCAATTAGTCTCAATCTAAACTCCCGGGCCAGACACTACGGTTCGCTTGCTGCAGATCGCCCCGGCTGCAACGTGCTTCTTAGCTCAAATGTCGACTAAAACATTATTGATATGGCTTTCAAAGTTCAGTATTCTTCTCCCTTTCTAGAACTAACCTTGGCTCTGAGACCTGGTAAAACAGCTGAACTGACTACTCGTTGGTGCACAGGACGTTAGCGCTTAGGGCGATTGACAGCTGTGGCTGTATTCAAAATACACGGAGGCGGCTTGAGTCGAGGCCCTTAGCCTTTAGGGGTGGAGGTATCTCGGCACTAGCGGTCTTCTACAGCACACTCTCTTGGCCCGTAGATAGTTGGACAAGTAACCAAACAGAAACCACAGTGGGAAAAAATAAAAAGTTTTGATGACAAGGACGGGATTCGAACCCGCGAAGTTTCCCACTGGTGATTGGTGAAGACCTAAAACCAGCGCCATAACCACTCGGCCACCTTGCCAGGGCATAAGAAGGTACATCCGTTTATTACCCTGAGAGGAGAATAGGAATGACCTTGTCAAGATAAAACTACAAGATCCTCTTTAAGTTGGCAAATCGGAGTATTAGCACCGCCTGGCCTTTGACCTACCCTTTGCTACACGTAGACCCACAATGGTATTGTACTAACCGAGACGAGTCTATCGTCCAACACGGTTGTTAAGTCTGTCGGGATCTTTCATCCAGACCAGTTTGGTTCCCATCCAACCAGAAGAGCAATACACACTTGACTTTCATCAATCAAAGTCTAATTATCCAGGTGTAGGTACAGAACATATACTAACTGAAAACTATGCGAGACGTTGCCTAACAACAAGGCGCTGCGGGACAGAGTGGAAGAACACCAGATGAACAAATATATAGTACACTACATGGGTTCAACTAGAAGGGCGGAGGTAGAGAGTTGCTATCTTTATTGGAGGCTTTTTTGAAATAGTGATTACTTGTGCTTGATAACAACCTTTCCTCACGGATGAAACGAATGAAGGACTTGAATTCAGCCCTAGCATTTAATCCTTTCGCAGAGCAGACCGACTCGGAGACAAACAGCTGCTGTATCTATACCAATTTATTTCCCTGACATGGAAGGCAGTCGAGATTTATAGGCTTCGATTGCATCGAAAATTCTGCCCAAGCATCATACAAGTCCATCCGGAATCGTTGATCGGAGACCTGGGCTTCCACATGAAGTCGGAGTACTTCTCCCAAAGACGCCAAATTTCGACCTTGTAAGTCTGAAATCACTTGACATAGTTCCTCTTTGGCTGGCTGAAAACGGAAGCTCTCTGGAAAATATCTTGATGCCTCAACATGACTAGAATCGGCGATGAGGGTGGTCACCCCGCTTAGGGCTGCTTCCAAGGGTGTAACTCCTAGTGTCTCATAGCGAGAGGGACAGATGAAAACCCCATTACCTTTTGCCAGGTGGAACAGAGCGTGAAGTGATGTTCGAGACAATTTAGATCGGAAAGTTGCATACCGAGTGAACTGTCCGGGTACTTTCTTGCTCAGTTTGTGGAGCTCGGTGCTGTCCATATTGGAATCTCCAGCAATGAAGAGTTGCACAAAGATATTTTGAGACCACAGAGCTACTGCTACATCCACGAGGAGATCCACATTCTTGAAGTAATCAACCCTGGCAACTGCTGTGAACAGTGTAATCCCGCCGGTGTTGAACACCTCCGCAATTTCGCTCTCGACATGGTAGTTTGAACTAGCGAGCTGGATGGGAGGACATACCTCCCTGATTTTCGCAGGGTTCACCCCGTAAGACAAGAGAAGCTTTCCCTGTAAGCGTGAATATTGCAGCACGTGTCCGTTCCCCCGATGCTTGAGCAGCTTTATCCCTACATCCTGCTTTCGTGCTAGGTGCTCCGCCTTGTCTGCATCTCCGTACGCGTGCGCTGCCATGGCCTCTGAGAAGATCCCGGAGAAATGCCGATGGAACGGGGCATGATGAGTGACACAGAATGGCAAACCGCGGGGATGGTATTCCAGTAGGGTATCTGTCTGATGATAGAGCATGGGAGTCCCTTTTAAGCCAGAGTTTTCCATGAGCGTACTAGCGGCAAGGGAGATGGCATTCTCCATGCCAGGGGGGTTCATGTTAAAATTGAACGCGAGTATTGCACATAGATTAAAGTTGATAACTTGAATTGTTATGGTTGGTTCATCAATGGTCTCATCCCTTTGGTACAGGATGATGCCACAGAAGATCTCCATACTCTTGAATGCCTGGGCGGCGGACATCGATAATGCCTCAGTTCCCACTGTAGCTGCGGATCCATGTTTATTAGAATAATATCTCTTGTTTAGAACTATAATAGCAGGGAGAAGAAGATTCGAGAACGCGCCGTTAGCGTAAGAATAACGATGTAACCTAGTCTCAGCTGTGGATTGATGCCTTAGATGGTATTCAAGTGAGGAAGACATTTCGAAGCCTTAGTATGTACTTTGTTACTATATATCAATAGGATATGGTGCATATACGGGTAGGTTGTATTATAGTGACCGTTTGAAGCAGGCCCCAACGGGATGGAGCAGACATATACTCAACTTCACAATCTAACTTCGAGTAAGCTTACAAGTTTGCTCTACCATTCGATATTCCTTCCAAGGTTCGAGATACTCGTATTGGCTTAGAACAGGGGAATGGGAAGCATTTACGCAAGGCTAGACATGACGTTAGCAGAGGTGCCACAGTTGACTTTAGGTACATGGTCAATAATGTCCTTGAGCAGCCAGAAACACGGGTGCTTCGCATTGGTAGAGGATGGTTCTAAAGTTATGCCACAATGGCAATCATGGGATCATTTCTAACCAAGTAAGGAGGAACCAATGATTACTTGGTAGGATGGCTGTTTAGTTGAGTTTTCGTACTCTCCGGTTTCAAAGCATAAATAATATACAATGTTATACAAGCATCGCTACTGAGTTTTCAGACACCAGTAGCAAAGCTATTACCAAAATTGGGTCTAATATACTGGATGTAGAACGAGGTTAATGTCGCAAAGAGGTTTCACTTTGTTATATGTCGCAAGCATTTGTTAGGAAGGATAATAGTTTGCCACAAGTTGTATACCGAATTACAGCCAGGACACCATTCTACAAGGATAACTCAGAGCCACAGCAGCCCAAGCCTCTGGCCATCTTACCCCGAATTTTCAGGGGGCCTGATCGGGTTGCTGTCGTATGACAAGCATCCCCATGGATTTGGCCAATGATAACTATCTGTTTAAGCTTACGGTGGTTCCAGATCAGCCATCTCACTAAGTTAAAGGAATTAAAACAAATGAGATAAAAATCAGAAAATACTTCAGTATGGCTACTTCAGTTCATACATAATTAAGTCAGTATGTCGCCGAGTGCGGTCAACGTGTCATCCTACTAGGCAGATGTATGAAGGTGTGTATCTAAGGCCTCATATCGCTGCATTCTAATCTATTTCTTTTCTCATGGAGAATCCCTGACCAGCGATTGAGGGCTTTCTAAGCATGTATTTACTGCCCATAATGGTCTTATTCACTGTAGAATATGACTGGCGGAGTGTGAGTGAGGACTGTGCGACCTACCTGCCTTGAGTTGCCGACTTTCGTTGTACTATAACTTACGCATTTGTTGAAAGAATCCTCAATTTCCTCATAAAATTTCCCCCTAACAACTGCCATTCAGTGATGGCTGACCCCCAGAACGTCCGGGAGCCTCGAAACCGCGAAATAAAGATATTGATTCTTGGGCTAGCCCGCACCGGCACGTCATGTAAGTCGCAAGTCCCTCACCATCCCCTTAAATGCCAAGTTAACCACCACCAAACAGCTCTCACCGCCGCCCTCCAACAACTGGGATACAGTCCCTATGACTGGCCCGACCGATGTATGCTCGGTCACCTCCCTCGGTGGACCGAAGGCCTCCAAGCGAAATACCTAAACCGTGGCCGACCACTTGAAGCTGACGAGATGGACCAACTCACCAGTGGCTTTGACGTACCGCACCCTATTTCTTATCCTTCAGCTTTCTCTACTTATCCCCCTTGGCTTAGCGAAGGAACTCATAGGCAATCATCGATACCCCCTGCTGCCTCCTTGTTGACGAGCTAATCGCCACTTACCCCACTGCGAAGATCATCCTAAACTACCGCGATCCGCACAGATGGCTCAAATCAATGCAAGACACCGTATTCGCCGTCGCACGATGGCCATCTTGGAGAATCCTGGCATACACGGATCCACGCTACGCAGGAGCAATCGTGCAGCATCACATTACTCTGTGGGATGAAATCTGGGGAGGAGACGAAGGAGAGAGATGTCGGGAGATGTTCGTTGAGCACTACAATTATGTACGGAAAGTTGTGCCGCCGGGGCAACTGCTGGAGTATCAAGTGCAGGAAGGATGGGGACCCCTGTGTCGGTTTCTAGAGGTAGAGGAGCCTAAGGAACCATTTCCGGTTGTTCATACGGGGACACAGTTTATGAGGACTGCTGTGAGGGGGTGGTGGGATTGCGTTGGGAGGAGTATTAGGAATGTGGGAGCAGTAGCGGCCTGCGCATGGATTTTGGCATATGGGTTGTTCTGGAACTTGGGATACTTTTGAGGTTGTTAATGAGATGAAATTGAGTCATAGATAAACGTGGGACTTATCCATTTAGATAAAATCAACGGTTCGGTGGGGCAGACTAGCGTAAAAGGCTGTTCACCGAGTCGAGTTGCCGAGTCGATTGACTCTTAGTCTTTTCCTCCGTCTTCAATTGTCCTACTACTTACTCCCCGCACAACTTTAATACCCCATGGATTCGCAGGGTGACCTAAATATCACTCACTTTGATGGTGTGTATCCTGATAGTGAGTATCGAAATAATCTCTTGCGAGAAGGCGGTATCCCTTAACTAGTGTCTGTAGCTCAAGCACCTCACAGTCTCCTGTCAGCTCTGCTGCAGGGGGGCAATACCTATCAGAATTTTGAGACATCTGATGACCACACAGCATCCCTTACTGGATATACGCAACATGCACCACTCGATATCTGCCCTCTCAATGAAGAGGTGGTACTCCCCGAGATGCAGATGAACGAATTTCTGGATGATGGGTCGTCCTACAGTTTTTATGATACCCATGATATTGGAACCTTCAATGCAACAGAGTTTCAGAAGCCGTCATACACTGCTGGCTATGATGGACAATTACAACAGTCACCTAGTGTAACATCTACGCAGAACCTGAGTTTCTTTGAACCCGACATGGCTTCACGAGATTTTGATAGCTTGAATGCCAGTCTACCTTGCAGCAGAAGTAACAGCTACAGCCGATTAACTGGAAGTTCATTATCAACGCCCACGTCCATCTCGTCAGACTGCGGCATGGATCCGATGCAGAGATGGCGCGAGAGCCCTCCAGAAACTGAAGCAGCATCTTTGTCAGCTATAGCGGATGCCTTGCGTACAATGTCTACTAATAGGGCTGTTCATTCGAGCTCAGGCGGAAGAGCGGAATCTGTCGCAAGCCTTCAGAGCGGCACTAGTCGCTCTTCAAGCTCAATTGCATCGACCAGATCGTCGAGATCAGTCAGCCGCCGAAGCCCAGTACCCAAGTTCAGAGGCCGAGTGAGAAAGACACGCAATGATACTGCCGTACAGAAAAGCGATACTCGGATATTTCATTGTACTTTCTGTTGCGACTCATTTAGACGGAAGCATGATTGGACTCGCCACGAAAAATCACTCCACTTGAACGTCGATCAATGGGCTTGTGCCCCATATGGCGGTTCGGTATTGTCCTCGACAGGGAGAACCCACTGTGCTTATTGCAATTTGCTAGATCCGACTGACGATCACCTTGAGAGCCATAACCATAGCGCTTGTCATAGCACTCAAGAACCGCGTTTCTTTAGACGCAAAGACCACCTTGTACAGCACCTTCGAGGGTTTCATAGTCTTAAAGTTTTACCAACCATTGAAGACTGGAAGGTGGAGCCCCCTCTAGTCACCTCTCGGTGTGGTTTCTGCGATGAAAAACTACATTCATGGCAGGCACGTGCCGATCATTTGGCGAGTCATTTCCGGCAAGGCATGACCATGAGCGACTGGAAAGGCGATCATTGCTTTGAGCCATCCATTGCGGCTCAAATTAAGAATGGTTTCCCCCCTTATCTTCTGGCATCTGAAGCTAAAAGCATGGTGCCGTTCTCTGCGACCGACCCGGCGACATTGGATCATTTGTCACAGATCTATCAACGGAATGGAGAGATATACTCAGAACAGCAATTGGATGCAGTTGACTCCGAGGGCGATCCGTTATTCGACCTCACACCTACATCATATTTGAGATGGGTGACTTTCCGCCTAGGGCGTTTCGCACAACAAAGTATCGCAAATGGCATATTTCCTACCGATAAGATGTTCCAAGATGAATCTAGGCGGCTGGTATACGGAGATAAAGATGCATGGGAGCAAACAGTAGCGGATAATATCGAGTGGTTGACAGCCTTTCGGAGACAGTGCCTTCCCACATATTTGAATGGTAAATGATTGACGCTCTCCAGTGCAGCTCTAAGGACTTTTATACTTAGCTTTCGCTTTCCAATTAGTCTAGAGAATCACCGTTTGTCCGAACGAATATCTTTTGTACGCGATATGAGCGCCTCCCAGAAACGGTTGGATTTCCACAGTAACTCAGTGGGGGCTTAAAATATCTTATTGGCCAGGTTATTCGGTTCAAGGCACGACCAAATGCCTAAGGTATTTTGGTCGAGCGGTACAACGCTCAACCTATCCTGCACGGTTGCGCCCTCTTAAACGTATGTACATCGCTCTTCCATTGTATGGGTAAGAGAAAACCGAGAGGCCAAGGTGGGGCAGCTCAAGCTTACTCTAATACAGACTTGTTGGTTATTTGCTGAAAACGGGCTGAGTGGATACTGATAAGCCAGCCTTAGGGCGCATTCTCCACTAAACCGCGCCCTAAGGCCCATCTCGTGCCGGACTTGGTACTGGTTCTTCACCGACTTCATCAGGTATCCCAGTTTCGAATTGTGAGCTAACAACACAGTATAAGCCGTATAAATATCCCCCGACCCTCGGGAAAGGGCCCCTTAAATATGTTTGAGCTGGTTTCTGAGCCAACAATCCGACGATAGAAGCGCCCCTACGGACGAGCTCCGACCGACGCCGTAATGGACCACTCTGCAACTCAATCGGCTTGTACAGGAATTTCTGAAAAACGGAGACTTCTAAACGAGATTTACGAAAGAAGAGTCAAAGCTGGTAAGCTTGTCGCTGGTGTGGCTGCTAAAGCCAACAGTGACATGTTCAAGGCTACGGTGAGACCACCCACTCAAGCTTCCTTTAACATTCTCTAACACGAAAACTAGGGAGCCGGAAAACCGAAAGCTAAACGCTGGGACTGTGAGACCCTAATTCATAGAAATACCACTTGATCATGAATACCTTCAGTTGCTGATTGGATTCTCCAGCTCATTTTAGCTCGGAATGCAAGTCACGACTGCCTTGTGTGCTTCAACAAACCGCTGGCTACCTCAAAAACCCGGGCCTGATTTCTCTCGGGGGTGGACTCCCCTCTAGCGAATACTTTCCGTTATATGAATGCACACTTCGTGTGCCCAAACCGCCACACTTTTCTGAGAAAGATTCATTATCGCCCCACAGTCCTACAGCCCAGACTGTCAGCATTGGTAAATACGACGTTAATAATGAGCTCTCAGAGTATGACCTCTCTATCGCGCTGAACTATGGGCAGTCAACGGGCTCACCCCAGATGACACGCTTCATTACCGAGCACACCGAGCTAGTCTTCAACCCGCCCTATGCCGACTGGAAAATCTGTCTGACGGTTGGAAGCACGAGTGCCCTTGAGCAAACGGTCCGCATGCTTTGCGACCGTGGACGGAGTGACTCCATCCTTACAGAAGAATATACCTTCTCCAGCGCACTTGAAACCTTCGCACCCCAGGGCATTAAAGCCTTTGGCGTCAAAATGGACGAAGAAGGACTCTTACCGGAGAGTATGGATGACCTCCTCAGTTCTTGGGATGAAAAGGTCCGTGGCGCCCGAAAGCCACACGTCCTATATACTGTTCCCTCGGGACAGAACCCGACGGGCGCGACCCAAAGTCTCAAGCGACGTCGCGAAATCTATGCAATCTGCCAGAAGCATGACATCTACATCATCGAAGATGAACCTTACTACTTCATTCAAATGCCTCCCTACCAAGGCAAGGGCACCCCTGCACAAAAGTCTCCCGAAGATATTGAATCTTTTCTGACCGGGCTTGTCCCCTCGTATCTGAGCCTTGACGTCGACGGCCGAGTACTGCGTATGGATTCTTTCTCCAAAGTACTCATGCCAGGATCGAGATTGGGATGGATTACAGCCAGTACACAAGTAGTCGAGCGATATAGTAACCACGCTGAGGTCGCCAATCATGGCCCAAGTGGGATCTCACAACTCATGCTCTGGAAGCTGCTTGATGAGACCTGGGGGCATGAAGGATATTTGAAATGGCTGATGGATCTGAAAAACAACTATACCAGAAGGAGGGATATGCTGCTTGCCGCTTGCGAGCAGTTTTTGCCCAAAGCCATTGTTACTTGGACGCCGCCCGCAGCGGGCATGTTTGTAAGTTTTTCTTTATCTCTTTGGCTGAAGGATGACAATTACTCGTTCATATAAATTCCCTGAACATTAACTGACGCACTACTACAGCTCTGGCTCAACGTTGACCATTCAAAACACCCAGAATACCCCCATCGCTCCATTGAAGAGCTCGAGGAAGAAATCTTCCTTCAAGGTATTAGCAATGGCGTGCTCTGCACTCGCGGCGCCTGGTTCCGCACTGAACCAAACACACCTGCGAGTGGGATGTTCTTCCGTACAACATTTGCAAGCGCCAGTGAGGAAGCAATGGGCACCGCTATTCAGCGATTGGGTCAGGCGATCCGCCAGTCATATCGAATCAAGTAAATGCAATGCCGTGTGTACAAGTGACGATAGACGATGCCACCCCTGGCCACAAATTAGCAAGGCTATATTGGCTATATCAAAATAAGGCCCGTATGGCACCTAGCAATAGAAGATGACATAATATAACTATGGGGTCCTGATTCTTCGGGATTCATACAAAACCACGTTATACTATTATAAATAGAGAAGACAGTTTATACATTGAGGTAATAGAGTATTCGAAGCCGCCTTACTAAAACAATAGAGACTGAGCCTTCAGAAGTGTAAAAAAATGAGTGACCGAGAAGAATTGGTTGAAAAGTTTTTTCTTGGAAGCTATCAGTAGGAACATAAAGGCCTTTGAACAGAATAGCTCATGCAAATGCTCTCAAGGCTTTATAAGGTGCTTCAAAGAACAAAGGACGAAGAATGTAAGAAATAAAGAAGTTAAACGGCGCGTAGAACGCTATAACTTTACACTATTGCTGTCAAACAAAGCAATACCCCAAGAATGCACAGTACGTACCAATCAAAGCTCAGGAATCTCCAGAGAACAGTGCCAACAGGTATATCATTTTTTGGTATACATCTCAATTTAGCCTCATCATTCTATCACATGGAACCTTCCATAAGGGTTATCATAAGCACTAATGCTTAGTACCAACTAGATTACAAGGGTCAGGAATTGTAACAGCGGGAAGCCAGAACAGGACGGGAGGGTCCTATCGGCGCAATGGATGAAGCATATCAAGGAGCCGGTGGATAACCAAGCGGCCTGCGAAGTCTCATTTATAGTTAGGTATATCAATAGATGCCACTTCTATAGTATGTGGAGTTAGTCCTTCGGGGGATTTGTTCTTATATCAACTTATTTATTTTATCTACCTTATAATATTATACACAGACTGTTATGTCCTACTTCGTGACGTCATTCGTCCATATCCACAACACCCCCGGGGATGAATCGCAGCTTCTGAGCATTATTTACAGAGCAGTACCGAGGGGCGTCTGATGAACAGGAATCTAGTTCTTTAGGCTTCACATAGAAACCCAAGTGTTTTATGATGTCATAGATGGAGCACGACATATCTATACATGATTATCGTATCCTCAACTACTACCGAGGTCACAGAAACTATAGGAATTAAGTTTCTTACAAATGCATAGTGACCTTCAGGGGAGAATAATCAGTCCAACTAATCCACAGCAACAACAACCCCGTTCATCCGACATCTACATGTGACATTTATCTACCGACACTACCCCCCCATCGGGTAATCAATGTGGCTGATCTACACAACACCTCTAACACATTTGGAATCCTAAGTATAAAACAACTAATACACCTCACACCCCCCATATCAAAACACCCCCAACGCCCACCCCCAAAACAAACCACACCAAAACCACAGAAAAAGAAGAAGAAGAAAAAATGAGCAACCCCCTCCCCCTCCCAGAGGGAATAACCACCCGCCTAATCCCCACAAAAACCCTAACCTTCCACATCCTCGAATCCAACCCGGACCCCAGCACTCCCCGCCCCCTCCTCCTCCTACTACACGGCTTCCCCGAACTCGCCTTCTCCTGGCGCAAAGTCATCCCCCCACTAGCTGCAGCAGGTTACCACGTCGTAGCCCCGGACCAGCGCGGCTTCGGCCGCACAACAGGCTGGGACACACGACCCTTCTCGGAGGTCGATCTGCACACATTCACGCTCACCAGCTTCGTCCGGGACATGGTGACCCTCGTACATGCACTGGGGTATCGATCTGTGCAATGCGTGGTCGGACATGACCTCGGGGCCGTCACGGCGGCGATGTGTGCACTTGTACGGCCAGATTTCTTTAAGAGTGTTGTGTTACTGAGTCATCCGTTTAATGGGAGTCCTGTTTTGCCATTTGGAACTGCTGATGGCTCCTCCTCCTCTTCTTCTTCTGGAGAGGGGGAGGAGAAGGGTGGAGGAGGGACGGAGTCTGCAGCGGGGAACCATGTACATGGAGAGCTTGCGGCGCGGGGTAGGAAGCATTATAAGTGGTATTATTCGACTGAGCCTGCGAATGAGGATATGGTGGAGCCTGTGGCTGGGCTTGGGGAGTTTCTGCGTGGGTACTTTTATCTGAAGAGTGGGAGTTGGGATGGGAATAGGCCGTTTCCGTTAGAGGGGTGGACGGCGGAGGAGTTGGTGAAGTTGCCTTATTATTATGTTATGCCATTGGAAGCCGATATGCGGGAGGCTGTACAGAGGCATATGGAGTCGGAGTCGGAGGTGGCGGTTGCGGCTTCGAAGGCGTGGTTGTCTGATGAGGAGTTGGCAGTTTATGTGGGTGAGTATGCGAGGACGGGGTTTCAGGGTGGGTTGAATTGGTATCGCGTGCGGACAGCTGCTGGGGGGAGATATACCGGGGATTTTGATGTGTATGCTGGCCGGAAGATTGAGGTGCCGGCGGCTTTTGTGTCGGGGAAGTTGGATTGGGGGATTTATCAGGAGCCTGGGGCTTTGGAGAAGATGGTGGATGGGAGGGTTTGTTCGGATTTTAGGGTGTTGAGGTTGGTGGATGGGGTTGGGCATTGGGCGCCTCAGGAATGTCCGGAGATTGTGGTGGAGATTATTCTGGAGTTGTTACGGGGGCTGTAGGTGATTCTCTACCCTATGTAAGTGCCGGGGTGGTGGCTTGCCTAGTTGATGATAGAAGGTAGAAGCTAGATAAGAGTAATATGAAGTTTTACATTGATTAACTCCGTCATGCCAGATACTATATACTAAACTGGTTTCCAGACATCCGTAAAAAAAAAGGTAACTATATTGGGTATGTACGAGTGAAGTCAATGTAACAAGCATGCACAATTAGAGGATGGAAGATAAACATAAGCATTTACATCATCATAACGCCCATCACAGCCGCTAATACCGCAGGTAGTAAGGTCGTAAACGTCCCTCTTGTTGCTTCATGTGCAACAGCATCCGACGTCAGCGACGTTGCAGCGAAGATCTGTGAGAAGCTGATATGACTCGAGTTGAAGCAGTTATCGCGGGTGACCTCGGTGACGTCTTCGGGTTCCGCGAATTCGATGTCCACGCACTGCGACATATCAGCACATATCTATGAATAAGACCCAAGGCATATATAACATACATTGTACAAGGCGGCGCCATGTTTAGCCGTCTCGACGAGTTGAATCGTAGCATGATCGCCTGGACTCACACTGATGTTGGCCGGTAACGGGACCTGTGGCAAGCAAACTGTGCCTGGGTACGGCTCATTGGAAGGGCCATTAATCTGAAAAGGTGGGATCATGGGATGGCTCATATTCTCGGGTACTGTGCCAATGCCCAAGTTGATGTAGATGAATGCTGTGGCGTGACCCTGGAACCAGCCAGGTTGGAAAGAGATCGCACCGCCGCCGACAGGCCACTTGGTTCGGTTCGTTGATGTGGGCATACCTCCGCCTGTGGGATAAGCGATTGTTAACAGAATAACTTATTTGGGCTATTGTTGGGTCATCGTACAAGGATAGATCCATTGTTGTCCATAGGGGTATATTAAGGAGCTGTTGTCTGTTGCGTTGGGGCTCATAGCCACCCCGAGACCGTTGGCTTCCTCGACGGTGCCGTTTGTATGTAAGTTGTTCCCTCTATAGCCCGGATAAACGATGACCGTGTGGGCATTTGCCAAGCCCAGACACATAAAGAGGAAGGCCATCCATTGCGATCGTGATGATTGGAATGTCCTCATGGTATACAGTATGAGGCTCGACAGAGATGTCGATTTAGAAAGGGAAGAAAAAAAAAAGTAAAGGTGAAAGCGACAACGACAGAGCGCAGAGATACAAAACTCTCTTGAACCCTCTCGACTTAGAAACACATCCGATATTCAAGCCAACGCGACGTCAACCAATATGCGACCAGTTTAATCGTTTAACACGATCATCATCGAAACAAGCTTCCAGCAACTTAAGGAAGATGGGCGGGTAGACAAGACTTTTTGAGGGGCACAAAGCATGGTCTTAATCCTGCAAACGCGCTCGCCTCCAGACCCAGTGGGGAGGAGATGATCATGTTGGACGAGTGAGGTGGGCGAGGAGATGTGATCCAACCCGCAGATGGGGGAGTGCAACACAAAACTCTGTGAAAACCTTTGACAGCTGCAGCATGGCATTGGATGTGCGCGAGAGGAGTAAACAGTTGATCAGCGCCTGGGATTGGACCGACCCAGAGCTCCGAGACGCTCACTGCAGGCGGCATCACTTTCGGCAGCGTGATTCGCCGTCTCATTCGTGGAAAGCCTGTCCTGCAAGCGCCCCTAATCGGACGCTAACAAAGGCACATCACTGCCGCTATCCAAAGGCTGGGCGCTTACAGAGATCATCCGAGAAATGAAAACCCCTGATGGGGTGTTTGACAGAATAGCATAGTGTAAGTAGCATCGGAAATAGGCAATGCTGTCAATATTGAATCGTTGACATTTACCTCAAGATACAATCTGGAAGATAAACCATATAGAAGACTGATTTGTTTGGTTTGTTCGCGATGCAAACCCAAATCCCCCGATAAGATAACGAAAATCCCACTCTTGACCGCCCGCATCGCGATCAATCGCACCACCACCACCACCACCACCATGCTCTCAATTTCAACACCTACCCGAAATCCCCGTTAAAATCCCTGCAATAATGCCCCACAGCAACCGCAAGAGAAACCTCAATCACCATAAGCGTCTCCAAGTCACCGACTCCAGCGGCTGGACGCACGTCACCACGGGCGGAAAAAGCGCCCATCGAGCTCTGCGTACCACCCAACAGCACCATGACAACCCAGAACAGGGCGAACAACCCCAGATCCTTGTCCCCGCCGAAGCGCCGGCGCAGTTGAATTTGGAGAATCTCCAAGCACAGTTCCGGGGCTATCGGCAACGATGGGAGGGGTCAGAGAGTTGGAGGGTGGTCGAGAGCGCATTATCGTCTGCGACGGTGAAAGTGGATCGCATTGTCTGTATTGGATTGGGAAGTCCAAGCGGGTTTCTGAAGGGTGGTTGGGTGGATAGGAGGAATGTGTCAATGTACCAGCTCGCCGGGTTAGTGAGTGTTGTGGATTTGATGAGTGAGTCTTACGTTCTCGATCTTCCTATGCTTCTACAGGCGGGTAAATAATTTACATGCTGACAATACCTGATTAGAAAAATCAATCCCGAATCTCGAAGTCTTTGCTCAGGACCCCGTTTTCAATACCCATGACAGATCCCTGCTCGCTTCTCTTGACATTACCGTTCTCGACCATCCCCATGGCTTTGAAAAAGTCTCCCCTAGCGCTCTCCTCTATTGTCCCGGCGCGGAACGGACGCACCTGGAACAACTGCTTTCTCACGCGCCTGCGCTGGTTTTCGGTGGCCCGTTAGAAGATATCGAGTCGGAGGCTGTGAAGCAGTTCGTGTTATCAAGGATGTCCGGGAGGATTCCGCGGTTCGAGGACATGGAACATGCTTTCTGGAATATGAGAGTATACTCGCCTGGGAAAGGTGAGCAATAAATGAGAAGCCGACATATTATTAACATTCACTGTAAATACCTTTGTAAGATATGATTCATGACTTTCGTCTAGACTAACTGAATAGGAGTAGAATGCTACTGCCAAGAAACTCTATCAACGAACATATGGATGCTGAATTGAAAGTAGTATTTGCAAAAGTCTGAATCACCCCATCAACGTCGAGTGTTCAGAAGATATATACACAGTGACACTCTTCCATCAACCATCCAGCTATGCATGTGCAACATAGAAAGACTCTCAATAGTTCACACAAAAAGAAGATACCAGAAACGCATCAATCGAACATTTCAACCATCCATTAAATTACAAACCAAAGAGCAGAATATAACACCGAAGCGTATCCTTGCAAAGCCTATACTGCATCGTGAAAAGGAATGTGGTCGTTATCATAAAGGAGAGGAAGGAAAGACGGGGTAGAGAGGGAAGGGTGTCGTGAGAATCGTAGGAAAGATCATGAGGTGCGACATAATCAATGGAACCATTAATTATGCGGCTGTCTTGCCACCACAATCAGGAATTTTGAGCCCTGGCTTCAACTTGCGCGCGGCATCCATAAGACCCCATTTATCTTCCCAATTCTCATCCTTGGTGTTATACTGGATCTTCCACGGCTCATCGAACGCCTCGAACCTAAGAACCTGTTAGAATATGGTCCATCTGAATTTAAACGGGGGCATACCAAAAGTAATCTGTGCCATTCTCCAATGCTTGGCAAATCCAATCCGACATAAATTGGTTCATTTCATCGATGCCAGCCACGGAGCCAGATTTATCGTCCGTACACTTATTGTTCGAACCACAATCGTTACCTCCACCACTTGGCCACCCTACCTCAGATATGACTTGCTTCTTATTTGTGCCCTTCGTTAGCGGGACGTCGTTTTCGTTCCAGAAATTCCAGGTCCAGCTGGCAGCTTCCTTAGCTGTAACACCCGCAAAGAATGGGTGCACGTTAGACATCACTAGATCTGTGGCCGTGACAAGATCTTCCTTCCAGTTGTCACCAAGGTCGGATGTCGCTATGGGGAGGTCATAGTTTTTCTCTTTGAAGTGATTCCTCACATCATCCATATACGAGATCAGCTTCTTCTTCGCACTTGCGATATCATTGCCCGCCCGATACAGTGCTTCGTTACCGACAATGGCTCCCTTGAAAACGGATATATCTTTCGTACCGTCCAGGACCTTGTACAGTTGCTTGATTTGCCGATCATTTGTCGTGTCGTTCGAGTCGATCCACACTCCTAGCCAGACCTTCATGTCCTTCAGTTCTAGTCTGTCAATAGCATGTAAGACCATTTCTGTTTGATTGCAATCAGTGCCGTAGAGCCGGACAGTGTTGGTCAATTGTGAGAGCACCGCCACATCACGCGTGACGTTGTTTTGCGAAGGTGGGTATTTAAGACAGAGCGGATATTGGACGCCCCAGGGAGTATAATCCATGCCCGGAAATACCTTATGGAGGTCGGGATTGTTCATTAAATCTTTGATTTCCGAGGAATCTTTAGTGAGGTCGCCATTCGATTCGGTATCGCTGGATGCCGATTTTGTAGTATCGGGGTTTTCATTCTCTCGATTTCCTAGAGTACCACCGACAGCACCGCCAACAATCGCCCCGACCACAATGAACGCCAAGGCGAGGCCTACAATCCACCCACGTTTGCGACTTCCTCCCCCAGGTGTAGGTTTGGTCCATCCGCTCTTTTCTCCGGCCTCCAAGCCTGCTCCGGGCACAGGCCCATAGGATGGATTGTCGGCTTTCTTCGACTTGAAGAAGCCAAATAGCCCACCTGCGGCGGCTCCCCCAGCAGCGGCGGCTGGAACTGCCCTCGCACTTTGACTCGCAGACTTGCCATTCGGGGCAGGCGTGAAGCCATCATCCCCATCATCGGCGATCTCATCAGGGTTTATGACGAGGGGATAGTCCCCCGCGGCGCTGTAGGCCGATTGTCGTTGATATGGGCCTGCATCCATAGCCCCCACACCCTGATACGGGCTATCAAATAAACTACGTTGGGATGGGTTAGAGCCACCGGGAGTCAGTTGGCCTGCGGGAGCAGCGGCGGCACCTAATGCGACGTTCGAACCGTAAGAATCTCGGGGCCGCAGGTTATCGGTGCTTTCGTGCGATCCGCCGCCTGGGGGAGTTGGAACGTAAGGGTTGTCGGATCCGGTAGTGTTATAGCCTCGTTCAGCAGGCATATTGCGTCCGTCTGTATCCCTAAAAGCGTCAATTCCACTCTGACGGTTATGGGAGTTTGCAACGCCAAGGGCGATACCGCTGATACCACCGCCCACAGCGGCAGGGCCAAGATTGTCCATTCCTGGCGTCGTTGAATTGGTGCGCATCGTTTGCGTGTGCCCCGAATGCTGAACCCAACCCCGATCGCCGTGTTCGTGCGCCGACAGAAAGCCGCTGGAAGGCGAGCTTCCCATCGCCTGGCTTCTGGCAGAAACCGGGGACACATCGTTGTGCCGTGGAGGGCTGTTCATGAAATGTCCTTCTTGAGAACGGATTGGTGAAACATCTCCTGCGTCTCCCGCACCGTCATCACCTTGGTTGAAGCTGAATGACCGGTGGGGACCGGACATCGTTATGGGAAATAAGCGGTAGTGGTGATTTAAATCGTGTATTTAACGGTTGTTGTTAAGTTTTAGACCAAAATTCCCGAAAACCATAAGATCTAGGCCGAAACTGAGAAAATACCCAATATTAAGGCTCCCGAAGGATGGATGAAGTGAAACAGGGAAGTAAACGAGCAAGCAAGGAGCCGAATCAGGCGAGGACAGCGCAGAGGCAGTAGTGGGTTGATCGATGGAGAAATAGAAGGCCCTGAAAGTACCGGATCAGCGGGCAGGGACAGAGTCTCGAACCACGGTTCCCGAGCCGACCCAGACGAGTGTCTGGATCATCCACGAATCGAAACGGGACCTGTGTCAAATTGAGTATGCTGAACACTTTCAAATCAGAGGCACAATAGAGCACCAAAGAGGGGACATACTGGAAGACAATCTGACAATGTCACCAAATTAAACGTGACGGGATGTGAGGGGGGGGGGGGGGGCACAGCCCATCAGCGGGAAGTATGTATGAAAGTAGGTATGTAGATCGCACGACAGGAAACTGGGGAGAAGGGGGAAGAAGAGAGAACGATGGAGAACAAGGCCCGCCAAAGATTGAACAAGAAAAAGGAAAAGGAAGAGAAGAGCAAGTCGGCCGTCAAATGTCTACTTGATACTAGACAAGACAAAAGAAGAAGAAAGAGGCCGACTGCATGCGGAAGATAGACGCAAAGTTGAGTGGCGGCTGGTGACCCTGACAACCATTACCATACGTACATGTACAGGGTCCAAGGGTCCAATCCTGTCCCGGAGGAGACCAAAAATACCTCCACTCCCACGTTACCTCGTCTAGACTAGTCCTTTTCCAGCCTTCTCCCCATCTTTTTTTGCGAGATCTGTCAATGTCCGGTTCCATTCCAACTTATCACCCAACCCTGAATGCGGCCTCTGTTACAGCACAACTTCTAGAATATTATGGCTGAACATGATAAATCAGTATCCTACTCTAACACCTCCACACTGGTCAAATCTATCAAGTACTACCCTCTCCAGTCGACCGCTCCCGGACATGCACACGTAAGCTTTACACAGTATGCGCACATGCCTCGGTTTGTGTCTCAGAAGCCATGATCACTGTATGACCTGCCCTCTCGTGGTGCAGAGCTTATATGAATTTAATGACATTATTCAAGCTTGGACTGCATCAACGACCCTCGTAGTATTTACAATTCTTCGGGATCTTATTTTCTCTTATTCTGTTCTCTTTTTTTTTTTTCTCTTTTTTTCCCTTACTTTCCATTGGCCCCCACTCCCTTCGCATAATTGTTCTCATTTAGACTCAATCAAAAAAATCGAAAACATTCTGATGTCTCGGGATTGCGTTCCCGTCGCATTCCGTCCCGTCCTCTGTCCGAACTTTAATCAGAGATCTATAAATATTCATTCGGATGAAGGAAGTCGGGAACATCAATTATTAGGAAGGTTTGGCGATCATATTTAGAAAACGAAGGGCAAAAAAAGAAAAAGAAAAAAAAAAGCGAGAGAGAAAAGAAAAAGAATCACGAAAACGTGCATCCCATTCGTTCATGGTACATGCAATAATTCATTGACAACATACGGAGTACATAATATCCATATCACATAAAGAAATCATTTTTCCGTCCCAAATCCCGTCATAATCATATCTTCCTGCTGGCATAGTCATTACGGTCATAACAGTGTGTCATGCAAGACAGAAAGGAATATAAAGAAGAATAAGAAGAAAGGGAAAGAAAAGAAAACATGTCCCACCCCCAAACACCACAACCCCATAAACAAGCTATAAACCCCCGTATTTCCGGCTCTGGAGACACCCATGATCTCTAAATAATGGGTATAGTGACCATGTTTCATACCCCAGGTTCACTGCCGGATTGAAGCACGGACTTCATAAAAGTACTGTAAGTAATGATTGCAGAAAAGACGTCAGAGAATCGGTTTCGGCACGACGATCGACGACAGTCTCTATCGATCTAGGTTTCCTAAGCCTCAACTTCCTCTGCGCTGCGTCGGGATGCAGAGTATGTATTTGCCCCACTGACCCGGCCTAGAGGAGCTGTTGGTCGTCTTTTCCGCTCGAGAAATCTTCGTTTTCCGGCTCGGGTCTCGAAGTGTCGGGGAATTGCAGTCGGTTCCTGGCCCGCAGCCAGCATAGTACTGCGCATTTTGTTTCGATACGCGTCAACTATTTCCAGGAAATTGGTTAGTCTCTGCTGTCATTCCAATTCCTCCTTTGAAACTCGTGGTAAGGGAGCCACGTCGATGACACGGGTGTGGGCGATGGACAGTTTCCCGATCCGTCGACGCCACATGTAAGGGATGAAAAGGTGTATGGGGAATTACGCACGAGAACGCTGTAGGAACAGCATGCGCCCAGCGAAGACACGACTTTGGCTCCAACTCATTCGATAACCCAGGTCGTTCAATAAGACTTCCTTATTTCGACGTGCTCGAGACAGTTTTGGAACAGCAATTTCACTCTCCCCTTCGACACTGGGGGCTGGGACCAGAATGCGCCCGACAGTTGGGGTTTCCTCATCATCCTCGTCATTCTCGTCCTTGATGTATCTTCTTCCAGGAATGACTCGGCCGGGAGGGTTCTTCATTTGAATGGGAAAGTATGTTCGAGGGTAGACGGAGTTCGACATTCGGTATGAGTCGGGGATCTCATTCATGTCCACCTGATCCAACATAACTTTGACACGAACGCGGCAACCCCGCTGATTATCGTCGACGAGTATAAACTTGCGGCGTTTGCCCTCAGGAAATACGCCGAACAACGCATCATTGCTTGGGTTGCGCTCATCATCGTCGTTGCCGTCATCATCTTCGACTTCCTCTATCTTGCTTGAAGACGTAGCAACAGCCGGGTGCCGCCCAAGGGCGGCGATTCCACTATCCCGAATGAGAGGGGGTATTGAAGGGCCCCTAGCACCCCCTGAAGGAGGTGGAAAGGCAGGGAAGCCGTGAAATACCTGGGCAGTGCGAATCTCCGTTGGTGAATGTCCAGGAGTCGGATGACCGTCCGGAGCAGGTGGACGATTGGTACCATTCCCAAAATCAGCGGTACCTGTATTATGAACAGACCAGGTTGTATATTAGCCTACACTGAAATGCATATTGTGGATCGTGATTCAGGGCGTCGAGGGTACAGCGTCGATGGTAAAATAACAAACACGAAAGGGTATGGGTAAAACAGTAGAAAGACGAAGGCCACTCCAGACACAATACAAATACATAGGGTACAATATCCACCACTTCACAAGACCTCCTCTGTTCAAACATGGTATCCTTCCGCACGGTGTTATGAAAATATAGATGGATGGTACATGATATTAAGATAAGACCGCCGTTTAATCAATCTTGAGGATGGTGGCGAAAACAAATCATACGTGGTGGAACATACCGCTTACTTCCTCATTACTCGTATTTCCCTCAGGTTGAGCATGGTGGTGATGCAGTTGCGGAGGGCCCATGGCTAGAGGACCCAATGACGGGCGTGGACCGGGAGCTGTCAGACTCGCACCGGGAACACCGGGTGCAACAGGTGTAGCAGTGGCCATGTGAGAAGGCGGCTGTGCTGGGAGCCCTTGCCGTCTATTCATCTTGGCCATCCTTCTCACACGCCTGCTTCGAAGTCGGGGATCTTGATTGCTATTTCTCCAGCTGTCAACTGCACGTTGGATCAACCCCCGTTTTCCCCTCAATGCCGGGTTAAGCTCTGCCAAAGCCCATCCAACAGCATTACATTCTGTTTCGTAGACTAGTCTGTTACCTCTGTATTGGTCCTTACTGCAGCAGGCTCGAGGATAGACACAATTCTCCGTCTTGAACTCCTGGCTTAGGCTATCCACGTTAACGGATTCAACATCACAACGGATGGTATATTCCATCTTCACACGGTCCCGAGAGTACTCAAAAGCAATCCACTGGACTCCGTTGCTGTCCTGGCGTACGACCAATGGGGTGGTGGCTGGAATGGGGCCTGGTGCAGCGCTAGTACTTGCTCCGATAGCTGAGCTGTGATGATGATGCACACCGCTTGGAGGGATTGGGGCACTAGTCGCTGCAGGAAGTGGTGGGTTCAAAACTGTCCGTTGTGGAGGTGTCGGCTGTTGCTGAGCCGTAACTGTGCTGGGGCTAGTCGCCATGGTGACAGCTGGTGCTTGGGTATGGGGTATAGGCGCAGAACTGGTCTGGTGAGGCAATATCATCGACTGCGACGTAAGAGGGTGCTGTGATGAGTGTGCGTACGGTGAAGGCTGCACAGGGTTTATAGGAGAATATGGTGGGTAGCCATACATCTGCGATGCCATCTGTGGCGATTGGCCGTAGAGATTCCGGCTGTGCTGCTCATGTGACTGAGAAGTTACTGATGCCGGAGAACCGGACTGTGGTGTTTGGTAGATTGGAGGGTAAGGCCGCTGCATCTGGGTTGCTGTTGCCATCATTTCAGGTGGTCCTAGCAACGAGTTAGTGACGAAAGAAAATGGCCCGAATGGAATTCCTGAAACGGTTGGTCACTCGATTGTGCTCTAGCTTCAGGAACTATAAGGCCGGCTATGCCTGTAGAGGATATAGAGTGTCCATAAGGGCTTCTAACTCACCACTTGAGGGATACTGTGCTGGTGCACTTGCTGCTGTATATGGAGGATGGGATGCGTAATACGCTGGCTCTTGTGTGGGTGGTCCGTACGGGTTCTGATGGTGCAGAATTCCGCTTCCCAGGGTGTGGGGGCCGTATGATCCAGAAGATAGACTTGCGCTGGGCTGAAGAGGCGAATTGGGGTGCTTTTGCTGTTGGACAAGACTCGCTGGCCTTGGATGTTGAAGTTGAAGATGTGGTGGGCCTTGATGCCCTGAGTGTCGAAACTAGACACAGACCTAGTTAGCACTTGTCTATAGCCTGCTATTCTAGGAAAGACTATTGGAACAAAGTCTCCATGGTTAAGCAGAGAAGGGCAGCAGATTGCGATATGAGATTGCACGCTCTGATTAACTGGGTTGACTCATTTTGTGTTGGCAATGATCCTTGAAGGTCTGGATGTAGGGGGGCTCCACAGAGCCAAGTTCATAGCATTGCAAGATGTTGCAGATAGCTTGGTTCCAATGGTGGATCTATGCATCAAAGATAGAAGTAAATCGGTGAAGCATTTCACTCGACATCACCACTGAATTCAATAGGGAAGGAGACACCAAATTCCCTTTCCTGTTTTCCTGTACTCTCCATAGAGAGTTATCCAAGAGTTCACTGAGCAGCTCAGCACAAACTTGATGCCAAACACGTTGCATGAACGCGTATGCCACATTGATGGGAGGGTCACCAACAAATGGTCTTGGCGAGGCCAAACAACGCAGTATCTCAATGCCTGGGGTCAGGTATAACAGCAGAACGTATTCAGGTTCCTCATAGCTCGGTGATACAGAAAGTGGTTCATGCTGGGGCTTGTGGTTTGCGAAGGCATCCACATTCGACTTCAGGGGTGAATTCAACTCCGGACGTAGTCAAGATACTAATTGAAACAAAATAGCAAAGGGAGCAGGTGGCCCATGGTTCTGCCTCAGGTTATAGGCAAGCATACCCATGGATGGAGCTCTCTGAGTGATCGTGACAGGGAAGATAAGTGGTAGAACTGACGACGGTTCTTGAGTACAGGCCCAAGAGTCCAGGATCTTTAGCTTATTGCCGAGTTTCTCTTGGTAAACCTCATGCAATAGCTGGGTTGTCCTTGGATGGAAATGGTGCTATTGGAATGCGACTTTGAAACAGAATCCAACGCGATTCTAAAACAAAATAAAGAAAGAAAGAAACCAGAAACAAAAACAAAATAGCAGCACTTACATGGTCGTCAGCAGGTTCGTCTTTGTATTTGGACGTCGATGGATGGGCTAGGTCAGTCTGAACCATGCCGGTCATGACTGACCTTTAAGTGGTCTGCAAACGAACTGTCCTGTTATGATCGATGGATTCGACCGGTAGACTGTGACCAAAGGCAATTTAGGTAATGTTCTATTAGAGTTCTCTTTGGAGAAAGGATAAAACGGAAAGAGATGTTTTGGGAGACGACAACGTTTTCGAAGTGGCCACGGCTGTTGTGACAGAACTGCACGGGTCATAAACCAACGAGCGGCTGACAGCAGGGTAGTACCTCGTTGGGCTATAGCTCTAGACTTTGAGGCAAGGGATCTCTTGATGAAAGATCAAGGGTGTGCTGCAAGAGCCAGTGTAACGTGGAGGGTTCCAGGGTTGTTATTTAGCTGCACCGGAGGCACATCCTTCAGGTTGACAGGCGTCAGAACAGAGAAAGGAAACTATCCCCAATGTGGAATGGGAGGACCGGGGGGGAGAGGGAAAAAATAATTAGGGAAATAATTAATAAAAATAAAAAGGAAAAGGAAGATAAAAAAAATAGAGAGGGCAAAGGAGCGAGTGAGTGGTGGGGATATCAGGAGGGAGTTTGTAACTAGCGGGAAGGTGGTGTAATATGGACCAGGGTGGATGCAGGATACAGGAGAACGATGCGATGTGAATGTGACAACCTTGGGAGGTGGAATGAAGCCCAGATTAAGCCTAGAGCTTGGAACTGGGGCCGAGAGATGCTATAGATTAGATGTCTGGGAAGGATGATTTGCAGCATGCAGCGACGGTGCGTGGAAACGAAGAATGAAAGGACCCAGAAGCCGGACGAACCTTGTACGGGCAGAGCAAGGACTTTCCTTCAAACGCAAAAAGAATAGTGTGCAGAAGACGACCGTTGAGCGTCCACGTCGAGTCCTGGTTTCGGTGTATTTTCTGATTTGCTTCCGGATTGATTGTGAATAATGAAAAAAAAAAGAAAAAGAAAACCAAGAGAAGTCGAGGGGAACAGATCGTGAAAAAGGTTAAATATAAGAGTACTTTTTTTGTTATCTTGAACTTCGTAAAAAAGGATAAAAGAAGAAAATAAAAAAAAATGATTTAGTAATTTATAAATCAACGAAAACAAGTTCCAAATAAGAAAGACAAAGACAAAGACAAAGAGTCGGAGTGACCCGCTGAGTGATGTGACGACAATTTATGATAATGGAAATCACCGTGTGCCAATAGTCGGCTCTTAACTTCTTGTACCCTCCAAAGGAACCAGAGATATCGGAGGGGAGCAAGTAAGAGAGAGGGAGGTGGAGGGGAGGAGGTGGTAAATAAAAAAAAAGAAAAGAAAAAAACCAAAAGAGAAGGAGAGGAGAGTAATACTACATATCTAGACTGTCAATCGACAATTGTCTTTAATATGGTAACGGTAGAATTAGTTAGTACTTTTATGTATGTAGGTGTTGCAGAGGCAGTATGAATACTGCTGATAGCCATGTACAATTTCCATCACAAGTACTCCTAATAATAATGAGAATAATAATTAAAATTATGGCACTAGTAAATTATAATAATCTTGAGCCATGACTACAATTATTGGTATTATTATTATTATTATTATTATTATTATTTTATAAAGATAGAATTCTCAAATAAGAAAACAGAAGGGTAGAGAAAAGAAAATATGAAATAAAGGACAAGGGAAAAAGAAAAGGCTCTGTCAGACACATGCAGCTAGGCAAAGTTCTGTTAACATTGCCCACACCATCAGACCAGACCGGGAATGGTGAGGGAGAGCGGATGTGTGTGGGCATGGGTGTGTGTCCCCAGGCGGATTAAGTGTGTGCCTGTATGGCTGTGACAGATCGGGTTGGGCACGATCATTGATCGCTTGCTTTCTATTTTTGCTTTAGCCCTGTCGCAATCAATGTTACCTTTCTTTTCTCTCTTTTCCTTTCTGGGACTATGATGGAGGTTAGTGGGCACTTAGTGCCATTGTTGTCTGGGAGGGAAAAAATAAATAATCATAATAATGATGATGGTAATGAGCGGGAAAAAAAAAAGAGGATTAGAAAGAACGGACATGACTGCAACCAAAAATCCCAAATCTAAAATTCCCCATTGGTATCTAGAAAGTCGCATAACCCACTCCAACCTCTTTAGGTTTGGAAACTTTGGCTTGGATGGTCTGGAATAATGAAGATTGGCGCCGGGAGGAATAGGCACAGTACAGTAGTCAAATGTAGTTTAGTTTGGTTTGGTTTAGTTCATCGGGGGGAAGTCGGCGGCTATGTGGGTTATTATTCTCTTAAGCCTTTCAGTCATAGTGCCCCTTCTTCAAAACAAGAAAAAAGTTTAGTGGAAGTTAAGGAAGCTAACGTCGTGTTCCAGGTTTGGGATCTCGTCGAGGCCAATTTCAGGTACCACACAGGTCAGCTTGTTTCACTCACACGAGCAAGTCCAGGATACCCACCAGCCATCCGAGAACGAGGATCATCGGCATCGTGACTTGAGACGGATCAGGAGCATCAGCCATCAATCCATGATCTCCCTTCCACTGACAAACCAATCTAAAATTGATAGCTTCGTGCTGTACCCTACCTCCACTTAGTGCATATGGAACCAGTAATTCAGTATCAGTGGGATCGTCTACTGTACTTAGTACTACGTAGGTAGATTGGTCTGAGGTAGTAGTATGCTTGCATTGTATGTACATACATCCAGAGGCATATCAAACATTGCAAACCGTCCATATATTGTGACCAAGAGACCATGGCGGTGTTGGTAATTAAGATGATGATAAAAATAATCATTCTGGGCTGCTGCGCAGCAAATATGGCCCGACTTACAATTTTTCTTTTCTAGTTGCCTGTTCATTTTGCCTTTTTCCCTCTTTTACTTTCTGGGTAAATCAATGTTCTTTTTCTTGTCCTAAGCCCGGAGTTGGTAGTAGCAAACTTAACGCAATAATACGCGCGACTCGATCTGGTTACACTTCGGTATGGAAACAACCGATCTGACTTGCTCCCGTCAGCCTTGTTCCCACTTTTCCAAACGCCACACGCCATTCCAATCCACCCCTCCCGAGCCATCCATCAATTAGAACCCACTCGTGAGGGGCACACCGAGCAGCTACCTAATGATGATGCTACTATGTTAGGGTTCCGAGGAGAAGAAAAGCAACACGAGACACTGTCAATAATCCAGAACTACGAATTGTAACTTCCTAATTCATTCCCCGTCCCTCCCTCTTCGGTCCCGTCCAAATAAACTCGAAACAGCCTAACGGCGTTCGGCCGGATGATTCCCCCTTACTTACCTAGATGAGGATGTCACTTACTGCTGAGCCTGAGAGATACTTGTGTAACCCTAAGCCGTAAAGGGGCAAGCGGCTGATCGATCATTACCCTCTTCTGTTTTTGTTGCGTATCAGCAACCAATCTTTGCACCGTGCATTTCAAACCCAACCCAAGATTAAGTAAAAAAAAAAGAAATGAGGTCAGAAAAATAATGTAGAAAGTCCAAAAGAAAGGAGAGAGGGAAAATATGGATATGGATATGAATAAAGAAAGAAATTGCGATAACTTACCGTTGCAATTAGCGATCGAGTCACCCTGTCATCGTTTGGTTGGGGTTTCCGGGTGCCCCAGAGACATCCTCGGAGCCGTAGCCACAACGCTATCTACTTAATTTGAGTTGTCCGTCGGGGCTCGCTTGAATCTCCAGATTCCCTCGAACTACCAGCCTCTGAAGCGTCAGGATTTCATGCCCCTCCCCCAACACACATGTACTTCCGTGCAATCAGCCTGTGCACCCACCTGGCTTAGTGACTCTTGGCATTTTTGGAAAGCGACACTTCGAGGCCCTGCCTTTTTATTTTTTTTTCTTTCTTTTTTTTTTCCCTCTTCTTTCAAATTTACCTTCCAAATGAGACATGAAGCCCAAAGTAATAAAAGAAGTAATAAGGCAGTCTCGGCCACATTGCAACAGAGGCATTTTTTTTCTGAGCTAAGATAAGCTCCCCCATCCATTTCCCAAAACATAGACAAGCATGGGATTGGTCTCGTGCATCGTACCCATGTGAAAATTAAAACTGAATCTAGCAGCGGGTGCGCATAAGATCTCCATCTTGGAATTGCTGGGGTCTCCATCATGGCCTGTAGGTATCCGGACGTGCGTGCATGCCGCTGTTGATAATGTCAAAAGTAGTATCAGGGGAAATGATGCCTCAATCACGAGGTTAAGCAGTCGACAGATATGTGCATGTATGTATGCATGGGCGGACTTACTGTGGACAATATACTTTTTACTTTTGGTATCCTGCACTTTGCTCTGTGCACTTATTCTGCAGTCTATGCTAAGCCCTGAATAGATGCTACCTAGGTACCTAGTATGAGAGGGGGTGCGCTTGTTGCTGTTACGCTTGTGGGCAATGGGGAGCTCCCTCAGCTGTCGTCGATAGTAAGCAACTCTCGTTCGTATAGCGTACCGTTCTTTGGTAGGTTTGGAACATCGGAAAATGCCCTTCCAGAACAGGGCTAGTGGGAAGGTCGTCGTCATCAAAAAAAAAAAATCAAATATCTCCCCTTTTCAGTTCACAACTGCTGCGCCGCTTCATCGCTTGAAAAATCAACCGGCCACTCCTCCAGGAGGCCATGTGTACTCCGTATGGCATGCTCACCACCTTAGCTGCCTTTTAGCGTCGGGTCAGTGGAGCATTTGGGCTGGACGCAAGCAACGGTGTCAGGCTTCCTCGGCCTACGATTGGCACAAGCCTTTGTGATCGATGCAGGGTGCTAAAGACCGCCCATCTTCCGCCTCCATAGTTCCGTATTCACCCCGGTCGCTTGCCGTTCACCGGCCACCTCTAATTATTCATCCTTTTTTTAATGATTTTTCTTTCTCCTCCCTGAGAGAGTATCTTGAAATGCCGCAGCTGATGGAATTTTTTTTTTTTCTGTTTTTTGGTTTTGGTTCACATGACTAGCGATAGTCCTTCTTTGTTGGATTGGAAATTGAAAACCCACTCACATATCGAACGTAGTTCCAGAACAATCTCAGACCCGTCTGGTTTGAAAAATCACATTGCAGCACTTGTGCAGACTTCAGCACGCAGGCAATTTGAGAAAGATAGCCGCGGTCTCGAGATAGTTTACCACAATAAAAAAGAGGGGCAAGTGGGCAAAGCTTTGGGAAACTATAGAGGCGCGGAGCCGACCTAAGGTACGGACAACTGGGGCTTTCAATTACCAGGACATACTCCGTACGGAAACAACCGCCTTGATCAGTATCGGTAGTGAGTTGTGATCCCATGGGGTACCGATCAACGCACATGGGGTTTTTTTTATTTATTTATTTATTTATTTGGCTGACCATGGCTTCGAAGTTTGCTCCGTACAGGGATTGTTTCGGGAGGCCGTGCTCGGAAACAACCATGCGTGTCGATTAGGGTTGTGGGAATTGCTAACAGGTTGAAGGTCACTAGGGAAAACATGCTTAACCGCTCCTGGCCGGCAGACTACGTTAGATCGTCGAGTGGATATGTTAGCTACCAACAGTGGGTGATACATCCTTTTCCCTCCTCCTCGATATCCAGCGCTTTACCTATGCCACTAGATCTCAAGAGACTGAGTCAACAAATGTGACGAGTTTACTAGCTCGCACTTTTGTTTGCTCTCCTGCTGTCAAGAGTCGTCACATACATAGTATGACTATTGCCTAACGAGTGGATGAGACTCGTCGCCAGCTGAAACCGATAACGAGCAGATTTATAATAACCGCTTTTAAGAAATAGTAATTAAAAAAAATAAATGAGCCCCCAGATGAAAAGGAAAAGCGGAGCAGCATCACAAAAAAAAAAAAGCTAAGAAGAGCGAACCACGGGGGGCTGTCTTTCCGACTCCGACCCCTGGGCGGATCAAACAAATCTCACAGGCATTGCTTGATATCGTCGGATCGACTGGGGCTGTGAGTTGATCCGCCGTGATACCCGTAGGTCGCTAAGCCTTCTGTATAAAGGACGGAGGAACGCTCCGTATACTCTATCAAGTTGGACTAAATCTTAAAGATAGGCGTTATAGTTATATCATTATCACTACTGTCAATTCTCCCTTTTCCTCCTTTCTATATGCAAGACATGTACAACCCAAGTTCTACCAAAAATATAACTCACAAAGCTAAAACGGCGCCAGTGTATGGAGTCCGAACAGAAATTTTTTTTTTTTTTAAATACAAAAAAAAAAAAAAAAAAAAAAAAAAAAAAAAAAAAAAAAAAAAAAAAAAAAAAAAAAAGGAAAAAAGAGAGAAAAGAAAAGAAAACCGGTAACTGTTCGAAAACTTAAAACACCAACACATACTACATGCCTAAAGACTAAACCCATAGAAGATTAACTTCCTTTCATCCAGTCGAAATTTAATATTACCACTAATTAATTTCATCCCCTCCCTTTCTACATTTGCCCTTTTAATCTCTTGGCTAGTATACTTCGGGAGATGATCAGCAACCGGGGGGTGTCATGCACATCAGATTTTGCGTTTTCCAAACGGATAATATTAATAACATGTTATCCCTGGTCAAAGAATAACGATCAACAATATTGCAAGAGGACAAAGGGGCCAGATAGGTCCCACGTTCCATACTTGACAGGTTTGTCTCAATGTACTCTAAAGGACTACCAGACAATATGATAGTGTTCAGTACGTATGTGCTACAGTGCTTACAGTACGACAAACCGCAATACCAATCTCGGTCTCAGCTCTGATACTCCTCATAATGATGTGAGTAATATAGACGTCATGCGATCCTAACCCATCACAGCCTCCTGGATGGACCATCTCGAATAATATTAAGAGTCATACTAGAACCAAAGATCACCAGCTAAGCCCAATCTTATCCCTATCAGGCATGCCTCCGTACGAAGTGTCACTGGGAAAAAACTTAGCCAGACGTCGTGACTCTTTCATCAACCTCCCTTACGATCCAGCCCCGCAGTCTCCGTCTCCATAACATCATGGTCCACTCTTTCTCCTCGGACATAATTGAGAGGGTAGGGGGTCAAATCGACGAGACTGGCCCATGATCGCCCAATGCCAACCCTGTAGAAAACAAAAAACCAAAAAAAAAATGATAATCATTTTTTTAACCGTTGGGTATTAGCTACAGGGTGGGGCGAAACCACCTCGAGCTGATACTGATACTACTCTACTCTGAGTCAGGTCCCCAACGGGCCCTGTCAAAGTGGGAAACGCTCCGCAAGGCTCACTCCTTGACCAGCCAAAGTGCTTAGACCAGAAACGAAATCTTGATCGTCTTGGCCATTCCTTGGCACGCCGTCCAGTCCCTGGCAGCTCTAACACCCCCCCCGGGACGACTCACTAGCTTCGCCTTGTTACCTTGGCTCAACAGGTGATCCATGTTTCCCCAACGTTCGGATCGATGACAAAGAGAAAAGTCGAGACAAAAGGGAACAAAAAAGCTAAACAACTATACGGAAACCCTATCTGAATTTTGTCATTCTTTAACCATGGGTCCCTGATTTGAAATAGTTCTCCCCATGGCACGACACGGCCCCAGTATCGGATATCCAAGCCGTAAGAAGCACCCGAGGGAGTTCTCCGTGGTAGATCTCCGAGAGTTACTACTACCTGGCCTTAGTCATCTCGCGTACCTTAACTCCGACAGCACTAGTCTCCCATCCCATCCATATACTCTTTCATTCTGATAAAAGGCAACTGTCTGTAAAGGCTTCGGTCTCGCCAGGCCGATTATGGCCGGCCTACTGCGCGATAAAACTGGTCTGTGTGATGATCCCCACTAGGGAGGAGGTGAGTGGTGAGAAGCTGGAGCATAGCGGAACTCCACCTCACCTCTGCCTCTCTTTGTCTCTTGTCTCATTCTCCCGTTGTTTTCATATTTTGAACCACTCATTCGCACGTTCCGGCTCGGTCCTATCCATCCGTACTTTAGCCCCCTTGTGCTCAGTACTATTGTCAAGCATATTACTGGAGTACATCTCGTAGTTATACAACCTTATCGCCGACCCATGCCGGGACGTCCCAACAAGGCCATTCCAGGATCCGCGTTCGTCCAGTCATTTTATACTACTGCATGGCCATTGACAGGCAGAAACAGACCATCAACTGAAACAAAAGTAAGGCTGGCAGACAGCATCTCACCACTACTAACAGTTTAGGGAGGGGTTACCATCGCTATTGCTATTACTATTACTACTATAATGAGGCCTATTATTATGATTATGACCATGACTATACTTTTTCTCCGCACGCAGATCCATGATAGTAAAAAAAAAAGAAAACCCCATTCAGTCTGCAAATGGAACGCCGACGCAAAAGAGCCGCTTACCCAAATAAGGTTGGTGGCAGGTTGACCTCAAAAAAAAGAAAAGAAAAGAGAAAGAAAAGGAAAAAAAAAAAAAAGCTGTGGCCGAAGCTCGGGAAGCCCGGTCGAAACAACACCTCCAACTTCGAACTAGTATGTCAGTGGAGAGGTACCGTGCCTTAGTACTCCGTAGCCTAAGTGTACACATAATCCACAATCCACAATAATTTCCAGTGCTGACCTGCTCGTTAGTAATCCAGCCTACACAGAATTACCCAACTAGTTCAACAAGTAGTGTACCCTCAAATATTAACAGGATCGTTTTATGGTTCCCTAAGCCCAACTAAACCCATTGTGTCGCGCCGGCTGTAGTACACGGAAATGACCGAACTTCTACCGCCACTAAGCAAACGTTATTTTTTTTTGGTGAGAGGTAACTAGGTAGAGGTTCGATTACCCGAGATTTGGTTTGAGAATAGTGACTGTACCGCGTACCCATACTCAGGTATTCAATTAGTATTTGCAGTGATATCGAATGATTGCCTATGTTGTTGGATGGTATGGTATGGACAGTAATAGGTTAGGTAGCTAAAGGTAGGGATGCTACCCTGTCCGGATCGATTAATTCCGTAGCTAATGGTTGAGGTGATACAAACCACCACCACCAACCAACTATCAAGATAAAATCAATCAATCAAAATTAATATCCATATTATAATCATGATTGTTAAAGGGGCCAGTTAGATTCCCACCTTTGGAAGAACATGTGATCTGAGCCCTGGGCTCAACTCATTGAAACCATGATAAACCAAACCACAGGAAGTATAGTACGTACCTTACTTCCTACTTACTACGGAATACTTACTATTCTTAACATACCTGAACCCAAAGAAAGACCAACCGGTATTCTCCGGCCCCACCACCCGGAGGGAGTCAACCGACGGAGAGAATTTCGAGGTTCCATGGGTTGATTATATGTACTTAATTTTACTTCCTACAAAATTATATGTGCTCTGCGGAAGAGCGGCTAGCTAGCTTTGCAGCTTACGAGATATCCGTAAAGTCTTGGACTACTATGAAACTAAATCAACTAAATCAACTAAGTTAGCCAACTAACTAAGTACTACCCTAGAAAAAATGTAATAGATTATTTTTAGGTGATGGCATGAGGTAGGTAGGATAAAATCAAAGTCGGGTACGAGTACTCCGTCTTTGCACTAAGCAACCAACCAACTAGGAGGAGGAAAAGGGGAAATAAAATAAAATGAAATAGAAAAATAAATTGTAGGGAGTACGAAAGATGCACAAGTTGCAGACGTGTAGGAGGTGGGCCGGGTACTCCCCTCCCCTCCCCTCCCCTCCGCGTCGTACATACACTTTTACATGCTCAGAGCACCGTCGGTCCTAATCTAACTGACTCGTAGAGAGAGTGGGCTGGCATACGGAGTACCCTGTCGTTAATAGCTCATCGCAGGCTATAACATTATTGTTCCAATCCATACCGGATAGTTTCTATTCGGCTAGTCGGGAATTGCTAGATACCGTATATCTTTCTTTCTTTTTTCCTTTCATTTTTTTTTTTTTAAAAAAAAAAAAAATTCTGCTCGGGGCCCCGTACTAGGTTGTCCGGGATTGGGGACTTGGGGTAAAAAAAAATAAAAAAAAAGGCGCACAGGAAACCCCGACGTCTAGACAGAAAGGGAATAGGGGAATAATTCGTAGGTACGCGAAATCAGCAAATTATAACCGACCAGGTCCAATTAAAGACCATGTTCATGTTTCATCCTTGGGGTCCCTTCGCACTGACGCCAAAAGTGAACTAGCAGCGGGTGATTAGCGGAGCGAAAAGAGGGACATCCCGAGGCCCTTGGAAATTTACCGTCCATTTTTACCAGACACCGAAAGACGGATTGGATTGACTTTCAACGTGAAGACATACAGAGTATGGAGTATATACAGAAGGGGGAGAGAGCGGGAAGTGTGTTCCGACGTGCGAAGCAAACCAATTCATAGAATTGATACAGAATCTTCACAAGAGACTGAAAGAAAAGTAAAATAAAATAAATAGTAAAAAGCAAAAATGGTTGCAGAAAAGTAAGTTAAGGCAACGCATCATAAAGTTTAGTAAATATTCACCGACAGGTTTACTCAGTAACGGAATGTGAGCTATGTCAAACTTTTCTTTTCTTTTCTTTTCTTCTTACCCCGTTATTAATTAGATGCAGAAACGGTTGAAGAATAATTCAACAACAATACCTTTACTTCCTAGACACACCACTACTACTACCTACCAGAATGATGGACATGCATGGGAGGCATGTATGTACATCCGTACGAATAAGATACCCTGACGGGCAATGTGTCATCGCAGGCCATGACTCGATGTCCCGTACATTTGTCCAGTATTTCCTTGTCTCGAATTCGTGAGGTAGTATCGTTGTTAGCACATCACTACCTATCCTGGAGCAAACATCCAACGGATTCGGATTAATCAGAAATATACTATGACTAGTAAGTAGTTGCCCACTCCTCCATGCCGATAATCCGAAAGGATTGTCGACCACCAGGCAACACATCCAACAACCACTCCCCGACGTGATTGGGGAACTCATCACCACCGTCTTTCGTCATCCCGATGCTAGTGGTCTTGGAAATGCAACGATCCTCGGACCCTCGGGATTTAACTTAGCTATGGATGTTTGTTTGGCCACCATGAACCAAGTGGCTTTGGGATTAAGAAGTTGTCCCGTACACCGTCTAATGAACCAGCCTATTCTGATTTTCATTTCGTGGAGCAGAGAGGAAATGACCTGAGATGAAGTTCCAGCGCCTAAGAACGCCATTGTCACACCCTCCCGCATTGGAGTCGAAACGTATGTTTTTCTTTTTCTTCATTTGATCACGATGTCCCTTCCCTTTATGCCAGGTGGCAGATTGGATAATAATAGAAAATAAACAAATATATCTATCATTCCCTGTTGTATCTAGTAATGATAAGTAATAAATAAAAAGAAAGTAAAAAGAAAATCCAACGGTTGACGGATGGAAAGGATTCCAGGGGACCCATGCTTTCCCGTCGATTCCTTGTAGACGTGCGTGCGATAAAACATGTTTATCCGCTGCGGGAGAGTTGCGTTAGAACGTGCCTATAGCATCTCTGGAGTTGAACTAAAAAGGAAGCTAAACACGGGCGATGCGACGTCCGACGCTGATCGAAATATAGGGCTTACATCTGGGCTTGTGAGAGCTGTGGTTTCTTTCCGAATGCATTGGCGTTCAATCCTCCGACCAGAAAAGCAAAGCAAAGAAAAGAATTGAAAGATAAACAAACAAGTGGCTACAGGTAACAACTTCAAGTGACTGACTGGCTGTTCTGCAGAAGCACCCAACTCCGGCCCCAAGGGGATACACAGCGTCCTGCTAGAGCTTACCTCCCTTCTTCATCTTCGTGTCCTCAGCCAGTCACCGAGCGGCTTCCGGTAGTACAATATCACTCTAGCAGTAGTCAGGAGACTTGCAAAATTTCTGGCCTCCCTTGCTCATTGGATCTCTCCATGTTTGCTGGGGACGATGTATACAATGATGCAATAAATAACCCGCAACATATAGCCAAAACGTCATGGTCACATTTGATTGATCGCTTCGCTTTCCACATGAACACTGAACCACATCATGATCAACAATTCATCTGCACGCTAAATTCATATTGTAATCGTCGACAACCCATTATACATCCAAGAAATGAGCACATGACTTCATATGTGTACACTACGGTGCAGATCCGAACAATCGGATTGCTGAGCGTAGATGAAACTGAAAGGGAAAAGAGAAGAAAAGAAAAGCAAAGAAAAAGAAAAGCAAAGAAAAAGAAAGAAAGAAGGAAAGAAAGAAAGAAAGGAAAATATTAGAAGGTGGCAAAAGACAGAAAGAGAGCCAACTTTATAATCAATGTTGTCAGTTATCCTGCTGAGTTCACAGACTCCGCCAGCTTATGCTGCTCTGCCGGCTTATCCTCGACTCCTCCAGGAGAATCGTCGTCATCTTCCTCGTCGTCGCTTGAGAAGTCGTCGACTGCACGACCACGCCGCTTATCTTCCTCTCGCCTCCGACGTCGCTCCTGTACATACTCACGGTAGCGGGCATCTATGGGCGGTTAGTTTGGAAATCTACAGACCCGGGAACGTTTAGGTCAAGCATACCTCGTATCTCTTGCGTCCTAACTGCATACGCTTGGATCTCCTCCTTGCTCAGCACCCGCAAGACTATCACGTAGTCCGACCGTTCCTCGAAGCGCTCACGGCCAGCTTCCAGGGCCGCGGGATTGACCAGTCGACGATCAATCTTGGTCCATCGCGCTCCGGGAGGAATGCCTTTCTTGTGCGCGTCCTTCAGAGGCGCTACTCCTTCTCGTACAGGGTTAGGTTCCTCTGGAAATTTGTCTGTAGGTGTCTTTAAGATTCCTTTTGGCGGGGTCTCGCTGTCTTTCGAAACTGTAGATTCTGCCCTTTTGTCTTCCTGACACTCTGCCTGGATCATCTCCTTCGTGGTAGAGCTATCCCGTGGGCGTGGGCGTGAGTGAGATCGGCGCCGTCGAGGGCGTTCGCTGCCGCTTGCAGAATCATCAGATCTGCTAGCTTTCGGGCGAGCTGACGCCTCGCGTCTGTGTCTCCTCAGCTCCTCGTCAGAAGTGTACGCATCAGAATCACTGTCCACTTGGCGTCTAGACGGCCCCTGTGGTCGACTATGACGATCTCGCGTATCCTGATCATAAGAGCGATGACGCTCAGCTCGTTGAGATTCATAGTCATCATAGACACCTCCTAGGACAGCCGTCCCTAGCCCAGTAGTAGTGCCTTGGGAAGCAGGCTCATTAGCGATAGAGCTCCTTGACGCGCCATTATCATAAGGATGCCGACTACTTCGACTGCTGTCGTGCCGCCGATGCCGATGTCGGCGGCGGTGAGAATCTTCGTAATCACTTCTGTATGATGAATACCCTTCATCCGCTTCTTGGTGTAGATGAACCGGGTTCCGCCGCCCCGTCCGCCGGTGCGCGCTGGCGACGTCAATATCGCTATCAGCAGAGCCCTGCATCGGACGCCGTACCCTCGAGTCCCACTCAAGTCTGTCGAAACCTCTTGTAGATGGTGGAGGTTTTGGCGATCGGGGTCCGCCTCTTGGTACTAACTGAGGATCATCAATCCCGGTCAAACTTAGGGGCCTTTCCCTCCAATATGTGCCCCGATCGTGTCGAAGCCGCGCAGCCGAGTCTTTCTCGAACTGCTCACGAGGATTAGTATAGGAATAAGCATCATAATCGTCAATGTCCTCCCCCTTGCGAAGACCTCCCGTAGGCGGATATCGCGAGCGTCTACTGGGGCCGTGCTCCCTGTAACCACTGTGAACTATCGGTGACATAATCGCCCTATCGTTCGGGTCCAGCCTTCCTGTATCACTGGCATAATCGATATGAGAGACCGAAAGAGGGTGGCGCCGGTGGCGTCGAGGCGAAGAGGAATGCACCGGATGATGGTCGTGGCTAGCAAGAGGGCTAGGAGAACGGCGGTAGTTAGATGTTATGATAGGAGGGGCTCTGGGGCCATGAAGCCGACCAGGAGCCAAATGGGTGTCTGCCGCGGAGGTAGTATTACTCCGTTGTCTTGGACGAACTTCATACTCGGTTCGCAATTTGGTTGAATGGCCCGCATCTCGATAGGTTTTGGAAGAAATCCGCTGGGCTTCTAATCCTCCTTCCCGAAAATATCGGGGGTCGTACGCTGTCACCACATAAGGCCCGCTGGACGGATAGCCCGAGTATGCGGATCGACTAGCGGAGGGGGGTTCGTAAGAGGAGCTGAGCTGCACCGTTCCGGTGGAGGCTCGCATGGGATCAATCATACGTGAGCCGCTTGGAGACATGGGCCGATGGTGTGTAGCAGGGCTTATTCCAATCCCTCACAGACAATGGGGTGAGTTACAAACCGCGATCGTGGTAATGCGGAGGTGGGCAACGTTTGATCAAAGAAGACAAAGCACTGAGATAAGCTTTGTCAATGAGACTTCGAAGATTAAGAGGACAGACAAATCAGAGGTAGACGAGACAAAGAATTTACATAAAATGGAAAGAACGGGGAAGAAATCTGCAGTTTGAATAAAATCGAATCCTTTGGGCACCAGGCCAGGAAAGTCGAAGAACTAAAGAAAGTTAAGGCTGAGGGGCAAAAAAAGAAAAGGAGCTAGTTTCGGATGCCTGATCCTGCAGGCCACAAGTGAGACAGCACGAGCGGCAAGACAGCGATATTTATAGAAAGCAGAAGATTGATAGTGGACCACTGAGGTTTTGTTGAGGAGAAGCAAGGAGCAAGATAATAAATCATGAATCACAACGGGGAGATTAACAACCAGAATGGTAAGAGATAATAGTAATAATACCTTTGGGAGTCTTGAGTGGGCTGTGACGAAAGAGGGTCCTCGAAGAAGCGCACTAACAACGGTCAGAACCAACCCATCTAATGATGGCATGGATCACCATAAAAGTGGAACACCAACCGGCTTATCTAATTCGTATAGTCCGGTTGCCTCCTGGAAGAGCTGATCATTCGCCCCATTAGGGCTCCCTTAATAGAAATGGTCTGATTCGCTCAATTTTTGAAGTGAGAAGTGAAGTAGTTACTGATATTTGTCGACAAGTTCCCGCTGTTCCGTAGTGAGGTGGGATCTACTCTGTACTAAGTTGTAGTTGTGGTGGTGATAATAAAGTACTAGGAAACCATGGGTGTCAGTGACATCTCCCGTTCCCTTTCCCTTGGGTGCATTTTGCATCAGTTTGCACCACCCATGGTCACGCCCCCGGGCCGGATGAGTGTCTTTCCTGTTCCGCAACTCAATCGCTTGACTTCACCCAATCATTCCAATCAATGCCACCAAACATCGTGCAGAGCCTCAGGGCATGACTTGGATAAGACCGTATCACAAGGCCTCACTTTCTTCCAGTTCGCATACCAGTCTCGGAACGGTGATTCTGATGCCGATGCCGGATCAAACGGACTTCAACCTTCAAATGGTCCTTTTGTCTCCACTGCCCCTCCGCTTTTAACCATGGTGATACCGCTAGCACTAGTGGCTCCTAACGAATGAGATACCGTTGAAGTCTACGGAGCAGGCTTCATATCCTCCATCAGCGTCATCTAAAACCTTGACTTTTGATTCGGGGGGAAAGAGTCCCCGTTGCCCAAATGTCGGCGGGCGAATCACCCGCTCTCCCGTATCCACCTTTTCCACCTGCCGGTTGCCAAGCGATGCGTCGGCTGAACTTTTGTTAGCGCACAGAAAGATGCACTGCATCCATGACATCATCCAATGGAATGTACTGCCACTCGGGTTCTCAATGTGGGTTCAGGCATACTGTACTCCGGAGTAAGATTAAGGAACCCAAGAGTGGAGTCCGCGAATTTCTAGAAGAATACTCCCTCGGCTACTGTATGCATGTATGTACTGTACCTTTGAGTGTAAAAAATCATCCGTATAACCAAGACACAATGCTAATTGATCATCTTCGAACCCCGCAGCCATGATGAATAAGTCTATACGTAGATTGTGATGTCAATTCGCCGGTTATTGAAGACCCAAGGCTGGGCTCAGCACGGGCAACCGGGCACTTCCCGCCTCAGTACCAGGACGCCCGAATGGTAGTGGAGCATCATTGATGCTCCCTTACTTGGCCGTGATGATTTCCGGTAACAATATTGGGCATCGACCGCCTTGAAACAGCCTTTGCTCCCCGTTACCCACATGTTCGCTTCACTTTCTCTCAATTCTGACTTCTTTGCACTTCACCGGCCGAGTGAAGAGAATGCGGGATTTCTTTTATCTTCGCCCGTCACAATGGTAGACTTTTCCCGTCATAACCGAGGCGTGCAACCCATTAGAGTGATCGAGTCTTACCTACGACCAGGTCATGTTCTAGAGTGAACCCGCGACACACACTTGACACACGGAGTAGCAGCATGATAAAACGCTCTATTTGGATGAAAAGCCTGAAGCCATTGTTAGAGAATATGTTTGTCACATGCTGTCAAGGGGCAATTCGGGCTCTTGCGTATGCAACTATATCGCCCAAATGCCTTGGGAATTCCCAGTTGAAGTTTCACACTAAGGAGTAACAATGTTATTGTCTAGTCATCGACATTGCGCAACAGTGTTTATCATTTACCCACAATCGACCCTTTTCATTGATGCACCGCCACCCTTACGACGGCAAATGTTTGATGAGTGAGTGAAGCTTTATGATCAAACCTTGCTTCGACGACGCAAACTCATATTCAATGATGTACAACATTCTCACTGCACAATCAGCCACTTCGCTACTCAGCCACAGATGTGCCTTGGGGTTAGCCCAGCTCAGGGCCAACATGCTTAGGGCTAATCATGATGTACTTATCATGCGTCATACATCGCCGGGGGTGCGTTTCGTTGCCCCCGGTTTAGCAGATGCTTCATCGCGGAAGGCAGCGAACCTTCAAGACCTGAGGCCTCATTCGAACTCGCATTCTCATTGAGTCGCGCATACCCAGGCGCGGTCGTGGCCACACGGCACGAGCCCAGGATGTTGGGCGTTTACTGTTCTATCTAGCTGTCTTTCACCGAGAATAGGCGGACTCAACAAGGTGCTGTGGTAAGGGCAAACTAGCAGAAGGATTCACACGTGTGCCCTGCAAAGCCCGTGGTGAAGGGTCTAAAGGGCAACAAACGATGATTCACCTTCCTTCACCCTAGTATGGGCATATACAGTCAGTTAAAAACGACTGAAACCCTTTTCCCTATTTTACTCCCTCCCATTATAAAGCATCCTATACCAAACCAAAACCCTGCATGTTTATATAAATAGTATTGGACTCAAAGCGCTTTTTCAAGATAAGAGTAATCTCCTCTCAATCGGTATTTAGCCCCTTCATAATACCTTCCCATCTGTACCTAACACACCTTAGAACTCTAAGCCAAGCCATCAACAAGTACCCATCCATCATCGACAGCCACCCGTACTTCTATATCAACTATGACACGGCGCGCATCGTTAGCTCCCCAAAATGCCGAGGACACCTCCAGGCCCAGCATGGCTGGATGGTGGGTATGCTGCTCATGTGGCGCCGAGAATAATCCCGGTTTGAGTCACGGCCGATGCACTGTTTGCACCCACGAGGCATGTCCTTACTGCACTCCAGCGTGATAAAATTCCTTGCACTGGATGACCGATTATTGTATATTATTTTACCTCTTTTCGTTCTTCACATTGATGGTCCATGTTGGATTCTTCTGTTCGCTTTTTTATTTTATTTTATTTTTCTTTTTTAACTCCCTCTTCTTGGGATGTTTTCGGGTTCAAGCTGTGTATATTATATATCTGCGACTATGTATGAGATCGAAATGTACAATAAGCAAACTGGTGATGCAATGTGATCAATTTCCTTTTGGACTTCCATGAAATGTTTCCCTTATTCAAACTAACTTTATCCATATCCTTCACAGTTAAAGCCAATGTTGAAGCAACACGAGTTAAAGAGGGACTCAGAACCATCCTGACGTAGTCAGTGATCAACCACGTGAACAACCATAGCCATGGTCAGGGCTGTTTTAACTTTCTTTGAACTGCTTTCTGATCTATATGTGCCGAGATGATAGATTGCCGATTACACATCATTTGACATGGATAAGATGGTAGCTATATTTACTTGCTTGTACCTCTCCTTTGGTTCTGTCTTTACTAATCTCTCTTTAGTTTCAAATTTTATATATCTGTACCAATGTGTTTAGTACGATGTTAAGACACTGCAGTTCAACAGCAACGCCCAATTGAATCCAAGCGGGTTTGATCATTCCTTCACAAGTGTTATAACGTAGGCCCACTCATGCATTATAAAGAAATTGATAAAAAAGAAAAAGGGAAAAAAAGAAAAAAAAATACGCCGGACCCGGGAAACTTCAATTCTAGTACTGTAAGACACTGAAAGTACAAAATCGCTAGGCTCGACGGGGATCGAGGGGGAGCAAGCTGATATCCATTATACAACTGGGTGTGGCTACAATGATGCTCATTATCTCTTTTCAACCCACCAGAATAGCAAAGTATATAGAAAGACACAAGCCTCAGATGAGGAACGGAGTATATAGATGCTAGGTATAGCTTCCATCACTTTTACCCCTCAGCTCTGAACTAAAGTGGAAGACAACCTGGTTGAGATCTAAAGTCCTGGGGATATAGAACGCCTTTCCACAGTAGGCCTAAACTGAAAGATATTTTTCACTCTTATTAATATGTATGTATGTATGCGACGTGATAGCTTTGTGTCCAAGCAGACCAGTGCTCCGTTACCAATATTTCCAAGAAGACTAATAAAGAAGAAAAAGAAAAATCGTCTAAGGGTTGAACGAAGATGCAGCATTTTTCAGAACGACCAAAACTCCCGCGTAATGATGGTGATAATGATGATGGATATATACCGCCGCAATGTTCCCAGTATTATTAGCCAAAATTGTATCTCAACTGCGTTGCTCAGCTCTGCTTCGTTTCCGTTTACGCTTCGATGGCCGATCCGTAGACTCGCCATTTGCAGTGACAGGATGTTCAAGGCCAGCCTCAGCCTTCAGTCTCTGTACCACGGGCCCGAGCTCGAAAGCGCTTTCTAGACTACTGTGATCCGCACACGGACTTTGCTTGAGGGGCAGCAACCAGTCAAGTATAGAGTAACCCAAAACTTGTTGGAGGTTTTTGAAAGAAGTACCCAGGTCAAAAGGATTTTCGCCTGGGAGTGTCTGGAGAATCGCAAACACATGCTGTTCCCCTGTGGGTGGGTATTGTTGATGCTCTGCTGTAGTCTCAGTAGTTAGAGGCATCGGCGGTAAAGGATAAGTTATTGTACGAAATGTAGGTGCCCATCGGGACTCAGGGTCGAGCTTAGAAAGCATATGCTTAGGAACACGTATAGCTATTGTCCAGACTGCCGACCGACGATTCAGGTTTTCGATTGTCGTCAAATTATACATCGCAAGTTGTACAGAGCTAAGCGTCATTCCAAGTGTGAAGATTCCGAAAAGGCAACTCCTGTGAACCATTAGATTATTATCCAAACGGTCAACCGTAATCACAGCTGTGTTCACTCACAATCCAATACCAACAGCCCAGTGAGGATTGACCTCACCCGTCTTGGAAGGTTAGCCGACCCAGTACAACAGTTTCACCGAGAAGATATGCTCTTACCTCTCGTCGGAGTTCAGCAGTGAAGATCGCACAAACAATTAGAGTGAATGTGCAAAAGACAAAAGTGTAAAACACAAATTGAATGAAGAATTTAAATGAGGTTTCCGAGACCACACCCCCTACCCTTGTGATAGTGAGTAACACAATGTCTTTCCAAAGGAGAAGCATAACCTACCAAGGACAGAAGTGGTCCATCTTACGAACACACCGGTCTACTTCCCGGCAATGGTGTGCCCTGTCTGTCTTGTACTGACAACAAGTGGAACAATATATAGGCCTTCCATCTGGTTGGCAGATAAAGACGTCTTTCGTATAAAAATTTTCTAACCCTTCTGCATTCAGGGGGAACGCCTTTCCTCCAGCGTTGTGATCGACGCCCCTTTCGAGGTCTACCTCAGCTGATGCGTCTGATTTCTCAGCTGACCCGGGCTTTCGATGGCTTTTCCTCCTTCGTTTGCTGCCTCGACGACGGGTATTCAGCGCCTCGGTATCTTGTTGACCAGGAAGATATGAAGATCCTCGCGGTAGGAAGCCGGGGTTCCAAATGACATTGTACAAGAGCCGGAGATATGTAAGAACCACCGGTGTGAGCAAAACGTAATATACAACAATTATGGCGATGCCAGCGCCAACTCTAGAACTGCGATTATATTTATTTAGAGGGGTAATAAGGTAGTCGACTGAATTCGAAGAGATTATTAGCATCACCGTTGATTTCCAAATAGGGGAACTGACTGCATAGTGGTTTGGTAATAACGTAGGAGGCATAAACGACAGTACAGAGTAGCACCAGAGGTATGATCCTAGCTACCGCTAAACTGACGCGCCTGTCTGGACGCGCCATCAGAGATTAACAGTAAAAGGGCTGGAATTGCCTCTGCATTGAGGAGTGGTAGGACGGACGAGTATCGGATTGAATCTGAACTGTATCTATACAATAACGGGGAAACAAGTATGTACAGCCGCCACAGGAGGCACTATAGGTCGGGAAGATGATAGCCTCGGGCTCTGTAGAAATATGGCCGATAGGGGGATGAAAGTGACGTTGTTGCTGTCCATCGTCAGGAACGTGACAACCAGCTGTTGCAAACTCGTCAAACTCTATACATGACGTCGTCATGTGCTGTCACATGATGGCAAGCGATTTTAGTTTTATCTTACAATCTATCTGTACTCCGTACGATCTAATCAAGATCTCGACCTTGTCGTTTTCAATGACCGTCCGTACGCGGCCGACACAAAGAATGGTTGGTAAAGGCTCCTAGCAGCAACATTAGCATTACACCAATCCCTTGGTCACATTGTCCATGTGGCCAACGTTGAGAATCCTGCGGCGTGATAAATTATAATATTGGGTTTGCTGTCGTTCTCTCACCAACACTGGCCTTCCAAGATAGGATAGCGATCCACATGCCCACCATCCAAAGGCTATCAAGCTTTTTCTTTGGAGTTACTATTAAATCGCGCACTTTGACGAGGTATGCCTTTAGAAGGCTTCAAAGTTTCTGCCTATGAGTTTGTAGCAATGCAAAAGATGCTATCCAAGGATGCGAACGTCATCCGGACGGGGTTATACTAATTCTCTTGATGAACGTGGTACTGTATAGCGGTTGGAGCGGCTGTAGCCTGGGAGAACAACGCTACGTTTAATTTCTTGCACGGTAATCCACAGTGGATGTGAGTAATTATAAGCTTCCCGCATGATGCAGGATTTAGAAGGAGTTGCAAAATAGTACTGCCTCTCCAGGTAGGTATCAGCGTACAGTAAAATCAGGATTGGTGGTCAGTATCTCTTGTTTGATCGATATGGCATGGCGCCTTCAGGAGCGAGGTCCGGGCAGTAGATGCAATATTGCAGTTGCAAAGATGTAGGAAAGGCGGGGTGGGGCGGGGGGGGGGGGGGGGGGGGGGGGGGGGGTAGGTAATTAGGGAGACAGGAACAAGAAAAGAGGGGAAAGGAAAAGAAAGGAAGGAAGGGACAGAGACGGCTGGAGGAAGAGAGAAGGCCTCGCAAAATTGAGAAAGCAAAAAGATGAAGAGTCATTTTCTATTGAGTAATGAATCAATTTTGGTCACTCTGTCATTCTTCGTGTTGGGCGTCATACAAGATCCGCACGTGGATTGCCTCAGGACGACAGCAGGCAGCAAACAGGGATGCCTGGCTTAGTCGGAAACCGAAGTACAACTGTTTGACCGACAGAAACACTAGTAACTTCGCTGGTGGACTCCCATAATGGGTTAAAAGTGACGGTAAGAGCCAGAAGGCTTAAGACTACCAAAGAACATCAGTGCTGAGCTGGACTGCTGGAGAGACCTGAGGCTCTGGGTCGTTGCCTGAATGGTACCTTGCCTAGTCCCCATAGTTTAAAAGTGGATCCAAACACTTTGCCCGTTCAAGCATCTCATCCAGGCTATGCATACTAGTAGTCCACATCCACTTCAGAAGCCAAGAGGGAGTAAATTAACAGGAAGATATAAAAAAAATATAATAAATATAAAAAAACCCTTGTAATAAAAATTAATTAAATCAATCAAACAGATGAAAACTGCACAGTTACTGGAGGAATGGCGGGTATGAACGGGCAAAATCAAGTGCCCAAGCCTTGCCGGTATTCCGCCTTTTGGAAGACAACCAGCGAACCCCGAGGACAAATTGAGTCAACTTGCTGCAGGATTGCAGTTGATTCTTCTTCTAAGGCCTCCAGTCTACCGGAGCTATGATTCAGAATGCTGCTGAATGTCGCTCAAATGGATCTAGACACATAACGGCCCGGACCCTCAGGGCCAAAGTAATAGCCCGCCAAGCCACTTTTTCGATCTACTTGCTAAACCGCCCCTTCTTTTTGCAGAAGATTACCCTTACCTGATAACTGAGGTAATATGGTTTTAGCCCCGATTGGGGCAGAGCTGTGGCCTGGGGCTTGCCTGATATGTCGAAGCCACACTATTCAGGGCGAAGACTGCCTTGTCATTGTCAGAGTGATTCATCATTCTCGTCTTCTACCTCTATTTAAACACACGAGGTTCTCACTCTTCATTTGTATTTTCATTAACAACAATCACATTGACTTCTACTTACCACTGTGTACATTCTTTGCTTCAGTCTATATCTACTGAGCCTTATCCTTCACTGTCTCTAGCTACCAGACCTCTCGCGAACACAAGTTTATAATCTGTCTGCAGCATCCACGTTTCTCGCGACTGCAATCCTGCCGACTATTCCAAACAGAATATCTGAAAACAACATAATGCCTTGCTACCACGAGATGTCGCATTTCTCTCAAGTCCCTGCTCGCATGGAGCGAAGGGACTCAGTCAGCTCTCTGGTATCAGTTTCGTCTATCATGGAGGACGATTCCTTGGTTCATCGGCCATCCATGTCCTATGTGAATGTACCTGACAGCTCTCTCCACGACCTCTCCGGCCATGCCAGAACCAACGGTTACCTTTACATCTGCTGCCAGTGCCAAGATGGACCCAAATTATACAACAACCAACCCCAATGCGTTATGTGCCAGCACGTTGTCTGCTCGGACTGCCGCCATGTGAAGTAATGATCTAGAACATTTCGACCGCTGGAGGTAAGAGTTTCCAAAGTGAATACTAGCGTGGTATTTGAAAGCTGACATGTTTCCGTATAGTGTTCAACTTACTATACTTTAATGTCGAGACGGGATCTTACGACAGCAATGCGTTTTTGATGGCTATCTGAGCGATTTCTTTATGAGCATGGCACGGCAGAAACATTCATGGGCGAGGGAGTCTTGGGTCTTCTTTTTATCGTTAATTTTTCTTTTCCTTTCTTGGATTTTTATTCTCATGCATGAGTGCATAGGGTTGAGCGGTTACAGTGTTTTGACTTTTGTGATGTTTGAGTTTCGTGATGGCCATGGGGCCGCTACAAGACAAAGTATAGCTGGACTATACTTAGTCTTGCAGCCGAAGAGTGCCTCGCTTAAGGCCGAAACTATGGATCGTGGGGCATATTATCCCTACTTTATTTATTTGGTTTTTTTTTCTTCTTTTTTTTATGGCAATTCGTCTTGTTTAGCAGATGCTACTAGATCTCCTGTCTGTATTCTATAGTGAATCAATATCCATTCAATTTTTTGTTGACATTATTCCAATTCTACGATAGTAGAGTTTGACCGTGCCTCAGAAAGTGACCGAGTGCCGCCTTATTGCCTCGCTACACACACCCTTCACCCGAAACCCTCAACGACAAAAGTCAGAACGTAAAGACTAGGCCAATAATCCACCAGTCATCGTTGATTACACATACTGTAGGGATCAATAAATAGATTCAAACATTTGCCACCTGTCATCCGTAACCGCGTTTTCAAACTGACAGGGTAAAATCCCATACATAACACGTGTGGTCGATCCGGCCCCAAGCCAAAACGAACCAGTGACCCCGTATTGATTTTCACAGCTGAGACCATGGGCAAGCTCGAGGCTGACTTCTGGTAGGTTGATACTCTGAGCCTCAAGTCTTGGTCCACCAGTCAGACTTGCGAAATACCTGCAGATCATGCAAGCCACTTGCTAGGTTTCCCTTTTGGCTTTCACATCGCAAATGATCCCACCGCCCTTTCTACCGGTTACTGAGTGCATTTAGCCCTATGCTGGTAAGAGAACTGGCGGTCTTGGGGCTTTTTTTGGCCCTGGTTCTCATGTTTGACGATTTATTTTTCCGCTTTTTCGCGTTTTACATGTTCAGCTCCGATGAATCTTATCTCTATCCCTTCTATTCCTTTGTTTACTGGCCCATTCTCTCCATACGAAGTGACCCTTCATCTGACTGAGAGAGGCTGTGTTCGTGATTTTTCTTTCTCGTCGCCGTGGTGGTGGTACAAGGGAGCCCATCGAAAAACCAACAGGTCGAAGAAACTGGGCATTCGATCGCGTGCAAATCGAATTCCAAGACATCTAATAATAAAATCGCGAACTATCGTCTTCATTTAATCTAGAAATTTACTAAGCCATCATCGCGGGTCGACCAAATCAAGTGCCCGCCCGCTAGGATGAGTCTCAATATGGAGGGTGTAAGACGGGCACCCGTTCTTCCCACCCCACTTCCCTGTAACTACAGAGCGTCGGACGACATCAGAAACCCATCAGAGAGGGAAAAAAAAAAAATGAAAGATCAAAAAAGAAAAGCCCACATGGTGTAATCTTGGCATGATATCACTGCTATAATTATGTCTAGCTTTCTTAATGATAATACGAACTCACCACGGTCTATGTGAACTCCCTCTACTTTTTTGTTTTGCGGATGTCCCGTATGACAATCTGCTATTTCGGGACCTGTCAGATTCTCACGCAAAGCTTGCATTGCAGATTCTGTTGCGCAGTGCTATAAAAATAAACCTGGGGGTTGTATTGCGATTCAAACCAGAGCATCATGATGCAATGGATGTCCACTCTATCGGGGTCAGTTTCCAAGGATCGATTAAGACATGCATAGTTATTATACAATTATACATGGCCCTTGTTTCGTGTGTCAGCCAAAATAAATACTTCCACTGGGATAACATCTAATAACCCTAATAGTACAATCCTCGTACTACTACATACATAGATTATCAATACCCTGCAACGATGCTATTATCCCGATAATGTCCCATTCTTGATTTATTCTCCGTCTCTGCCTTTGTTGGATTTATAAGACATTCCACCGTCTTCCAGGTATGAAACCCCAGTGATCCTAGCACATTAGTAACCATAACATATACAAAACACGCCGATCGCTTGATAATCCAGAAACCCCCAAGCTGTAAAAATTTATAAGCAGCATTTCTATTTCAGCCTTAAACAAAAGTACCCACGCTAGTAGCTACCCGGGTCCTTGGTTTATGTTTTTTTTTAAATCTGACTTGCTTTAACAGACGCCCAGTAGGCCGTTTGATTTTAGTTTCATCCACTCGGCCGGTTCAAGAACCAAGGTCACTTGCTCACCCCTCCTCAGCTCCCAGACACACACTGCATACCCTTACCGTTGGACTTGTTTCAAGAATTCTTTTGTTCCGTTTGTTGTTCGCTGTTGTTGGTAACACCAACAACATTCATGGCCGTGGTATGGAAGGCACACACATATATTATCAGAATGATCTGCGGTGCCATGGTAGGAAGTATGTACTATACATAGATTGTATCTTTGGCTTAAGCTGTTCTATTATTATTACTCTTATTTATTTATTTATTTATTTTTACTCAATTTTCATTTATTTACTCATCTTCTAGGTCTGTCCGTTTTTTCCCTCCCCATTCCGAGATATAGAGTGGTGGAAACTGATTGGAGGTCTCGTAAACCGGGACTACACAGCCCCCAGATGTCGAGACCGGGATAGTCGGGGTTGCTAAGAGAGTTCTAGTATAGTGTAGAGTGCTAGTAGTATAGGTGATGTAACTTAACTTCCTCCATGCATGCCTGAGTCAGAAGGTCACAGTATTTCTGATGAGTCAGTCTTTCAGAGCAAGAATCGCTGTGACTCAACCTGCTTTGTTTGAGTTGAATAGGAGAGCGAGACTGTTGCAGGTGACACGCCCTTGTCTTGCTGGGTTTTGTTTAGGGTGCGGGATATCCTTCCTAATTTTGGACCTCCGCTGCTAGGCCTGACTCCGCGGGGAGCCTGAGGTCACGGGTAATATACGGCGTCGGGCCATTCGGGGTGACCATCGGGGCATCGGCCAATCAAATCCCCGAACTAGACGCCCGTCTGCGCCTTGGGGTTCGTCGGTCTTAGGCGCTAGACGCCCCGTCCCACCGCGTCCGCAAATCAAGAAGAGGACTACAGAGGGGCCAAAAAAAAAAAGAGATAGATTAAAATCAAACACTGCGGTATTGTTCGTTTGTTTATTGCTATGTACTCCTATGAACCGAACGCCCGGCTGTACAATCGCATTCTTCCATTCCTTTGGGAGGGCGTGGCGCCCGACTCATATCTGTCTAGACCAGGCGTCGTTGGTTTAACAATAAGCAGTCCTCGGTCTCACCGGGCCGTCTAAGGGCCTAATGTTTGCTGCAGGGCGTGGGTGGAATCGCCTACGCCCACCTCCTTCAGAGGAAAATGAAGAAAAATATGATATCCTCACCAACTCCACACACCGTTTCTAACCCAAATATTCATAGATCGAAGCGGTATAATAATAAGTGCCCGTTTAAATGGGCCAAAAGGAGACATTAGATGCCGAAACTGTTAGAAAAAGGAGGCGGGAAGCTGGACCTGCTAATATAACAAGGCGGGGAAAGAACGTTTTCTGAAAATTCAGAGAGAAAGTAAAAGAGACGCGGGTATCAAGGTAGTATTGGGAAGAAAGCTGCTGCTGGTATAACCAGTATGAAGAGACTTCCATGTCTAGATGATCTGACGGTTTTGCACAGTTATGTGCTTTGCCTAGTTTGAATCGGCAATTCTCAGACTATATCGGTAGCTCACCTTAAGAGGAGAAGAGCTCCCTTCAATGTGAATGTTCGGGTATTGTAGGCAAAGGATTGTTACAAGGGTAAGACTCGTGAAGGATCCTGGAGGAAGCGTCTACGGTATGCGGCTATCTCCATGGCCACAGTGTTAAAATCTTTCACCTTGTCGCGTCGCATGTCGTTAATGATGTTTTTCAAACCAGCAATGTAGTTGTCTTTTTCTTCTGGTGTTTTGCCCTCTCGAAGAGATCCCATCTGGACAAGGATTTTGTCATCTGTCGATGTTAATAACCCTGTGTGTCAGCATCCGCACAATGCAAAAGCGACCACAGCTGGCAAGAATGAGGGTATAGAATGGATGGATGGTGTGGAAGGCTGGGAGGAAAGTGCTGAAAGGAAAGCCGAAGTTCAAACAACAAAAGGAAAAAAAAAAAAGGATGCGCGAGGCACGATAAATAACTATAAGTCATGGCACATGGGGAGGTGTTGCGTGTAGTTTGCTCAAGTCTGTCGACGCACCGCTAAGAGTCATATCACGAAAATGTTGGAATTCACAAGACCGGTCGTTGCAGACGCCACCTGCCCCTTCGAAAGGACAAAGGTAAACCATAGGATCAATATTATGGCTGTAGGTTAGGGAACGATAGCCACCCGTAACCTCATCAGTGTATTTTGGATGGTAGCGGAAAGCCTTGAAAGATTTCAATGGACTAACGTAAGGCGAGAACTTCTGGTCTGAATCTCCCGGCTGTCGAGCATTCTATATAAGGTGCGTCAGCCTTCAATTCTCTGCCGAAACAGGAGATTCTCGCACATCCAGAAGGCCAACCTGATTGTTTTCAAATAGTGAGACGGCCGATTCTTGGATAGTACCAACCGGTGGTTCACCGGTGTTCTGGGGGTTTTGCACTGGAGAACTAAGAACGGTGGGCTCAACGGGGCCAGGAGAAGCTGGACTAAAAGGGGGTGAATAGACCGAGTCAGCTGGGCTTGCATTTCCTTCCGGTTCCGGGGGCTCATAGGCTTCTGAAACCGTAGATTTATCAGAAGCCTGATCTTCAGTCATTTCAACATCTTGTTCACTAGAGCTCGAAGACATGTCAGACTGGTCTGTCACGTTCGTGGCTTGAGATTGGTCCGGTAGGTGACCATGATGCTCTTCGCCCAACGGACTTGGTTCCACTTGGTTAGTATCTTTTACACCGTCCGAGACCCAAGACATATGGACGTCTGGCACAGGAGACTGGGCGTTGGACTCCCCTTGCCCAGCGGATGCAGAGTCGTCACTATCGTCATCACTGTCGTCGCTATCACTATCACTGGATTCATCCATAGCTGACCCTGTGGAATCGGAGGAAGAAATCGGGGTTGATTCCCTACTAGCTTCAGATACGTCATGTTGGGCCGCAGTAATGCCAGACGGACGCGACGGGCTGCCTGCATCGATTGGAGTATTGACGGATGGCTCTTGAATAGAACCCTTTTGTTCTTGAAGCTGGGACTCAGCCTCAGAGCCACTTGATATTTCGATATCTTTCTCATCTGGAGCAATTAGTTGCAGATCTTGGGCTATATGAAGGCATTTTGAGGCAGTGTAAGCCAAGGCAGACAAAGCTACAGAAACAAGAAACTCTCCGGGAAGAAAGAGTAATGGGCATAGAGAGACATACCTTCATTTGCTGATTCCTGCATGGTTCTCAGCCTGTCTAGTGCTGATTCCACCTCTTCCAGTGACAATCCATCGAGCTCTGTGTTAAGATTGCCCAATTCCTCTAAGAGTTGCTGTCGGCCCTCTTTTCCCCTACTGATATCTAGCAAAAGCTTCTCCTGTTCAAAATTGAATTCCTCTAGCCTTGTCTCAGATCTTTTAATTTCTGCGTCCAAAGCAGGAACTCCGGCTTCGATCTCTCTTTTCCGTAAGACTTTCGACTTCATGTCTTTCAATTGTTCAGCATCCATGGAGACCAAACGACATGAAAGACCGTTTGAAGTCGGATGATGATTAGGGGCGGATGATGTAGTTTCTTGCAAAGTGTCCATGGCGTTCACTTGTGAAAGATTGTGCTCAGCGGAAGCTGGTGCAGCCTGTATGGGCGTATCACAAGCTTCAGTATCAGTTGGTGGAGATGTTTCAGGAGGCGATGCCTCTGAATCCGCCGCACGAGGAGACTGAGTACGACTGGCAGCTAATTTTGCCTTCTTGCGTTCTTCCAGCTCTGCAATCCGCCTGTGCATTGCTTGTATTTCAAGGTCTTTCCTACGGAGGTCTTCTGGATCATTATTCCGTGGAAATTGCGGGGTCGCAGACAAAGAAGCCCCTTGACTTGACGATGTCACAGGTCTCGGCGGAAGGGACTCCGCAGCAAGGTAGTTCCCTGCTGGACCTTCCGGAACTGAAGGGACATCATTTTCTTGGAAGGTCTCAATATCCATAGCATCATCTTCGTCATCCCCATATAGATCGTCATCGCTGATGTCAATGATAAGCCTATCGCCTGAGACACTATTGTTCACTCCGTTGTTAGATGTCTTCCTAGGCAAAGGAACAGGTTCGTCAAAATCAGATGCTCGCGGGCGCTTGCGTTGATTAAAGCGAGGCTGCGGGGTGGAATCAATCATAAGCGCTGGGGTAGACGTCGTAGATGGGTCGTCATGTGCCTCCTGAGCTACATCGGTCATGAACAATCCAGGGATACGTGCAAAAGAACCTGTCTCAGGATCAGGGGGACGCTCAGGCAGGGGATGTTGTATTGACGATGAATTCAAGGTTGGTGTAAGATCGTGAGTCGTTTTCGTGTTTGACAGGTCATTACTTGGAGATGCATCGCCTGAGGTTGACTTTTGCTGTAATCTCATGAGACCTTGCTTCTTGAGTTGCTCGATTCGTTGTCTAGCCAACTCTGTTTGTGCCTTATTCTTTTCCCTGACACGAACCTCCTTTTCTGCTGCGGGTGCTTCTGTGGAAACACCGGTGCTACGAGTCTTTTCAACATCTGTAGCTGAGCTGTCCGATGTCGGTGCTTCCTTTGTCACGTCCCCTGGAGGTGATGTTGGGACTCCCGTAGATTTAGCAGCCTTCGCAGCTAGCATACGCGCAATGACCTCTTTACGTTCCATGGGTTTCGCCGCACACGGTTGAGATGAAGGGGCGGACGTTGACGCGTTTCCTGCCAGCCCAGTCGATTGCGTGACATTTTCCGCCCTTACGGCTTCAGTTGCAGGAATGTCACCTGATCCAGGGGTTTCGACCGAGGCCGTGAGATCTGTGACAGAATGATCGCGCGGGGTTGAAACTAGTGAGGGTGCTTGAGTTGATACATTATCCGGTTGCGGCGTGGGAACCTTGATCCCCACTTCTTCATAAAGTTGCCTGAGTATCACTGGATTGATACCTTCGCCAACAAGCTCACTGTATCGAATACTGTGAGGAGCTAAACTAAGAAGGGCACCCTGCGCTTGTACTCGAAGCTGTGCTGGAGACTTTCCGCCGTTGGATATCACTTGTGCATCTGTTGTAGGTGGGGAAAACACGGATTTCGCAGATAGGTCTTGACCGATCGGTCTTGGACTAGCTCCGGCTATCCTGCCTGCGGGGACGAACGGCTCGACATTGACTGACATCGGAGGGTTGTATGCTGCGAAATATTAGTTTATAGTAGCGTAAAAGTAACACCAGGGTGAGTTACGGGATCCACTGTCTCGGCTGAAAGAGCGTGAACGAGTTGAGGAAGCTTCGCCCTCCTCGACCTCCGAAGACACACATCGAGAGCCTTTCGGCACATGGTCATTGCAATGCGTTTCGCTCGCCCAATCTCCTTTCCCATCTACCGTATGGAGATTAGTGTTTTGTTGTGGTCCCCGTCGGGAAGACGGGGAACTGGTACCATGGCGAGACTCTATTCCTTGTTGCGAACATTCCCCTTCCCTATCAGTAAGTTCACCTTCCTCTCGTTCCAAATCTTCCTTGGGGGCTGATGAGGTGGTAAACTGCGGATGATTATTAGTCACAGAGCCCGAATTGGGTTGAACATCACTCGTCAGAGGGCGACTAGGAGGTGTATTTAGAGGCGCAGTAGAGACTGGCATTGGCGGGTATCTCAACGGCGGCATTTGTATAGGAGGGAAGGGAAGGGGAGGAAATTGCGAATGGGCAAAATTGCCCATGAAAGGGAAAGGAGGCGGCGGCAATGAGCCAGCCGGCCCGGACGCTCCTAGTCCAGGGAGATGAGAATTTGCGGTGAAATTCACATCGTTATAGTCGAGCGGATACCGAGCGCCATCCTGTGACTGTTGATATGCAGGCATTTGATTTTGATTGAAGGGAAAATTGTGCGGAAGAGAAGGCGGGAGAGAGTTTGATGTAGAAGGATTTGATGGCCATTGTGGCGTATAATTGGAAGGTTTCCCCAAGGACGTTGGGGTTTGGTAAGACATTGTTCAGTAATCAACTGAATGACTACCTTTAAGCTCAAATGTGAGATATGCTGGAAGATGTGAGTAGCAGAATAGTTGTCGCGACTTTAGGCGTGACACATCATCAAGCTGTGAGGAGCAGAATTCTTCAAAATGCACCTGCCTCAGGAAGGTGAAGTGAGGTCGCGACCTGATAATATTGAAATGATTCTTTATAGAAGAGAAACTGTACACAAGGCATATATTAAACCTTCCAAAGCGAGGCGAAATGTGAGGGAGAGTAAAGCATACGTCGCAGTTAAAACGACAGAAGACTGTAGGAAGCAAGACGTTAGGGGGAGGTGATCGATGTGCAACTCCAAATCCAAAGGAGGTCAAGTTTCGTGCCGTACATTCACCACGTGACGTGGAGATACAGATCGGGACTAGTTCGTGATCGGCATCGGGAGCCTAAGGAACGCAGGATGTAAACAAACATGCGGGCCCAATGTGCATGGAGCAAGTGGTCAGTGACCTACTGTATCCAGGGACCTGCCACTTGCGGCTTTGCTGCAGCTTTGCCAATTACCTCTTTACCTTAAGGTTCTGTCAACCAGCCGGACTTCCCACATGTTCTTTGACTGATTTTAATGCTTTCATTTGTGATTCTCTATAGCACTTATGTTGAGCTTCTCATGGCCTAAACATCTTATTATACGACTCTGACTAAACGCTTGAATGATGACCTATTGATTTAACTACGATATGCTTCCATCACAATTAAACGGCTCGCCAAAGCGTGCGAACCCGTTCAGCCGGGCATCCATATCCCCGTCACCCTCGCCATCTCCTGCGCCCAGAGCTGCACGTCCAAAGTCAGCGCTTATGACACAATCAAGTAAATTCGAAGAGGCGAGAGGTCACTTCCGAAATTCGTCCTCTCTCACACCATCCACCCAAGCCCCATTTGCTCGCATCACTGGTCGTCAAAGGTCTAATTCTTTGCGGAATGATGTCACCTCAGGTACATTCGCACCGGAGTTCATCAAGTCGGAGGAACTTCAACGTGGAGCAGACCAAATCCGGGGACTTGAAGGAGATAATGACTTTTCTGGGAATAAATACGTCTGGCTACGTGATCCTGAAAAGGCGTTCATACGAGGGCTTGTGCTAGAAGAAGGACATAATGGAAAGCTTCTTGTACAGAGTGATGATGGCGAGGTAAGAATACTATCTGTATTAGAATGTCATGGTTGCTTACAGATCATCAGCAACGTGAGGTAGATGTGGATCAAGTTGACAAGGTCAACCCGGCGAAATTCGACAAGGCGGACGATATGGCCGAGCTTACTCACCTGAACGAAGCTTCAGTGGTGCATAACCTCCACACTAGATACCAAGCTGATATGATATATGTTAGTATTGTCTAATCTAAGAATTCCACGGACGGAAAACGCTGACTTATTTATTCCTAGACTTATTCCGGACTTTTCCTTGTCACAGTAAATCCTTATTGCCCGTTACCGATCTACTCCAATGAATATGTGAAAATGTACAAAGGACGGAGCAGAGAGGAAACTCGACCTCATATTTTCGCAATGGCAGACGAGGCGTTTCGAAACCTAGTGGAAGAGGGCGAGAACCAGAGCATTCTTGTAACGTATGTTTATCGACCAATTGGGCGTTGCCTGGATCCATGCTGACATGCAGGCGAAGAGGAGAATCTGGAGCTGGCAAGACAGAGAATACCAAAAAGGTTATTCAATACCTTGCAGCAGTCGCAACATCTGATACGCCACATGCTCGCTCGGGTACCAAGCAATTGTCTATTCTTTCTCAGCAAATATTACGAGCAAACCCAATACTTGAAGCTTTCGGTAATGCTCAGACAGTGAGAAACAATAATTCTTCCCGCTTCGGCAAATTTATTCGAATTGAGTTCACCCGTTCAGGTCAGATCTCTGGAGCATGGATTGACTGGTACCTTCTGGAAAAGTCCCGCGTCGTGAAGCCTAATTCTCAGGAGCGCAATTACCACATCTTTTACCAATTACTGCGGGGTGCAGACCCAGCCTTAAGGGAAAGCTTGCTGCTATCTGGTCTTGGAATTGATGATTTCGCGTATACAAGAGATGGAAACGACAGCATCATCGGAGTATCAGATGATGAAGAGTGGAATTCGTTGCTTGAGGCATTTCATGTTATGGATTTCTCAGAAGATGACCAGATGCATATTCTTCGCACGATCTCGGCTGTTCTTCACCTAGGAAATGTAGCCATTGTCAAGGAGAGTCTGCGCGCCGATCAGGCGGCCTTGGGCCCTGATGCATTGAAAAGCGTGGAAAAGGCCTGTCAGTTGCTGGGGATACCTTCAAAGCCTTTTGTGAAAGGCTTACTTCACCCAAGGGTGAAGGCGGGTCGCGAATGGGTGGAGAAGGTCCAAACGCCAGAACAGGTCCGACTTGCCCTTGATGCTCTTGCAAAGGGAATCTACGAACGCTGTTTCGGAAATCTTGTCAATCGTATCAATCAACGGCTGGATCGCAGCGCCACCACTGGAGATGACAGTTATTTTATCGGCGTCCTTGATATAGCAGGTTTTGAGATATTTCAGAACAATAGTTTTGAACAGCTATGTATCAACTATACTAACGAGAAGCTGCAGCAGTTCTTTAATCACCACATGTTTGTCTTGGAGCAGGAAGAGTACGCGAAGGAGCAGATCGATTGGCAATTTATTGACTTCGGCAAAGATTTGCAGCCGACAATTGATTTGATTGAGCTAACTAACCCAATTGGTATTTTCTCGTGTTTGGACGAGGATTGTGTCATGCCAAAGGCCACTGACAAATCCTTCACGGAAAAGCTACATTCACTCTGGGACCGCAAGTCTCCCAAGTATCGTGCCTCCCGGTTGAGCCAGGGATTCATCCTCACGCACTATGCTTCTGAGGTAGAGTACGATACGAATGGTTGGCTTGAAAAGAACAAAGACCCATTGAATGACAACGTGACCCGCCTGCTCGCAGCTTCGAGGGATAAGCACGTTGCGACCTTATTTTCGGACTGCGGAGACCCAGATGATGAGGCCGATTACCCTAAGAGTCGGGTCAAAAAGGGGCTATTCCGCACAGTTGCTCAGAGGCACAAGGAACAATTGTCAAGTTTGATGTCTTCACTAAACTCGACTCATCCTCATTTCGTTCGATGCATCATTCCCAATCACAAGAAGAGGCCGAAGATGTTCAACGCCCCCCTTGTTCTAGATCAACTACGATGTAATGGTGTATTGGAGGGTATCAGAATTGCTCGCACGGGGTTCCCCAACCGGCTTTCATTTGCTGAGTTCCGTCAGCGATATGAAGTGCTCTGCCGCAATGTGTCCAAAGGATACTTGGATGGACAAAGCATTGCTCAAATGATGTTGGACAAGTTAGGCATGGACCCAACCTGGTACCGCGTCGGCCGAACGAAGGTGTTCTTCCGGGCCGGTGTGCTAGCTGAGTTGGAAGAGAAACGAGACGAACTTATTCGTTCCATCATGACACGTTTTCAGTCAATTGCTCGAGGTTTCGTGCAGCGTCGTATCTCTAACAAACGCCTGTATCGGGCAGAGGCAACTCGGATCATCCAGCACAATTTCGCGGTCTATCTGAAACTGAAAGCAAATCCCTGGTGGAGGTTGTTTTCGCGAATGAAACCCCTGCTTGGTGAGACACGAACGGCTAATGAAGTCAAAAAGAGGGATGAGAAAATTCAACAGCTGGAGACAAAGGCCAAGCAGGACCTTGCAGACCGCCAAAAACTGGACGAAGAAAGGCGCCGCACAGAGATAGAGATCCAAAAGATCCAACAGACCCTGGAGAGTGAAAGAGCTCTAGCTCTGGATAAGGAGGAGATATTCAAGAGACTGCAGATGCGAGAAGTTGAGCTGAGCGAAAAATTAGCTGGTGCGATTGCGGACCAGGAAAGCCTTGAGGACCAATTAGACGAACTGATCGCAGCAAAGAAGAGATGCGATGAGGAGCTCCACACACGGATAACACAACTGGAGCAAGCCGGGGAGATCATACAACGCTTTGAAGCCGAGAAACATGAGATGCAGGCACATCTTGAAGAAATTGACCGTAAATTGTTAGAGGCAGAGCAGACTTCTACCCAGAAAGACTGCAACATCAAAGAACTAGACCAAGAGTTGAAAATGCTACAAAGCCACCTCACCTTGAAAGAACGGAAGGTTCAAGAGCTGGAAGCCAGGCTATTGAAAGTGGATCAAGACCTTGATATTAAGCTAGCTAACACATCCAAAGAGCTGGATCAGTCGAAAAAGCAAGTTAAGGACTTGGTCGACGAAAACCGCTCGATCCGCCAGCAGATTTCCGATCTCTCTGCAACTTCTACAGGATATGAGGAGATGCTCAGACGCAAAGAGAGTGAGATGGCTGTTCTGCGAAACGATGTAAGAAAACATGAAGAGGATAAGCAGCAATTAGAAACCGAGAGAACATCCCTTTCGACTCGCCACGACAACATGCAAGAACGTCTACGAGAGCTCCAAGCAGAGATGGACGCTATGAGATCAGAAAAGGCTCATCTAGAAAGAGAGCTCACTGATGTCAAAAAGCTCCTCGACGAAAAGATGTCTGAGGATGCAGAGGCTGTGGAGAGCCGGAAGCTTTTGGAGCAGCAGATCCATGACCTTAAGGAACAGTTGTTCCAGGCACAAGCGGACCTTAGTCGAGAACGTCAATCAAGGGATGATGTTCAGATGCTTGCGGAGCACAATCTCGCTGAGTTACGCGATAAGTACACATCTCTCAATGATTCAAAGATAATCATTGAAAAGGAGATGTACATCCAGCAAGATACACTCCGCCGTGCCACCGAGGCCCGTCTCGCCGCTGAACAATCACGGAAAGAGCTTCAGACTGAGCTGATCAAGCTACGAGATCGCTTCACTAGCGTGGAAAATGCTCGTCTGAGTGCGGAAGCTGAGATTGAACGAAACATCAAGAACCAGGCCAACGAACGACTGGATAGCGTGCGGAAGGACCTTGATGAGAAGTCGCGTCAAGTAGATGAGATCGAGGCTGAGAGGGGGCGACTTTCAGTCAGGGTGCAAGAGTTAACCAACGCGATCGCTGAATCTGACAACTTCCGCATTCGCCATGACCAACACAAGGAACGGCTAGAGCGCGAGTTGGTAACTCTTAAGGGCCGCCTCACTGCATCGGAAAATGACAACCGGGCGTTGTTAACTAAGATCCAACAGAAGAATCTCGATATTGCTAGATCGAACTCGAAGGCGAGCGAAAACTCACGTCTCCGGGTTACAACTCTCCAAAGAGAGAAGGGAAAACTCGAAGAGGATAGTAAGAAGCTAGCCCGCCAGCTAGGGGATCTTCAACTTTCGATTACATCGCTGGAGAAACAGAAGGAAAAACTTTCGTTGAGCTTGGAAGACTTAAATCATGAAGCAAACAGGGAGCGCAAAGCCTGTAGGAATGCTGAGAAGGCTGCATCCACAGCCAACCTCCAGCTTGCTGAAGCCAATAGGAATCTAGAGACGGAGAGACAGCTGCGGAGCCAAGCTCAAGCAAACACGCGCAAACTTCAAACCTCTCTTGACACTGCAAACAAAGAGATCGAGGACCTTCATCGTCAATTGATGCTGCTTCATAAGGTTGTCGACCCTGCCTCCGATCAGTCTCCAGAAACCTGGGAGGAAGTGCAGCCGGACCTGTCGAAGAAGGTAGACCTGGCTCAGCTACTAGATACCACGCGGACTCAGTTGCAAGTGACTGAAGAGAAGTATAACAGAGCAGAAAGTCAACTTGCAGAAATGCGACGTCGACACGGCGATGAGATGAGGGAGCTAGACGCCCGCTACTCTTCATCCAAGCGTGCTCTACTGGAAGAGATCGACCAAAACCAGGTTGCTGGGAACCGTACACCAACGCATCTGAGAAAAGATTCTGATAACGGGATTGTGAAGAAGTACAATACGCCAACGACGCCTAACCGAAGGTTTAACTTCAATGAAAACGCCAATGACTCAGCCCGATCTGATCGTACAGTGGACACTGTGGGTTATCAAAAACGGATGGACATGGCAGCCGAACTCGAAGAGCTTCAGAATAAACTTCAAATGAGTGAAATGCATAACAAACACCTCCAGAGCCAGGTTCAGCAAGCAAACCCTCTTCGAGACATGCGGCAAGATGAGAGCCCTTCTGCCAGGCGGATGCAACTCTTAGAGCGCGAAAATGGCCGCTTGCATGACCAGCTTGATGATTCTGCCAAGAAGGTTTCTGCACTTGAGCGAAGCATCCACTTGGGTGACCTCTCCTTGCGGGATGTGCAAGCCAAATCGCACGAGGAGCTTTATGACTTGATTAATTCCCAGGAACAATCCAGACGATCGTTGCTCAAGGTGCACAATGAAGCTATTGCTGAGTTTAGCGACATGAAAGCCCAATTGGAAAAGCTCAAGCGATCGAAAGCTACACTGGAAGTTGAACTTCGAGATTCGCGATCTGAAGCCCAAGAGCTGCAGCTCGCTAAAGACCAGGACGCTGCAAGCCGAAACCAGCTGCTCCAAGAGTTCGCCGATTTACAAATTCGGCTAGATGCGGAGACATCGAAGTCTGCCGACCTTGCCGCAAGCCAAAGCCTTTACAAAACTCGTGCTGATGAGTACTTTAGCAAACTTGAGCAAGCAGAGGTTACCGTTCTCAAGGCTACTCGGGCGGAGCAATTTGCTAAAGTGCAAGCCCAGGAGGCGGAGGACACCTGCGCCCGGATAATGTCAGAGCGCAAAGAGATGGACAGCCTTGTGGAAGATTTGCAGCGGCAAACACAAGCTCTGGAAGCAAGAATGGAGGATCAGGCAGCAGAGCTACAAGGTGCACTACAATCTAAGCAGCGTCTCCAAAATGAGCTTGAGGACTATAGGAATCAACGCGCCATCGATATCGAAGATAAGGAGACTTCAATGGAGCAGACGCGACAAAAATACCAAAGGGAATTTTCTACCCTCAATAATGAACTCGAGATGGAGCGGGAGAAGATCCTTAAGGTCCGCGGCGAGAACTCTCGACTTCGAGAAGAGCTCGAGGATCTCCGTAGTAAATGGGACAATGAGGTATTGAATAGCTCGACATGGGCTAAGGAAAAGTCCCGAATGGAGGTCATGCTCCAGGACGTAACAACCTCTCGCGATGAGGCTGTCAACGCTCACAATGAGGCTCAAAGCAGGGTCGTCACACTTTTGTCGCAGGTCAGGGATTTGCGTACCTCAGTCGACGACGTGACTGCAGAGCGAGATATGCTGCTCAAGGAGAAGAAAATGCTCGAAGTCCGTTTGACTGAAGCTGGGGAGAGGTTGGAAGAACTTGCCAAAGGAGAAAGTCCATCAATGCGCAACGCGGCTAGTATGAATCGCGAACTCCTTGAGCTCAAATCTAAGCTTGCCCAGCAAGAAGATGTCTCTGCAGCTGCTGTTGGGAAGATGAGGCGAGCGGATGCTCTTGTGACTGAAATACAAAAGGAGATCACCGCAGAAAGAGAAGCCAACGCCCAGCTCTTCAAGGATAAGGCTACTTTGGAGAAGCAATTGAAAGAGTCACAGCTGCGCTGCGTGGATCTGGAAACAAAGAGCTATTCTTCAGGCAGCCAGGATATAAAATTCCTGCATAAGAGAATCAAAGATGTAGGTTCACCACCCTGTGTTGCTGTGGAATAATGACCGTGTGCTAACGAACTGTGTTTCAGTTGGAGACCCATCTTGAGGAGCAGGAGGCTAAACATAGCTCAGAGCAACGTTCTTCACGGAATGTTGACCGTACTGTCAAAGACCTCCAGTCCCAAATTGAGCGAAGGGAGAGAATCAACGCACAACTCACTGACGACGTCAACAAGGCCCGCGATAAGATCGATCGTTTGCTTCGAAGCATCGAGGAGCTCCAGCACAACGACACAGATACACAACTGCAGGTGCGTCGGGCGGAGCGCGATCTTCGAGAAGAAAAGGAAAAGTCATTGCGACTAGAGCGCGAGTTACAGGGTTGGAGAGCTCTGCGAGTCGAAAGAGGACGCGGACATGTCACTTTCAGTGATGTCGGAAGCAGAAGGGGTAGCAATGGGTTTTCCTCAAGCGACATACCACAGAGGATGCCGAGCAACACCAAAGGCTTTTTATAGAGAATATAATAATCGAGCGGGTTGACCCTGCAGAGCGCAGCCGCAACTGAGGAGTCAGGTTTCTAATATTGGACCTGGGCTATGGATAATGACAATGACGATATGTCTATGCTGCATGGCTACGCGGTGTTTAATGTGAAGAACTAGTTGATCTTTTTGCTTCTTGCCTTTATGTTTTGTCTCATGTTCTGTTCTTTTCCTTTGGTGGCATATGTGTATATGAAGTTTTAAGTGATACAACGATCTGCATTTAACTTGGTTCAATCATTTAACATGTCGAGCAATTTCACAGAAGATTGTTTTCACGAAACTAAAATCTTGTGTAGCCATCATCCCTTAACTTAAGCCCACTGTGGTGAGGAAACACTAGTACATTATTTCTATATTCTCTTGAGGTTCGAAAGATCACAATGCTTTGGATTTTGCTGTTTCTTTGTCTTAGACTTGTATGAAATGCAGCCTGACGTATTTGATTTTGCACCTATAATCTAAGTAACCTAATCGGTCGACTTAACGTATATTAAATCAGTGATGACTCTGAAGGATCGAAGTATGTAGAAAGATGTGACGAGCATAAGGAGGCTAAGTGGCAAGCATAGAAATTAGATATACTATTAGTACCATAACGATTACTCTCCTAGCAGTCAACCACTATGGCGTAAGAGTATTCATAAGGTGGATATTCCCGTCTACATCCCCTAGGTATCACAATGACAGTTTCATCCAGGCACTCTTACGATAAAAAACTTGCAATATAAACAGCAATTCTTGGTATCTGCCAAGTTCAATTTTATTCGCCAAAACCCAATATAATTGGCCGATAACAGATACTTTAGCCGCGCGCCTAAATCACGGCTAGCGCTCGCTTGAACCAAACGTTTCCCGAGCCCACCTAAGCTCGGATCAAGTTACTTTGCCATGACATGAGGGCATATTTCTTCCACCCCAATCTCTTGTCCCCTCCAGACTTGCATTGAGATCGACTCGCGCAGTTATTCACCATGGTAAGCTTCCTATTTCCCCATAACACCAGCAAGCAAGACTCAGCCTCTCCCAATGTGCGCCCATGTAAAGTTCCACCACCCGCTAATCAAGCTTTACCCTATAACAGGCGCGAAACAGCGAAAAAGCCCAGTCGATGCTCTTCCGCTTCCGGGCGCAGCAGGCCGCGGATCTCGGAATCATCGACATGGGTCGCACCCGGCGTCCTAAGGCGATCACGTCGGTGGACTCGATCCCCATGTGTGAAAAATGGCGTGGGCAGGTCCTCAAGGAGATTTCGCGCAAAGTGTCCCGCATTCAAGAGCCGAGTTTGAGCGATTATCAGATCCGGGACCTGAACGATGAGATCAACAAGCTGATGCGCGAGAAGTGGATCTGGGAGATGCAGATTCGGAATCTGGGCGGTCCGAATTATATGCGTGGTTCGGGGCGGGTGTATGATGATGAGGGGAGGGAGATTCCCGGTGGTGGGAAGGGTTATCGATATTTTGGACGCGCTAGGGAGCTACCTGGTGTCAAGGAGATGTTTGAGGCTGCGGCTCGACGTGGTCGTAAGCCTGCGGAAGAGGAGGGGGAAGAGAGTCGCGGTCGCGGTGGGGATATCGCGACGAGGAAGGTCGATGCGAACTATTTCGGCTATGGGCTGGATGAAGACGATGGGACGCTGCTAGCCTATGAGAAGCAGAAGGAGAAGGAGGCCGTTGAGCTTCTGCGTGGGAAGAAGGAAGATGACGTGGAGGACGGATGGGAGCCATTGCCTGGTGACGCTGGTGACGGCGTGGAATGGAGATTGCCGACCTTGGAGGAAGTACAGGAGGAACTTGTTGACCGTCGGAGGAGAAGGCTGTTGGAGAAGATCACTTGAGATGGACGGTGTGCATGGACTGGTGTACGGGCGTCCTCAACATTTTTCTGTTCAAACTTTTATTTCATACGGCGTCATGGGTGTCATTTCACATTGTGTTTATCATACGCGTATATGCTCCACTTTCGGATCCCTGGCTTTCCTTTCACGCATTTGAGGAAAAGCAAAAAGCTCAACTGATGATACCAACAAGATTCATTCTATTGTACAAATGGACATACTTATTCTATTTACAGTTTATGGGGTTGTTTCCTTGCCATTCTTTCGGCCTTGCGCGCTTGGGACATACTAGTTCCCACTTCGTCTTTCGTGCCTTCTTGACGATGACGTTCCTCTGCCTGCAGGTCATCCAGGATGAACTTCCCCAAGCCACCTGCGCGCCATTTTTGGATAAAATGCAATGCCGCAAGGTCAGTGTTCGGGATACCACCCTTAGCAAGGAGTCCGGTATGACGGGCGAAATCGTTTAGAAGAGGCATAATTTCATTTGTTGGCGGGGACCAACGCTCATATACTTGGGTATCATGCAAATTTATATGGTATAACAGATAGTCTGCTAATGTGACGGGGGAGATCACAGAGTCCTTGACGCAACCACAAAGTGCCAGTTTCAGCATCTTTTCTGCATCTGGAACGTATGGCATGAAGACACCGGGCGTGTCCAGCACGTAAACATGAGAGCCGTTCTCTCTCTCGATGATCTTGACGGGAGTTCCGATTTTCCTCGTAATGCCGGGCTGGCCGCCTGTCTGTACAGCCTTGGCTTTGCGGACTCCCTGATTTCGCAGGTTATTGATCAACGTCGATTTTCCGACGTTTGGCATACCGACAACCATAACCCGACAACCCACGAGTTTGTCGGGTCCTTCAGCATCATTTCGTAAATGTTTCAATATAGAACTCACATCCGGTCGGGACGAGGAACTAACAAAGAACACAGCGCTGTTTTTATCGAAATTCTGGACTCTTCTCTCTGCCTATATGAAGGAACAGCAGTATAAGCATAACTATATGTAGCGCGAACCTGGACGTTTTGGAATTTTAACTTTACCTGTTGTTGGGCTGGTGACCCCGATTCTGCACCTAAATCCCTCTTTGTATATACGATTAATCGTCTGGTTTTCCCCAAGGCTTCTTCAAACATGGGATTGATAGATGTAACTGGCACTCTATAATCGCGACACTCCACGACGTAGTCAATGGAAGAGAGCATATTTTGCATCTTTTTCAAACCTGCCCGGTGGTGACCCAGGAAATACGACCTTGGGATGGACGTATAACTGGGGAAGGTCTGTCGAGGAACGAATTTGGCTGCCATCCTACAATAATCTAATAGATTTTATTAGCAATTAAGCAATATGGTTGTATACAGGTTCTTCTTTCACACATTATTGAGGGTCAATTGCGAAACAGAAACCGGCGAAAGAAACAAAGACAGTTTGATATCATTCCCGGCAATATGTCTGAGATGAACGGGCGGTGAGGGAGGCGGTAATGTTGCTACACCATATTTACTTCCTGTAACTTGATTGGCTGCCGAGCTGACTTGAGCAGCATGCCTCAGGTATCTATCAGAGCCTAGAGGGGTAGTGCTCCATACCTGGGCCAAGGTGGCCATCAAATACACTGAATCCACGTAAGATAAGGGTGTTCACCTAGTTGTCCGAGGACACTATCCGGAACCATCCCACTGGTCCACAAGGGTGTGGAGCTGACGTCATTCCACGTTTGCGCTCCACTGGGCTATCACTGCCACAGATGGGAAAAAAAGTATATCTAAACGTAGATGTCACTCCATGTCGTCAAACCTTAACATAGATCTCAATACCTCTGTAGTGAAGTTTTGCATCGTCGAGTTTTAGAACATCAACCTCCTATCGTAATGTCAGATTTCAAGCTAGCCCACCGAGTTGGACATCTTATCGTTCAACCCGCTGACCTCCAACATGATCCTCCGGAAAGTTATCTCTTCATTCAGGATGGACTTATCGTGGCATGCGGGGTGCTATACGCTATGTGCTACTTCTTTTGCATGCTCCGAACATACAGAGACAAGACATATCCAGGAGCTAGCTACGGGGGCATACAATACCTGTAAGTCACAAACTATCATAAATGTGAGAGTATGTATTCTAAAACGTTGCCCTAGCTGCTTGACCATGGCATATGAGATATACTATGCGTTTACCACAACATCTACATGGTTCGAGAAGCTTGCTTTCCTAGTTTGGTTCGAATTCGACCTTGGCTTCACAGCTGTCGCAATTCAGCACGCCCACAGTCCGAACCAAAGAAAGCGGCTTTACCGGAATATGATTTGCGGCGTTTTAGCTGGTGTATTGTTCCTCCGGTTGTTGGCTAAGGTTTATCCCGATGAACGAGAACAGATCACTGCATATTGGACCGGCATCATTCTTCAATTTCCCATTGGTTGGCTGTGCCTGTACAGCCTGTGGAAGAACCATGATACAAGCGGCCATTCCCTTGAAATGTGGTACGTACCCTTGCTAAACATGGCAACGCAAGAGACCTTTCGCTGAGTGATTTAGGATCACTCGATATCTTGGATGCTTCACGGCGTATGGCGTCTTTTTCTGGCGCTATCTAAACGTTCCCCAAAATTGGGCGTATGTGGGGTCAGCTTGGAGTATTTGGACCATTATATTGACTCTCATTCCGGAGACCCTTTACCCATTCGTCTATGTCTGGGTCTTCAACACAAGAAAGGCCAAACCGGAGTAAGGATCTGTTATACATTGATGTTGCTCAAGTTTTTTGTGTGAAATGTAACATCAGCTTCAAGAGTATATAACTCCGACTCCGTACAGAGAACCCATCTCATGATATATGTATATAGAATGGTTTGGTGTAACCTCGGTGCAAATTTCGACTCGTAACTAGAGTCAATACTCTGGTGCATTTCTCTACCCAATCTTCAGAATGGCACATTCATGATTCGACAAATTGGCAGAACTTTTAGTATGTGGATTAACCATCTGTAACAACTCTCAAGAGCAACTTTAGCAGTTATGTAGGACTAAGGAGTCTAGGTTGTCTAAGATCTTTGCTTCCCGGAGTAGATACTGTGTACTTCTTATGCTGTGCCTTGTGCGTGATAATTCATCGGCGACTGCTGCAAGGCATAACATTTATGCACATATGGTTGGGATACTTTTTTCAGTACCAAGAGAGGAGTACAAGTGCTGTTCGGAAAAAGTTCGTTGCCTAGGGTGAAGTTACTGAGACAGCTCGGAAAGGCGTTTTTAGTAACGGATTTAAATTCAGGAAAATACCTCGGCTCATTCTTTACCCCGACTCGACATCTATCCCTACTTACCCCTATTGTTACCATTGGGTACTCTAGGAGCAGGGTTAATTCCTCCGGACCCAGGAATACAATCTTGATTCGCAGTCACTCGTTTTAAATCATCATCTGAGAGTCTGTCACGGAGCTGATCTCGGAGATATTCACATCACTAATCATGATATTTATTGTGATGATCCACTTCGTCGCAGTGCCCCACTTTAACAGATCCCATAAGATCACATAAACATAATTCATTGCAAAGAAAGAAGGTTTAGATCATAGTAGATCCACTCTTGAAACGATGGCCGTTGTGCAAATGATGGGTGCTTTCCCATGGAGCCCGCGGAGACGGATCCTACTACTTAATGCAGCTCAACCCCTCGCGGGCCATTGTTGATTATTACACGATATACTTCATCCTGTGTGTTATTCCTCGATCGCAGCAACATGTCTTCCTCTACTACACTTGACAAAATCAACGTTGTCAACGACCCTCGGATCCGTCGCTGCTCTGCCGCCATCAATGGCAAGACATATGGTGTGACCTTTTGCTTCCCCCGACGTCTGGAGAAGGTCTCACTAACTTGATTTGGATAGGATATCTCCTCGCCGAGCCTGAGGGCGGCTTTACTCGCACGGTCTTCTTGGTATGCCATTGAATTCAACCAATGGGACCACTGGTAGCTGACTCGTGCAAAACAGATTCACGGTTTCCCAGACTTGTCCATGGGATGGAGATACCAGATTCCTGTCTTTCTCAAACTTGGCTTCCGCGTCGTTGCTGTTGACTGTATTGGATATGGGCGATCAGTAAGCCTAGGATAACTAGCTGTGCTGTATGATTGGTTCTGAGCTCGTGCTGATCTTGTTCGTCTAGGATGCACCAACTGGGTCTCTCGATGCCTATTCCTACAAGTCGCATGCCGACGACTTGGCCGAACTTGGAAAGCAACTCGGCTGCGAGAATATCGTTCTCGCCGGTCATGACTGGTATGTTCCCATTCCCTCCGGGATTAATGCTTGATGAGAACACATCTAATCCTCCGAGTAAGGGGCTCGGTGATTGCCTCCCGTTTTGCTCTCTACCACCCTTCTTTCATTACCCATCTCATTCTCTTCGTTGTCCCATATCTCCCTCCCTCGCCGAAATACATTGATACGGCAGATCTCGCCAAGATCGTCCCCACAGTTGGGTACCAACTGCAATTCGGCAGCGCAGAAGGTGTGGTTGAGTCCCATACTCAAGAGAAGGAAGGTATCCGTGCTTTCCTCAATGGCCTGTACGGTGGGGCCACTCCTGAAGGCAAATTTGCCATGGACTCAACCCGCGGTTTTGACTTCGAGGTGGCCACCAAGCTGGGTCATACAAGATTGCTCAGTGAGGAAGAACTGAAGTATTACGTAGAGGAGTACTCGAGAAATGGACTCCAAGGACCTTGTATGAGCATTCCCTCTCATCCTATAAAAAACAGAAAAACTAATGAGCTTGTAGGCAACTACTACCGTATTCGCCAACAAAGCTGGACGAATGAGCAGTCCCTCCTGGCCCAGGGCAAAGAGGCGATCTCAATCAAGTGCCCCGTGCTTTACGTTCATGCGCTTGCTGACCTTGTGGTCAACTCGGAGATGCCCAAAGCCATGGTACCATTCGTGCCAAATCTCACTGTGAAAGAAGTCGAGGCAGGGCATTGGGCTCTGTGGCAGAAACCAGCGGAGGTTAATGCCTTTGTGACGGAGTGGCTGCAGCAGCAGGGACTTGTTGACTCATCTAAGCTGTAAGGCGGTTGATACTTTTATTTTTTTTATTTGTTTATCTATTCATTACTTTTTTTTCAAGTTCTATGTTGCCTTTCTTTTACGGACTATAATACATTCGCTAGTAATTTTTGTTAGAAGCAGATGGCCAATGCATTAGCAATATAGGTATATGAATCATGAATTCTGATTTTTTTTCTTGGCATGAAATCGATTTTAGTCGACAAGAAATCACCCCTCATTGGCTTACGTATCGATTTATACAGCTACTATAAATCTTAAGTCAAACGTCACTGCCCCCCCCAACTGACTCTCTATCAAGTCTCAATATTTACAACAGAAGCAAGTCTCTCAATAATATACTTGATGAATCTTACTGGGAATGCGATAACCCAATCTTGTATTCAGCGTCGAATCAATAAATGTCCCTAATCTCAGCCTTTCGACCCCGCTCTATTCGAACCTCTTCCCTTCGCCACAGGCCCCCAAGAAGGCGGGATGAGCGAGAACAAAGCGACATTCATGACGCCGTGGTTGAGGAAAGTGACGATGCACATTCCATTATAACCCCTTCAAAGCATACCCCAAAGGCGTTTCGAGTCTTACGCGGCTCTGTATCGGCTGGTGGGCCTCTGCGTCCTTTTCGATTGGTGAAGCAGGATATCATCAACCTGCGCCGGCGATATGTTTCGGATTGGACTATATTCAACCAATTGATCTTCGCTAGCGCGGTATATGTATTCTTTACCAATCTCCTCCCGGGGATCACTTTTGCCAGTGACTTGTATGTCTTGACTGGCAAGACATGGGGAACGATTGAGGTTGTGCTTAGTACGGGACTCTGTGGAATTGTCTTCTCTTTGTATGCTGTCCGGAAGAATCACGAAGATTGTTCAGGCTAATCAATTCCAGATTCTCTATTCAACCTCTAACAATCCTTGGCGTTACCGGCCCTTTCTCTGTATTAGCGGAGAATATCTATGCATTGTGTGATGAAGTTTTCAAGGTATTTCCTTGCAGAAGCAAATCCGCCACTTGTATATCAATCACCTCAGCAGTATTTGATAACAATAACAGGTGCCCTTCCTCCCTTTCATGGCATGGTCTTTGATTCATGCAGCCTGGTTGCATTATATATTAGCCATAATCAATGCCCACGACTGGACTATGCGCTATGTGACAACATTCGCCACAGAAATCTTCTCTCTCTTGAACAGCATTATATATTTCCACAAGGCCATCCAGGAGCTTGAAAGAGCACACGACACTCTCTCATTCGCTGCTTTCCTATACGCGGTAATCGGCGCCGTCGGAACCATGCTCTTCGCCATCTTTCTCTCCACAGCCGAGAGTTGGAAACCTTTATTCCATCGCTACATCCGAATGGGGCTCACGGAGTACGCCGCTGCCATATCTATCATCGTCTTCATCGCCATGCCCCATATCGGCGAATTGGCACACCTTGATAAGATGACTCTTCCCGTCAGTAGCTCCTTCAAACCTACATCACCAGACCGTGACAAGTTTTTCGTCGAGTTCTGGACCTTACCCGTCGGATGGGTCTTCGCCGCCATAGTTCCAGGAGTCATAATCACCATCCTCTTCTTTTTCGATCACGAAGTAAGCTCCATCATATGCACAATCGACAGATACGGCACCCGCAAACCCGGCGGCTTCGCATGGGACATCATCCTGCTGGGCACAACAACTGCTCTCTGCGGAATCCTGGGCATCCCACCCGCCAACGGCCTCTTGCCCCAGGCTCCCCTGCATTCCGAATCACTCATGCATTCGGAGCGAGAACAGCGCACCGTCGTGACAGATGGCGAAGAGAAAGTTGAGACGCACGAAGTTAAGCGCGTTTACGAACAGCGCTGGTCCTCTTTCTTGCACGCAGGGGCTATCCTTCTTTTCGTCAGTCCGCCGTTCATGAAAGTCCTCGGCTTAACGCCGACGAGTGTTCTCGCCGGTTTATTCATGTTCATGGGTGAGCAGAGCTTATCGGTCAAGTAAGTACAGACTGTCAACTCGTTGTTATGGGGGAGAATATAGCTCACCCAAGCATAGCCCTATATTATACCGAACCTTTTATCTTCTTACCCCTCCATCTGAACTCCCGTCTTTACCATCTTCTCTTGCGAAGAAACCAGGGGATCCGGATCTTAATGACAGTAGCACTCCACCACGTCCCTCTTACATCCCCATCCACCTATATACTATCCTACAGATCGTCATCACGGTGGCTATCTTCATCGTCACCCTGACGCGAGGTGCTCCCGCCTTCCCCGTTTTAATCGTGGCTCTTGTTCCCTTCCGCCTACTAGTAATGAAACGCTGGTGGCCGCGCGAGGTCCTCCGCTTTGTCGATGCCTGGGCTTGTAGAGAAGGTACTCCTGAGGACGATGAAGATGCAGAGGCAAAGAAGGATGAGCTTAGCGGCGACGATATCACCGGTCGTGCCGGTCTGGGTACCGAGGCAGTTGGGACCTTTTCCTCGCAGTTAGATGAATCCAGGCGTAAGCCATCTGGGACGCATCCTGGAGCGCCAGCTGTGATATCTAGATCTACGTCTCATCCGGGTGAGGTTGATATTGCGGATAGGAGTGACTCTGGACAGGAGTGGGTGGAACTTGAGTATCGGACGCGACAAGACGAGGAATTGGGTCGGTCGATCAAGGGGTGTTGATATTGTCGTCTCGCTGGTTCGTTAAATGATTAATGATGGGGACGGACAGAGTTCAGTCATTTGGATTTTCTATCATAAATCTATATATAGTTATTTTGACAAAACATTATTATCCCAAGTCGACTAGGGTATCTCCTGTAGACAAGACCTGCGCCAATCCCATTCCTTGACTCCTAATCATAACCAATACACAAAGAATAGCGCCCATGCCTGTATCAGTAGCCCAAAGTCGAACAAAGCGGCAAAAAGGAATATCTTGCGATTCCTTCCCAATTATCGATAATACATCATGCTCTCCAACCCTGAACAAATTCGTGAAGACGATCGATAACCACACCGAATATAGCATTTACGCTGTCACCGATGAGTTGCTCGAAATGACGAATAGCCTCCTCTTCTGTCATCTCTAGATGAAACCTCTCTTTGACCTTGAGTACCGCCTTATCCGGCTCAACGCGGATATCAGGGATATTGGCGTCGACCATCAAACTGAACAAGTTGAGGATAAGGTTTGCCGACTTGCGCAGCGTGGTGTACGCGGTGAAGCAGTATTGCTTGAATTGAAGGTAATGGGGAGATGTGGTGCCGCCCATTCCTTCAACCATTTCTTTGCAGAGCTTCATCATTGGAGCGAATGGTTTGGGGTCTCGACCGAGGATAAAACCGAAGTCGGCGTGGAAGAAATGGCCATCTGGGGCGAGGAGAAGGTTCTCAAGGTGCCTGTCGCCGACACCGAGGAGGTATGTAATCACGCAGTATCCGGCACAGGATTTGATGTAGGTATCCATAGTCTCCTTTCGGACACCGAGTGGTTCGCTCTCATCAGGGTTGTTTGCTTGGAGATATGCAAGGACTGACCTGTGCTTGGCTGAGATCGCAGATAGGGAAGCCGATGGAATGAACTGAACGGCGCCTGCCGTAGCATTGGTCGCGAGAATTCGATATGGGGTCAGCTTAAGATCCAAATTCTCCTTCTGTAGGAGACGGTCCATCAAAATGATTATTTGTATAACGAGCTGGTCTTGACGGAGATCATCACCGACTTTGAAAAGGATTGGATACTTCTGCCCTTCCGATGTCTTGAAGGTGATGAGTAGAGGAGACAGGGTTGATTTGAAGACGTTGGAATCGTCCGGAAAACAGCCCGTGACCGATATCTCTGGATCGATGGGCAGCGGCAATGGAGGCTCGATGTGCACAAGCTCGTTTTTAGGATCTTTCAGATACTTTTTGAGCTTCTCAATCTTCAGTGGCCGGTTATCTCGTGAAAATCTGAGGTCCTTGGCGATCTTTGAGAGCACGGCAACCAGTTCACCCTGGCGTAACAGCGTTTTCCGATGCTCGGGATGCACTTGTTCCAAATCGGCCATGAAATAGTACTCTACCCGAGCGAAGAGTCTGCGCTGCGCGGACAAGGTCCCAGGGCTAGTATCATCACATTCAACCATAAGATACCAGTGGAAATAACTTCCGAGCTTGAAATTATTTGCAGCGCGAGTGATCAGAAAATTAGCCAGCGACGAATCATGGGCAGCATCTTCAGTGTCATTGCTGGAATTTTCTTCGTATTTTAGCGCCTGTACTAGCTGGAGGAGGTAAAGGAGAAGCTCCTCATCGTCAGCCTTTCGAAGCCTTTCAACTGCATAAGAACGGACTGCCGGGTTATCGAACGTTGGTCCAAGGAGCTCCAAAGCATCATCGACATCAATTTCGGTCCATTTAGGAAGAATTTCCACTGCTTGATGTGATTCACCGGCATCGCGCCAGTTCACCGACTTAACAAATTTAGTCAACGCTCGCTTCTCACGAGTTAGATAGTATCTGAAGCGCCAAACAAGGTCCTTCTCCTCAGCAGTGAGGTCTTGCGTTGGCTCGTACGACAGTATGGCGTTTAGTTCATCCCGGATCTTTGGATTTGGTTTCAGGTCTCTGTCCATGATGCCAGTACGGTGACTACGAATGAGTCTTCTGTGCTTGTCCTCACATGGATTACCTGTCTGCCCAACTTCAGGGTCGTATATTTTGATCACACCCTCTCCATCAGCACCTTCGATTCCGGGACCAAAGCGAACCTCCGGTGCAGGTTTCAGCGCAGAACTAGGATTCACAGGTGCATTCTGGGGGTACGACGAGACCGGGGGCGGAGGATACTCGTGATCAGACCAGACGACGGGGTGGTCAAAGCGTGGAAATTCGACGTAGAGAGTAAAGTTCTCATCATTCAAATTACCTTCATCCGAATCATCTCCATCAGCCCCATATTTCTCCCGGTGTTTCTGCTTCGTCGATTTTAGAAGGATGGCCCGCTTCCTTGCGGATTCTTCGGCATTAAGTTTCAGTTTCTCCAGCTGACGAAAGACCATCTGGTCCATCCAATCGATCCGTGGTATTTCTCCCATTTCATGCTTCTTGATCAGGACCTCTACTCGTTCCAACTCTATCTCCTCGAGAGAAGGGCCTAGCGAATCAGGAGTATTGACCTTCCGTCGCTTCGTTGATGGGACAGAAGGGGTAGTTGTCGAAGAGAATCCATCGGCAGCTTTGTGGCGATATACCTTGCACTTCTGCCTCCCCATCTTCAATTTACCCTCTTCATCAAACAGGGATATTGTTGTTCCTCCGAATGGGACGTAATGGCCCTGCGCACCTTCGCCGCCAAATGGGGACAAGTCCCAAATGGTTATCGCAAGCTGGCATTGGTATGGGGCATCCTTGAGTGACATAGGCATCTGTAGCCATTCATTCCAAGCGCGGACCGATTTGAACGTCCTATATGAGGTTTGCAAAGGCACCCCCAGCGGTTTCGAGTCTGACCATAATTGCACCGACACAAATAGATCGGATGTGGGGTTCTGCACGGAACCGAGGTGTCGCAATTCCGGTCGCTTGAGGAGTACAGAAAAGGGTATCTCTTTTTGCTTCCCTTCCAAGGAGCCACTGCCGAGTAATTAGTTGATTCGGAACCCAACATCTGCCATTACAAAGCAACCCAAGGACTTGTTTGGCGTTTGCGGCGTCGCTTACATTTTGATTTGAATCGGAAAGTCCACCTGGGTGGAGATAGCGAATGTAAAGGCCTCCATTTTGATTCGGAGATTCCGAATCCGCCCTCATTGACTCTTGGAGTCCTTCATGACATGTATCTCTGTGAGAGGAAGACAAAAGAGCTTCGTCCGGAGAGATGGCAACGCGGCCTGTTGATTGGCCAAGATTCATGAGCAACTTATCGGATGACGCGGGGTCAGCTGATTTCACGTGATATCTTTCGCAACGCGTTTGGCGCGCGGGCAGTGTTGAAAAAGTAATAATGATGGACAGATGAGAGAGATTGTTGGTGAGGCCACTACTACGGAGTACTATTAGTGGTCTAATTGCCTCATGCCTTTCTTACCTAAGTGACTTCGGTGCTCTGATTAGTTATTCCTAGTGTATTATATCTTTGTCTCACTGGCCTGTCATTGTTTCGGCCCAACCCCTGTCGCGTCTTGTGTTTAACGTACTTTCGTCGAAGTCCCGCCACTAAGCATGGCACGCATTACACACAGCCGTAGGCCTCCAAGTCAATCTTCATCGCCAGGGCCTTCATCCGATAAAGAAAACCGCCAAATTTCTGCTCGTGTTGAAAAAAGAAGCCAGGCTCAGACCATGGCCTCCGGCGCCAATGCCAAGCGCCAGCGATTGTCAAATAGAGCGTCCAATATTCAAAGCGGCAGTCAGTCGCAAGTACCAGGATCGCAACAGGATCGCGATAAACAATTTTACGACCCAGATCAGGATGAAAAAGACCGAAGACGGGTTAGGAAGGGACTCAGGGACTTGACGAGGGAGCTACATGGTACGGTCTCACCGCACAGTACTTTATTTTCAATGTATTAACAATGGTGTAGATTCTAGGAGCGAGTATATGCAACCTGGCAATCATGGCATTCGGGACACCATCCAAAAGGCCAACGAATACTTCCAAGAAGTTAAGCAGACTTCAGACGCTACGATCGACTCACGTCTCTTGGTCAGCGCCGCCGACCTCTCGTACAAGAAGACCGCACATTTAGTCTTGGGAGATGCATCTGCAGGTATAGATGTGGATGAATTTGTCTCTAAGTGCATATCCTTTATGCGCAGGGCTCCAGAAGATTCGCAAGCTATGCTGTCGAGTACACAGCGTCGTCGTGGTCAAGCCTCAGGCAGGAGCCAAGCGGACCCCAATGATAGCGATGAGGATCAAGGAGATGCGATGAACTGGGACTGGCTTGGACGGTCTGCTTCTTTCCGCCATAATGCACGGCCGTCCATTTCCGGGTTCTTGCTAGGACCGTTGTCGGTACAAAAGCGTACCCGACAAATCACACAGCGAAGGGTTAGAGAGCGTATCGATCCGTCACAAGCAGTGCGACCACAGGAGCTTCGGGAAGAAGACCTTGATCGGCAAGAAACGTCCAACCTTACCACCATGTGTACCAGCATCAACAAACTGCTTGCAAGAACGCAGAATGCTGGCCAGGATATGGTAGAGCGACTTCTGTCGCAACTAGAAGAAACTCCCACAGACGAGATGGTGCAAGAAGTGATGGCTCAACATCATGTTGCGGATGATGGTGGTGTTCCCCTGTTTCACTTCTGCATCAACCCGAGGTCGTTCGGACAAAGCGTGGAAAATCTGTTCTATGTCAGCTTTCTGGTCAGGGATGGCACAGTTGGAATTCAGGTAGACAGTCGGCACTTGCCAACTCTACGTAGGTCTCCCCTGGGCTTCATTCATACTTGTTTACCTAACGTTGGTTATGACAGATGCTGCGAAACCGTATGCCCCAAGCGAAGCCCAAAGGAAAGGGGTTCAGAAACACCAGGCTATATTCAGCCTTGACTTTGAAACCTGGCGGGACCTAATCGAGGTGTACGGTATCGAGGAATCCATCATTCCTCACCGCGAAGAAGAGCAACATGAGAACACTGGGCACGGCTGGTATGGTTAGGGGCTGTCTGGCCGCATTGCTCTGCTGACGACAGTCTCTGGAGCCGGGCATCTGAGTTCTTGTTATTTCCTATCTTTCCCGTTTTGTAATTAATCGTCGATACTTGTGATACCCATCTTGTTCTGCACGTTGCAAATGAAAAACCCATGTTTTCGTAACATTGCTTATTACTCGTAAAAGAGTTCTGCGCACGTGTTTCTAATTGAATTGGAATTACATAATAATTCGTGATTTGAAAAAGTTAACTAGTTCCTCCGTAAGGTAGCTTAGCAAAGCAAAAGAAAATCCAGTCTGTTGGCTTAGAGATGCACCGCGTTCTAGACCGTAGGCCCCGCCAGCATTGCCCGGTCAACATCCAATGTCCATGTGTGGCGTAGGCCGAATCCGTATTGCAGTAGCAGTAGGTACTATGTAACATATCGCTTCAGTCAAGCCTCAAAATAAATTCAAGAATTTTCCAGGTACCAAAATATATGATTGGAGGAAGCGGAAGTCTTTTCTGGTTTGAATGAGCCTTAGGCAGGAGTCCTTTGGGCCCCGCGCTACGTTGACGTCACACTTAGCTGTCATACTGTTTCAGCCACAAGTCCAGATTCCTGTGCTTAATTAATTAAACTGATTACTGAACGAACCTCCCAGAGCATGTGAGACCACGAAAAACTAACTGGCTGTAGCTATAGTCCCAATAAGTACTTCAACCCCCCATCACGACAATCTCCCCCTGATCATAGTCACACGAAAAAGTATACTCTCAGTCATGGCTCCGCAACTATTTCCCACGAACCCATCCGAGGTGATGGTAATCCGCAATGTGACGTCGGACGTGATAACAATGAGCTTGCCATTCGCGAGATATGGACGTTTAAAATTCGGCGGACGAGGAACTCTAGGTACATATCTATAGCCAAAAATCGATTTTCTCAACCGTCAAAGCTTGCGCAAAGAAAGTCTAACACCAACTCATACAGTCAAGTTGGCATCCGGCGCCATCGCAGTGTTTTCCCCCGTCTCCCTCACACCTCAAGTCCGCGAGGCCATCTCAAGTCTAGGCGGCCATCTCAAGTACATCGCAGCGCTGGACCTCGAGCACCATATCAATATCACGTCGTGGAAAGAGGCGTACCCGGACGCCGAGATCATCGCGCCCGAAGGCCTCTACGAGAAGCGGCAATCCAACCCCGAATACAAGGATACTCCGTTCCGACACGTGTTCCGCAAAGAGAACCACGGCCAGCAGAAAATCTCCGAAGAGTTTGACTCAGAGTTTGAGACCGAATACGTGTACGGACACCCGTCACGGGAGCTCGTGTTTCTGCATAAGCGATCGCGCACGCTCATCGAGGCGGATCTCTTATTTAATCTCCCCGCAAGGGAGCAGTATTCGAAGACGGGCGAAAGCGCTACTTCGGGACTGCTTACCAAGATTATCAGCCCGTTGCTGTCAACTAATGCGCCTGCAACATGGCAGAAGAGGTTTGTGTGGTATATACTGTCGAGTGGCGACCGGAAGGCCTTTAATGAATCAGTACGGCGCATTGATAAATGGGATTTTAATCGCTTGATTCCCTGCCATGGGGATGTGGTTGAGAGTGGGGCTAAGGGGGTATTTCGGACGGTGATGGAGTGGCATTTGGAAGGAAGGAAGAATATCTGATTATCTTTCTTTGATGTCTGTCAGTTTTTTCCGGCTACTGTGTTCTATACTCGTTCTGTGTTGATGCGGGCGTCCGACTGTACTACTACTACTACTCTGGGCTATTGATATGGGATAATCAATGTAATTGTATCATACCACATGCATTTCTTCATCGGCAATTCTGGGAAATATAAGTTAAGAGAATTAAAACCTTGGTAATCAATCACTCAGTTAAAGTGGAAACCGGTGGGAGAACAAAAAATGAACTAATTAATACTAGGGTGGATGACAATGTGGCGGTCAGATGATCTTCAGGCTACCATGCTGAACATGACGTCACTTCAGCCACAATCTTCAGGTTTCCTTCAGTTTGCTCGTCACCCGTACGGCGAATGTCGTGTATTTCATTTAAGGAAGAGAAAGAAAAAGAGGGAAGGAAGAAAATGAGGGAAAAAGATCCCGAGAAAACACCCATGTTGGGAAACTTGCGATACTATGTGAAATTCTTTCCATGGTAAAGATATGGAGCTATTGAACCCTTCCAGGCATAGGCCAGATATAGAGTGCGATGGATAGTGGATAAAGTGGATAGCCTGCAGTATGGTTTGCTTGCTGTTTTCTGCTTAGTGATGGACATGGTGGAGTACCTTTTCAGCCTTAGTTTGCAGCTAGTTCTGTTGATTCACTCACAAACTAATTTGTCAACGGTAATGATTTTCGAGGATTTCCGAACTTGTTCCCTTGCTTTTTTTTGTCATATGTACGGAAATCGAAAACTTGAAAAATTGAAGGAATCGAACGGTAATCATTGCTCCAGTAGAGGGGTCTATATTGCGCCACATATGAGGCCTGTAAACCGTACGGTCAGAGTATACTGTGCAACCCCCAGGTATACTCAAACTGTATCGTTGTCCACCGCTCAACAAAACTACCTGAAAGATAATCTGGAGCCTAGACGAGACGTCCACGTTGGGCAGAACACGAGCCCTTCTCATGAGCCAATCATCGAGGAGAAACTATGTCATGTCGCCAAAGTGACGATCAAAACCAATTAACTTCATTAACTCGTTCGAGAAAAAAAAAAAAAAAAAAAAGTTGCTGCAGATCTTCCTGGTCTGGTTGGAAGCTTGTATTTAAACCGGTTACTTCCTCCACCCTGCTCGCTTCTTGCAGCCGATCTCTCATATTTTATACCGTCCTCCTAGCAGACTACTGAGTGCAGTGTGATATCGAACCTACCTATACTCCGCATACTCCCTTATCAGGTACCATTATTTCGTGCCTGCATCTCTGACCTCACCATCTACACCGCTACTCCAGACTCACACAACACATTACGCTGTCATCATGCCCGTCATCTCACGTCTTGTGTCGATTGTTCTCCGCGTGGTGGAAATCATCTGCGGTGCGGTACGTTCTCCATGCATCTTCACAGGAGGGGCGATTATCTGTGGGAAAAGACAAAAGAAAGCTAACATAATCCGATCCAGATCGTCGCTGGTATCATCGGTTACTACCTTGGTTCGTTGAATGACCTTGAGGCTTGGCCTCAAGCACGCTGGATCTATACAGAAGTGGTCGCCGGTTTATCCATTCTACTGGGCCTGATATGGCTGATACCTTTCTCGTCCGGCTTCTTTTCATGGCCCTGTATGTCTTCGCCGTGCTGTGCTGTAGCGAAATCGAGATCAATAGCTGACATATTCTGACAGTTGATGTCATTATCTCTCTCGCTTGGTTTGCTGCCTTCGGTATCCTCGTTGATGCTATCCACAAATTCAGCTGCGGAAGTATCTGGGCATGGGGTGGTATCGTTCATAACGACGTCTGTGGTCGGTGGAAAGCGGCAGAGGCATTCAGCTTCATCTCTGCCTGCGTCTGGCTTGTGTCGGCGATTGTGGTTCGTACTCACCTTTACGCCTATGGTGGCAATGTCGTATACTAACTGGGTCTGTGCTTAGGGTATCTGGTTCACCTTCCGCGTCCGTGGCACTGCCAGTGACGGAGTGTAAGTTTTCCATCATGGTTCCTGGCCACCTACGTGATGCTTATCTCTATATAGTAGCAACCGCCGTGGCTTCTTTAGACGTTCCGCTGTTTAAAAATAGAAAGCTATGCTCGACGATCTTGTTTGATTTTCTCAGCTGCCCGACCAGCCCTGGGTATGGCCGACTATCAGCGAAAATCAGGCCGGTGATTCAAAGAAGAGACATCTATCAACCACCACGACACTCTTTATACCCCGATCCTGACACGATACTCCGCGTCGTGATTCAGCATTGGCACAATACAGCGCCGCCCTTGTTAAAGTCGCGTTAAGTTCCGCTTGAGGTTCACGGCTCGTCATCAGCGAGATACATGACCATTAACACGGGAAACGACCTAATGATTCTCTTTAATTACAATTAATACTAATACAGATACCCCGTTGGCGTGTTGATGAGCTCATGTGGCATGTTGGTGGCAAATATTATCACTCGTTATGTTTAGACCATGATCTTTAGTCTTTAGTTGACAATTCAAGTCTACGTTGGCTTTTTATCAAATGTGTGTTGTTGTATGAATGCCTCGCTTTTCAGGTGTCTTAAGATGCTTTGGTCCGTAGTTGCAGTCAGGAAAGCGAGTGACTCCGGCTGGTCGGGCTAAATTTAATCCTTAAAAACCAATAAGCTGCCGCCTTCCCCTTGACGATTGAGACATTCATTAAAAAAAAATATTATACTAAAGTCCAAGTCGTGGAGGAGTTGAAGCCACGTTGAGTGATTCGATGACTAAGTTCATTTAAAAGGGGCCGAATTGATATTCCTTTCCCGCGGTTCACTTTCCACTCATCCATGGCTTATGTTGCCAAAAATGCATTCGGACCAGACACCCAGAGGGGGATCCAGGTCCAGGTCCTCTTCCCCTGAAAAGAAATCCCCGGACTCGGAGGAGTATCCGATGCATATTCTGGCCCATGAGGACCCGTCAGGAAACAACCCATTTGTGATCGTCACCAGGCCAAGTACTGACTCTGTACACGCCGACGACCATTTCCAAGGCACCGATGATTTTCATGGCACCGATGAGCCGCTCCTGCCAACCTCAAGCCCACGATTGCGCCCTGATCAAGAATCGGGTCGATTCTCGTGCTCTCTCTCTAAGATCTATGCATGGATTAAAGGGCCATCGCCGCCGCGCAAGTATTTAATCAACCCGTGGCTGCGCCAATGGCAAACCGCTCCTGGTCGGCTCGTGCAGCGCTACTTTCCTAGCAAGAGCGCTAAGGTCTGGCTCCTTCTGCTTTGCCTAGGTGTCTGGGGCGCTGTGTTTATAGAGACCTTGCATTATTCCATCTCGGCCCAGGACATTCCGGGCTATGGAAAACCTGTAAAACTACCATGTTATGGCGGACTGTGGTATGGTAACGTCGAATGATTTCTTCCTGGTCTGGGCCTTATCCTGTGTACTCATCTACTTATCATGGCAGGTCGAACGCTACTAATTGTGGGATCAATGGCGATGATTGTCGTCCCTTTGATAAAGGAGGGTTTGCATTCCACTGCCCTGCAGGCTGTGCCTCCACGATCGTGCTTGAACCATATTATGTAGGCGCGGAGGAAATCAATTACAAGAATCTCGTTATCGGAGGGGGCATGGAGAGCTCTGAAAGTAACAACTTCGGTGTATATCGTGGGGACTCTGCAATCTGCCCTGCAGCCCTACACGCTGGACTCATCAGCGACCAGAAGGGCGGTTGCGGCATTCTCCGTCGGACAGGCGAGTACTCCGGCTTTGTATCCATCGAGAAGAACGGAATCTCAAGCATAGGCTTCCCATCTAACTTTCCACTCTCTTTCACCTTTGGTAGCGGGGAGTCTTCCGACGAGGGCAGCGTAAGCTGTCAGGACCTCCGATGGCCGTTGTTCACCTTCTCTCTGATAGTAACTGCTATATTATCACTATTCACCACGTCGCCTGCAGCGTTCTACGCTTCTATATACCTCATCGTCTACTTCCAAGTAGCTCTTTCGTCTGATCCACCTTACTCCCCAGATTTCTACGAGGTGGTATCCACCGCACTGGGCCGGTTTCTCCCTTGTGCCTTTGTTGGATTTGCAGTATACTATTTCTGCGTCCGGCACACGCTAAAAGACCTGGACGCCCACTGGGACAAGACCGTCCTCTGGCTGGGTCCCTGTTGGGTGGGAGCCCTCAATACCGACACTTTCGACAAGATCCCCATCTCCCGTTTGACGCCCCACGACATCCAACAGCAACCAGGCGCCATCCCCGCCTTGATCATCATTGTCACTCTTCTGATCGCCATCGTGTTAACCCAGGCCCTCGCTTTCCGCAACGAGGGCAGACTCCCCAAAATGCTGTCTATATACGGCATCATGGTCTGCGGCATCGTTGCCCTTCTCGTCGTACCAAACATGAACCTACGAATCCACCATTACATCCTCAGTCTCCTCTTCCTCCCCGGGACTACCATCCAAACCAGACCGAGTCTCCTGTATCAAGGTCTCCTGGTCGGCCTATTCATCAACGGCATCGCAAGATGGGGCTTCGACAGCATCCTCCAGACCGCAGCTGCTCTACTCAACGGCGCGGAGTTGGGGAGTATCCTCCCCGTAATCGGGGCTCCGTTCATCCCTTCAGCCGAAAACATTGTCTTCAAGTTTCCGGATGTCGCCGAGGATGCTGATGGGATCAGCGTGTTGGTGAATGATGTAGAGCGGTTTCAGGCTTTTAAGTCGGATAATGGCTCTGTGGAATCCTTCAATTGGACGCGGCTTAAAGCCGATGAGCCAGAGTATTTCCGGTTCGGGTACGTCAAGATGAATGCGCTTGGTGGGCTCTGGTATGAGGATTTTACGAAGCCTGTTGTTTGGGAGGCGGATGGGGTGTGGAATAATTCTGGACATACCTGAGAAGTCTTGGGTTGTCTTCTTCAGAACTCTTTCATATTATTTCGTATATATAGAATGTATATATTACTGTCATGGCCCGCATAGGCGATGTTCACTGAGGTGAGCTAGCTATAGCAGACTGGTATATACTTAGTGTATAGCTTGTACAAGGATTCTAAAGTCCATCAAAACATGACAATGCCCTTAAAATGACCCGATTTCATCACGAAGCGCCGTAACACCAAGCATGCTTTATATTCAAAGTCACACGCTTTCCCCATGCCAGCGAAGAAACGAAAACGCAAATACAGAAGTCATACCCAAGAGGAGGTTCACGCTAACCTCTTACTTTTTAGAATAGTTGTTACATCTCACCTGCACGGTCTTCTGCTCTCCACCATCCCCAATGACTAGTGCCGTCAGTTTTCCACCCTTGAAGCAGCCGGTGTCGATGCCCTTGGTGTAAGCCTTAAGAGAAAGTGACGACTTGGAATCATGACCATAGATGACGGTCGTGAGCATCGACTCGGGATTTTCGAAGGTCTCATGGAGACTATCAGAGAGAAGTGACTGGTGCTTGTTGAACAGCTGATATATTCATTAGCCCTGAACAGTAACGACGATTGCATATATGCAAGAGACCGAGGCGGGGAAAAGGGACTCACCTTCGTCCACTTCGTGCCTTTGAACGAAGAACTCGGCACATGCGTATCCAAATCAACAGTCAACATATTCATAACACTATACGGATCTTGCTTATCGAGATCCACCCCCGGAACCAGCCCTGCATGGACCACAACAACCTGTCCCATATCCTGGATCTGGCCTACGTTAAGAACAACCGGACAAGTATCGAGCCAATCGGCCTGCTCATCGCTCAGCTGTCGCGCCAATTTGCGCTCCCTTGTGTACTGTCCCCTGTGCATGTTTGCGTCGTCTAGGAATTCGTCGTTTATGGTGTTGGCGGCGATCATGTTGTGGCGGAGACTGAGGACTCGGTCCTCATGGTTGCCGCGGACACAAGACGCTGAGTATTTGCGAGCTAGGTCGACGACACCTACGCTATTAGGGCCCTTGTTGATCATGTCGCCGGTGAAGATGAGATGGTCGGTGTCTGGGTTGAAGGATGTCTCTTCTAGGAGTCTTTCCACTGTAGAGTCCCCGAGACAAAACAATGTTAGTACTCAGTAAGCGGGATATATAGTGTAGGGATATTATAGGCAATATACGCACACTCATCCTTGCAGCCATGCACATCACCAATAAAAATCAACCGCCTCCCGCCATGCTGATCGGATTCCGATGCCACCTCGCCAGGCAACAGCGACGGCTCCAACGTCCTCAACTGAACCATATTATCGAATCTGGGTAACGCATTCGCCCCAAACCACCCGCCCACTTCCTCCTTCACCTGCGGATCCAGCGCGCGCAAAATCGCTGCATGTTCCTCTAGCCGCGGCAACACGATGAACTTCCAACCAAGCCAGCACGAGAGCAGAACCGTCGTATAAACAACGACATAGCGACGGAAACGGGGTGCCGTTATGATCGAGCCGAGTATCTGGACCCAGCGCGGGTAGTCGGAGGAGGTATCGGTGTTTGTTGTGGGAAGGGAGGCATATTTGGGGTTGATCTTCCACTCGTTTCGGACGTAGTCGATTAACGGGCGGGTATATCTGGTCAGACGGTAGGATGGGACATTGTTGTTGTCGTCGTTGAAAGAGTGTAGACCGTCGTCTGAGGAGTCGTCGGTGTAATCGAGGTTGTTGATGTTGGAATATCTTGCCATGGTACAGGTTTAGATTCCCGAGGTAGCGGGTTCTAGGGGACACGGTCGGATTTCCGGGACGGATGGACTTCTTTTCTTTGAGGATGTGGATCGCCCTTGGTCGGGATGGAGTTCACTATACAGTGACAGTGACAGTGACCATGTCTTGTATATCAGGGGATTGAGGTCGTGTGCCTTCTGGAGCGGCTTAGATATGATAAGGCGGCAATGTTCGTATCCGCGGAGGCTTTTATGACTTAAACCAGTTAGCATGATCATTGATGGATAAGAACCTTGAACTCGAGGCCAGCGAAACGATCGCCAATAAAGTTTGCATTATTCCCAGTTGGGTTAGGGCCCTCTAAATATAGATTATATAATACTCCCATTATCGGTTGGTTATAAAATTATGCCAGTATAAAATTGGAGAATGTTGTTCAATTCCTTTTAATTTTTATTCCTAAAAAAAAAATTAGTAAATAAATCAATAAAAATAAATATATAGAAAGAAAGAAAGAAAGAAAGAAAACACTGACTTATGAATAAAAAATACTCAATATGAGAATATTGTAGCACCATGCGATAATCATCATCGCCTGTCTATATAAGGCACTCATCCCCTCAAAAGTTGCTAACTCGCTATGAAGCACACTCGGATCTCTACTGCTATCCGCAAGGTATACTCCACAGTCTTCCAAGTAATGCAGACTGCTCTAGCGGAGTCTCTGCTACCACGGGTAAGTCTTTACCAGTTCCGGGTATATAAGTCTTGCTTTTATTAAGACAGCGATCATCGACATCTCCCTTCTTAGAGTCAATACCAAGTCCCAGACTCTAAAAGCATAACGCCCAGAAACATAGCAGGACTTACCTTGTTACAATGGAACTAGCCTCAGACAACCCCACTTCGACACTCGTGTCCACAACCGAGCATCCGGTCTTGGATGACGACTTTCCCACCATCTATGACGCATGGCGGCCCTATCTATCTCCCTGCAAGGAGACAGATGAGGTATAGGACAAACACAAGGCTGTGATAAAAGCAATTACGGACCGCGTGGATACAGCGGGATTTTATGCATAGGCAGCTATCGAGTCAACGATAACGAATCACATCACAATAGCCGGCCTACATTGCTGATATCGGCGGAGAGAGAACATTGACGAGACTGGCGTCCGGTAGTCGACGAGGTTAAGAGTATATTGGAGGAGTTCGGGATCTGCACGGTTCATGTCATGATTTACAGGGAGCCGAAAGAGGAGAGGTGGTGAAGCTGTTCGAGGTGATTTGTGTTGTTTGGGTTGTTGATGGCCATAGAAGAGTTGCGGTATTTGGTGGCTGGATTGTTGAATGAAGGGATTTGTGGTCACTACTAGCCCTGCTTTTTCTGGGGTTTTTCTGTTGTTAGTATACCGAAGTACATTCTCCGTGTTGTAGCGTACTACTAGTATTAGTACACCTCTGAAATCTATGATGGTCCTAGACTGTAGTCGTGCATGTACACTCTTCATATCCCTATCAGACGAGAAGACGAAGCCATCCGTACATCCGTACAACAGCATTCTAGATCTACAAGGCTTTCAGTGGGATTCGAAGCTATTTGTTCGATCTACTCTTTGGCTTATGTGCTTCATTCTCAGAAGACGGGAAGCTAGGCAGTGATCTGAAAGATGTATAAATTGCTGGTGCCACGGATTTGGCCCAATTGCTAAGTCATTGAATGGATGATGATGATGATGATGATGATGATAAGTGACGCCCTTGTTTCGCCCTGCGTATGCTTGCCCATGAACGCCTTGCTAATCCGGAAAGTGAAAGAGAAAAAGAAGGAAAGAAAAGAAAATTATTACATATCAATCGAGGAGAATGATGAGTGTGAATGCAGAAGGGAAAAAAAAGTAAAGAGAGAGAGTGTGTGTGAGGGGGGGTACAGGAGGCGGGGGAGAGAGAGAGAGTCGGTGAGTTAGAGTTCAAGATCTTCGACAATCTTTAGCATGCTTTCAAAATCACAAATGAGACATTACATTAGACAGGAGGGTATTCGCTTGCTGCGGTTCAAATTAAAAAGAAAAGAAAAGAAAAGATAAATGCAAGTAAAGTAAGGGAATCGAATCGATCGCCGATGCAGTGAAGAAAAGTGACAAATGAGAGGCAAGAGATCTTTCGGTGAAGCCAAGTTTAAGCACTCGAGCGTCGACGCAACTCATCTCGGTTGAGAAGTCGCCGGATGCGGGTGACAAATCTGGAGGTTGTGGAGTCTGTAGTTCATCAGGATTAGCAAAATGTGACAGGTAACATTTGGAGGACGAGAGGGGACTCACCGCTGCGGTACCTGCATGTTGTATGCTTCGAAGAAGTCTCCGAAGGCGGCCGTGATGAAGAAACTTCGGCCCAATAATTGACATCTGGATAGCCAGGGAAGTTCTTGGACCATGGGTTGTCCTCGGATTGTAGTTGAAGGGCCACGACGTGTGGATAGAGATCTCCCAATGGATAGAGAAGTTCCTCTGAGGAGAGGTCTTGCCTCATATCCAGGCTTTGACTCCTCTGTGGTGAAACTCATTAGATATTGTTTCTATGAATCATAGTCATAAGAGAGAGGTTGCACTCACGTAAGGCTCATAGTTGGTTTTGTAGCCCATCTTGATAAAAGGTTGAGGAAGGAAGAGGGATCGTAAGTTTGTGCAGAACGATCAATGGTCTGCTGAGGGGACGGGTGCGGTGATCTTTTTATCTTTGATATCGATCTTGATCTTGGATCTTCAGAGTGGTTTTAGCTTTTGAGATGAGTGTGATGGGTAACAAAGCGAGAAGCCTTCAAGTCTTTATAACGAGCGATGCAATCGTGGAGGCAGTCAGCCACACACACACACACTGACAAGGTGGGGATTTTAGAGTGCATGGCATCGAATCCACCGATTGATTGACATGGGCTCGACTCCTGATTTCGATTGGCAATTTTTCTTTCTTTTTTCTTTTTTCCCTGATTAACGCCATCTCCGATCCTGAATTAGCGTGTTGAATGATGGGTCAAATCAACTAAAATGATTTGAAATTTAGAAATTAGAACAAGAAAATTAAAGTCATGATCTCATCATGAAGTGTGCACAGGCTGTTCACGAGATGGCTAATGAAAAATGAGGGGAGTGACCCACTTGCAAGGGTTGGGAACCAATCATGGTCAGGAATGAACCGAATCATTCGCAATCAATTACCTCTTAGACTATTAGTGGGCCTTAGCCGACCTCGTATCTAAGCGTGTGTCCTTGTGCAGCAACCCAGGGAACGGAGATGGTGCTTGTGACCGGCCACTCATAATTCTCGGGTGCATTCGGTCGACCCACCCGTCAGGTACACAGACTTCCGTCCCTGAATGGATCTAAACCATATCGGGATTCTCCTCCTGAACATTGAGCAGCTAAGCTCATTCTCGTTAGTCACTTGACTTGGTCACCAATAGTAGTGTTATACTAATTGGGTTAGTCATCCCAACACGAATCAAGTGTTCGGCCTGATCGACAGGCCAACATACTTCATTTCGCTTCTTACTGAATTTCTCCCTTGCGTCCAGTGAGGTCATGTTCACCCCATCACCACGTTGTACAAGATGCTGTCCCTCAGCAAAATATGATAATCAGGGCGTGTCCACGCGCTATCACCTCCTGTGTTACCTCAAATGTAGGGTGTGAACCCCGACACCATGTGTGTGTGTGTGTGTGTGTGTGTGTGGGGAGATGTGGCATGTACTGTACGTATGTGTTGGTGACACGACAGCAAGCAGCTCCTGACCGCTGCAACACAACAGAGGATGCCCACAAAGGAGCTGTCACATCTGCTTCAAGTTGCGGCATCCACTATTGACAGTGACATTCAAGGAACCCCGTTTCGCTCGATCCCACATTGGGTAGGGGCGTTGGTCCGTACCTCGCATAGATAGAGTCCCATTGTCAACTGTCAATGTCATTCATAACGACCGCCCTAGTAACCATTGTCCTGGGCCTCGCTAGGTGAGGCGTGCTGAGCATTGTTGATGGGCTAACAAGGATCAACACTCACTAGTTGGAGAACTCTTCCAAATCTTTTTTTCCTTAGTGTCCCCGGGGTTTCCAAGTTGCTGGGTTCAGACTTCAGAGCGCTCAATAATCAATTAGTCTAGCGATAACTAATCGCCAACCGCAATCCTCTCATTGATCCGCTTACTACATGGGGTAGGACTATCGAGACTAAATGACCAGGGGTTGGTATGTTAGTGACGCCTTAGCGTCTTAGGGCCAGGTAGGGGGTTCCGCTTCGGTTAAGAACTAGGAGCACTAGCAGAGCACAGCCACGTCCAGACCGACACAGCCACGTACTAGGGCTGAGGTGGCTGTTCATATGTGGCTAGAGCTATGTGTGGCTTGACCCATTTTTTCCAATAGCACGATGGGGGATAGCCTCAGATCCTCAATATGAGCTCCACTCTGCCAGGGCTAAAGCTTATGACGACCATGTTCATACCGCAGAGGAACCCTTTCTGGGTCGTCCTTTACTCTATCCTTTCCATATTCACCGAATTTGTCTTTCGGGGTGCCCGTGCTTCTCCCTTTGGCCGACATGGACGATCCATCGTAAAAGAAACATAAATGCTATCATTTCCACTCTCCCTTACTCTCTTCTCCAGATACCCCAGACTACAGTTGAATATAATACTCTATTGACTTTTGTTCTTCATTGTGCTTCGGCCTCTCTTATCTTATACTTTAAGCTCCTGCCGCTTGCCGTACATGCTCCAAGCCAACCATAACAATGGACGTTCAGGGTTCTGGAAGAGAATGCTGGGAAAGTTCTCCATGTATGGAAATACACGAGTCCTCTCCCCTGGCATCTATCGCTTATCATTCCCCTAGTAAGAAACACCCCAATAGCTTGCGCAACTCTCATGATGGGCTTTCTCTAAGATCCGGTTCCCTGGCAGAATCGATCGGTCTGGACTCCGAATACAATGGACATGGACAAGCACCTGCTGTCTGTGTCTCCGAAAGTCCTTGTGAATACGATATGAGCCCAAATCAGGGGAATCTCACGCCCACGGAAGAGCCCCCTGTGGATGCGGAATTCTCTCAAGTGGATCTCAATGAATGGTACCCCCGGTATTGGGCCTGCATGCAACATTTCCTCAACCAAGGACAATACTCGCCTCAGGTGCAAGCATTGGCCGCTTTTGTCAACATTAGACTTCCATATCAGCGGTCCACCACACCGGTCATCGATTTTCCAGCCCCCCAAAACATGGACTCCGGAGTGGAAGGAACCTATAATGCTCCTTCGTTGAGGCCATTTATCCGACGTCTCATCGTGACAGGGTATGATACTCCATCAGTCTTGCAGGCATTTTTTGGCGATGATTGGCAAGCAGGAGTCGGCTGTGTTTGCAAACAGGAACGGATCAATTACTTGTTTACTGCCAAGAGTGGAGGATGGACATCAACCAAAGCGGCATATGACATGCTTCCCGATGAGCAGACACCATTTCTCCGGCCCCTTCGCGAAGCTACTGAAGAGGAACTACGTATCGCCGAATCACGGTGGAGTGAGTGGCTAGCAATGGAAGATTGGATGGTAGGATCGCGAAGTCCATGGTGAACCGGTCTAATGAAGCGACGAGCAATGAACCTGATGATATTTGTCACTCCTTAATTTATTTTCTTTTGTCATATCATCACTTTTCTCCTTTCACCATTTTTTCTCTTCTTTTCTTTTCATTTTTTCTTTTTTTGGTGTTGATTACCCAGTCTAAAATAGGGCTTATTTTTAGCGTCAGAATTTAATTTATATTGATTGCATTTTTGCGCCGCGTCGGATCCTGAAACCTCGGGATCTTCTGGACTTGCTTCGTACTAATTGAGGATGACCAGGGTGGGTTGGTATAAAGGTTTTTTTTTTTTTTTTTTAAAAAAAAAAAAAAAAAAATTGGATTTATCATATGCGCCCACCTGTATGGATGGTTTTCTAGATTGTTCTCAGCATGAATCCTCGGTTGGGAGTCTCGGACACATGGTCAAAAACACGTGCATTAGCGCATTTAAAATCATCTCAACAATGCCCTTATATTCGTAAATCCGTCTGGAGTGGATTAATCAATCTATTATAGTTGACATTTGACGTGTCAACGGGTGTCCATAATTTCTCGGCTAGCGTCCAATTGACGGAAGGAAACAAATCGCGAGACTAAACCGGGGGGTTCAAAGAGAAAGTAGTAGTTGCGCACCGCCACAAGTCGGTGTCTCCGACATGACGGGAGCTCCGGAACCACGCCTTTCCGCTTTCGGCATGGGGTTGCTGTCAATCTTGAAGGAAGTTGATGATCTCAGCAGCCATGACAAATACTCCCTTCCTGACTTTACCATTTGAAGTAAAAGTCACTAACATGAGAAGACTGACTCACTCCTTCGCGCAATCGCTTATAATGCGGTTTATAATGATCAACGGGAACTCCGGTAATGAACTTTGATACATTGAAAGCATGGAGCCTATCGCGTCGCTCCGGAAGTACAGTTCCCTGAAGCTAATTATATCTCCGCTGTCATATCCTGCCTCTGATGGATCCCCCGAGGCTTTTCTCAGCGTCTCGTATCATCGTCAGCCATGATCCGCACGCGCTAATTCCTTTGCTGAAGGCCCAGTTACCTTATTCCATTCCGTTGCTACGGCGCCTCCAGCATGGTCTAGCGTATCCATCATCTACTGCTAAAATTCTGACTACGTTCTCAGGGGTAGATGCGCCAACTTCTCCGTGGCTGGCTGCATATGTGGATCTCTTCGCGGGTCGCGAAACACAGATCGTGATCTACTCAAGCCTCGAAGCCCAGGCGACGTACCCTGGCATTGACGACGACGAATTTGTCTCGATTCTGCGAGCGTCCTGCGAGTCTCTGGAGCAGGCTCGTGCACAACTATTGGCTCTACTATCCCATGTCAAGACGTACATGCTACCGGACTACCTGTCATCCATCCAATCGATTGGATCCTGCCCCATTCCCAACAATCTGGGCCGGGATCCTGCATCCAGACACTCGGGTTTGATCCCTGCGCCGTCCCCTAGGGCTTTCCTAATTGGTAACCTACACACGGGACTATTTTCCTTACTAAGTGACTCGGGGGGTTATACTCATTCGGACCCCGTTCCAGGCCTCCGGGTTCACCGCTTCGATGATCCTCCATATGTCAAGTACCTATTTAAGGGCCAAGACTTTGTCATAGATAGCTCTGACAGCTCTGACAGCCCTGACAGAGCTCCGGCCCCACTTCCAGATGGCTTTCGCTTCACCGACAAAGGAGGCCGAATCGGGGTTCAACCACATCAATACGACCTGATACGGTTTCGCACCAGTGTTCCACGCTCACGTGGAACCTTAACCAAGCTCCCGGGAGTGACTATTTATTCCGATCGTGAGACTCAGCTCCAGCCACATTTGTCTGACAGCTCAGATGCAGCTGAAAACTCAGCTGACCGGGCTCCACTCGGAGAAATGCCCATCGCGTGGGCCTTTCTAGGTATTGATGGCAGCTTGGCAACCCTGCATGTTGAACCGGAGTACCGGGGTCAGGGACTCGCTTTGCATGTCTCCAAAGAGGCCATGCGACGAGGGATGGCCGAGGGTGGCATCTGGCGGGACCGCGGAGAGAAGGGCGAGATTTTGGTCCATGCCAATGTACTTAAAAGCAACACGGCCAGTCGTCGAGTGATGGAAAAGCTGGGTGGTGATATTGGATGGACATGCACGTGGACTGTGGTGGAATACGATATGTAGAGTGTGCATCGGTGTAGAGCGTTATCCTGCTTTGGGTATATTGATTTGATAGGCTATAGAATGCTCTCCATCTTAGTGAGAACTACACCTATCATACAGATAATGTCTCGTATTTTATATACAATATTAAGATGTTGACTGCATCATCAAGTGGTGTTTTGATGAAGTAAACTAAATAATCTTGCAATCTTTTGCGACCGGGTCGGGACATACAACAAATATATATAGCGACATTTTCACCCAGGCCTACTGTGAAGAGTCTATCTTGTTAAATATACCCTAACTTACATACTTCAATTATAAAAGATAACAACACAATTCTAATAGAACTACACAGAAATATAAAGATATATATAAAAGATAAAAATAAAGATAGGAAGTGATGTGACGAAAATAACGGTGTGCCTTACTGTGTAGAGATTGAAAGGTCAAGATGAGATTACTGTGTACGGAGTAGGAGTCGATAAGCATAGGTAAATCACCACCTCACAGTTTCTATATAAATTGTAAAAACTATAGCCGCCTGAATAGAACATTGTATCTTTTATTTATTTATTTTTTTTTTTTTCCTCGAGAACGTCACTTCATGAATCTCTTGCAGACTTCGACAAAGTATGACTCTGACTTTCAACTTCCTCTTTGGGCATAGCCAATACACCTTACCGGATACGGACTAGGTCCCCGATGTCGCAACCCCGCGGTGAATCATTGGATGAATCATCGTCTAAAGGAACTCCCGAGATAAAGTCCCGTTTCCATCAATTGCAACTCTTTCTCTTTCAATTTTCCTAAACTTCTGCTACCCAAGATACAAAATGAGCGGTCCTAAGGCTGTCGCTGAGAATATGCTCTGGGGAGGTCGATTCACCCGTGAGTACACCCGTATTCTATTAGACTGTCCACTGTACCCAGGTTTGAGATACTGATGCCTAGTGTTATTCAGAGGGCCTCGACCCCCTCATGGTTCAATACAACCAGTCCCTGCCCTATGACCGCATCTTTTGGAAACAAGACATTGCCGGCTCAATTGCTTTTGCTCGAGCCAATGTGAAGACTGGTATCCTCACGGAGCAAGAGTTCTCCGAGATTGAGCGTGGCTTCAAGCAGATTGCCGAGGAATGGAGCACCAACACATTCGCCGTCAAGGAAAACGACGAAGATATCCACACCGCAAATGAGCGTCGACTATCAGAAATCATTGGCAAGGAGATTGGAGGCAAGTTGCACACCGGTCGGTCCCGCAACGAACAAGTTGCGACTGACATGCGGCTGTGGTTGCGGGATGAGCTGCGCAGGCTGGACAGCATCCTGTGCGATCTCATCAAGGTTTCGATCTCTCGTGCAGAGGCCGAGCTCGACTACCTCATGCCAGGTTATACCCATTTGCAAAAGGCCCAGCCAGTCCGGTGGAGCCACTGGATTTTGTCGCACGCTACGGCTTTTGCCAGCGAGCTGCAGCGCCTCCGTGAAGTCACCAAGCGTGTCAACCGTAGTCCCCTTGGTACCGGTGCTCTTGCAGGCAACCCTTTCAACATTGACCGTGAGGCAATGGCCAAGGAGCTGGGCTTTGAGGGCCTGCTGTACAACTCCATGAATACTGTCGCCGACCGTGACTTCGCCATGGAGACTATGCAGTGGGGTAGCTCCTTCATGCTCAAGATCTCTCGCTGGGCCGAGGATCTGATCATCTACAGCAGCTTGGAATTCGGCTTTGTTCGCTTGTCTGATGCTTACTCCACCGGCTCATCGTTGATGCCTCAGAAGAAGAATGCAGGTAAGTCTAATACCCTTTGCTCCTTATGTTTCATCAAACAAAGTGATCGCTGACAGAAAACAGACAGCCTGGAGCTTCTGCGCGGAAAGGCCGGTCGAGCCTTTGGCCAAATGGCTGGTCTGATGATGACGATCAAGGGTCTTCCCACTACCTACAATAAGGATTTGCAGGAGAGCATCGAACCCCTCCTCGATCACATCAAGACTGTTAGCGACAGTATCCAGATCGCAACTGGAGTGCTGTCGACTCTTACCGTTATTCCTGAGAAGATGACGGCTGCCTTGGCACCGGAAATGCTTGCTACCGAGATTGCCGACTATCTGGTTCGCAAGGGTGTCCCTTTCCGTGAGGGTCACCATATCTCTGGTCGTGTTGTTGCCCTGGCGGAGAAGACCAGCATTCCCATGGATACACTTTCCCTCGAGCAACTGAAGACAGTTGATGCCCGCTTCGATGAAGATGTGCGCACCTGTCTGGATTATGAGCGTGCAGTGGAGTTGAAGGATGCTGTCGGCGGCACTAGTCGGCGGGCTGTCTTGGAGCAGACCTCTGTTCTGAGGAGCCTACTGTGAGTGCGCAGTCATTTACCATTTCGGGCCATATTAAAAAAAGTAGCAAGATGATAATATCTGGTATATACATATTCTAATACATAAGGTTTTCAATCAATCTTTTTCTTGGAACTCTTGGAACTCTTGGCAGCAGTACCGCAGCTTAGCCTTAGCAATCTTTGCAAAGCATTCTCTAGCCGTGTCGCGCCGACACCAGATGGCAACGCGATCCTGAATATTACCATTGGCATCCTTTCCGTTCTCGTGTGTGCGGTCTGGCTGCCAATGTGCTACCTGTACAAGCCCGTTGCCATTCGGGCTGTCCTTGGAGTTGAATACATCCTCTCCTGGCTGCGTGAGGTGCTTCCAGAAATCTTCGGATAATGCAGTCCACAGTGGTCCCATTTCGGAGGGATTCCTTTGCCTCGGATATTCGCGGCAGACTAGATGGCCATTGAGGACAAGAAGCTGAGTTTGTCGCAGAGTCCATCTGGGGCAGAGCGATGGATCCGGGTCACAGAAAAACTGCCAAACGCAGAGTGAGTACACTTGAATCCCGTATCTTCTAATGCTGGGTTGGGAAACCTTTTATCCTAGTCAAGGCAGTCGCCCTTATCCCACAGTGCGGCCCATCCGTTCACATACTTGTCACCTTGATAGTGTGCGAGGAATCTTACAACTGGCTCAAGGTTATCCAACATTTTCCCGGATATCCCTGGAGGCGTTTATCCTTTTTCGAAGAAGGAGCAGTGATCAATCGACAATCTACTGAATATACAGAGTAATTCCCCGCTCCTGTACATACTCAAGAAACTTTATACGCGTCCATGCTTGTGCAGACCGCAACATTCCAAAGAATCCATCTATCACGCAGATGTAGATCGCAACCCTGCAGAGTTCTCTTCGTTACGTCAACGAACAGAAAGTAAATACGTGGCCCAAGCCTGCAGAATGTATCGTCATGCCTTGACCAGGTCTTTTCCGACTCCGCAACAAGATGGCGGTCAAGAAGATCCCTGTTTCAATGACACATCTTTCAGCTAAGGCATTGCCGGAAACTTTCTGCAACGGAGATGATCGCTCGGGGTAGCTTGTATACATTTATCTCTGGCCTTTGATGATACTTGTGAGCGCTATCTCTCATCCTTCAAGTTTCCTTGGCTGACGATGTGTCATATCCTTTTTACATGCTCTGCAACTGACCTGGACATAAGAATTCGGAACTTGGATGTCTGTTAATTCCTGGGGACCGTTTCCCTTCCATTCACTTCACTGCTGTGTTCGTCACAGCCCCACCAGTATTCCATGCGAGGTACTCTTAGTTCCTAGGGTGAGATTGGCTATAGAGTGGATTCGAGAGTCTGGATGAGTGACGAGCTCACAATCGAGGACTTTCTTCTGTCTTTTCTCCCGGGTCATAGAGTAAACGAGAGAAAGATTGATGGATATCATAAATACATACTCTGTACATGCAGAGATGAACCCCGCAAAGTCAAACACCCCGAAGTAAAGTAAAACATACCCAGTCCTACACAAGGGGAAATAAATGGGGGAAGAAGAGAAAGTATTACTATTATTTGGGGCCTTTTGAATGCTTTTCTCCATTGGGCTTGTCAGTCTGTACCTCTCCAGGATTAGCCACCCACTCTGGTCGATGGGTCGATCGCATCGACTTCCTTGCAGTATCATAATCCATAAAACTCATAGCATGGGAACTAGCCAGGCCATGAGTAGGGAGACCATTTTGCTCCGAAGCAGAAGTATCAAAGTTCGCAGATAGGACTACGCCATCGGTAGTGATGACCGGCGGCGAATTGGCAGGTGTCGTAGACTCCTCTACCTGTTCCCGTGGTGGTGTCATTGGGGGTGTAGCAGGTTGCTGACGTCGGTGGTACGGAACGTTGATCAACTCCCTGCAGGGTTGGGCTGGCAGTTCGGCGCGTGTAGGGACCGACTGATTTGAAGACTGGCGTTGGTGCGGTGGGATGTTTATAAGTTCTCGGGTGGGCTGTGCTGGTAGTTCGGCGCGGGGAGTGTAGACTCCTGTGTCGCTGAGCTCGGGGGTTGAGGCGTTTGGGTGCGTGAATAGGGTGTAGGGTTTTTGGGGAGGGTAGAGGTGGAATGCGTCTAGTTCGGCTGCGGTGGACGTTGGTGAGATGGGGGTGGTACCGTTGGTGGAGTAATCGGTAGGAGTGAGGAGAGAGTTGGTTTCTGCTTTTTCTTTCTTTGATGGTGCTGGTTGGTGTTGGTTAGTTTGCGCGCTCTCTCTCTCTCTCTGTGTGTGTGTATACTAGGTGTAGAGGGGGATAGGAAGGGGTCTTTGTTTGTGTACCGTGTCTGACTTGTTCTGTACTCGTTGGGTCATTCTGTGGTGATTTGTTGTCGGTATCAAATGTCGTTTCCTTGAAGATATCAGTGAGAGGACTGCGAAGGGAGGTGAGTCGCCTTACACGCTTCTTGCGTTTGCGATAGACGAAAAACAAGGCAATAGCAAAGAGTATGAGAAATGCGATGCCCCCTATCACTCCTCCTATGATAGACGCAACGGGCGTTTCATGGCCGGTTTCCGCATCGGCATTGACATTGTCGGCAGCGCTCGTACCGGTGTCAGTACTGATGGGTGATGTGCTGGATGTAGAAGCGGCGGTGGTCCCGGGAGTACTGGTGGTTTCAAGATGACTAGTCGTAGCTATGCTGGTTTCAAAGGTGGACTGTTTCGAAGATACTGGGTTCGTGGGTGTCACAGCATGGATCTTTGTAGACGTGCTGGTAGTGGTATCCGTTGTCGTGTTATCATCGTCCGGACAAACACCACCAGCAGAACATGGGTCGACAGAGCAACATCCCTGGAAAGGGCCTTGAGAGCAGACATACCACCGCTTCTGACCGGAGCACTGGTGGCTCATAGTGAGGATAGAATATTGACTATAGAAACAAGCAATATATGCCTGTAAGGATTCTAAACCCTAAAAAAACATGAGAAAACAGAGGTGATGGGAATTTCCTAAGGCGAGCCAGACGACTCGCCTTCCACGGAGCACCGGGTGTCTATTATTCAAGACCCGGGCCTGAAAAGAGATGAGTACTCCAAGATCACCGTCACTCAATGTGCACCCATAATATCCACACTGTCTAGACTAAGAAGGCTAGACGTTGTGCGTATTGGGCAGGATTCTGCGCCTTTGTTTGCTATACGACTTGGCAGATCCATGTGGTCCAATGCGATTACTATCCATGCAGGGCCTCGGTATACATGCGTAGGACAGGTAAGAAACCTGACCGTCCACAAGGCTCAATTCCTGGACACAGGTGCTGTTCCCCTTCGGGGGTGTGGAGAAATGGCAGTTATGATGACTTCTGATAGAACCACAAAACCGGATCGATCCGTACGTTCATTTGGGCCGTAAAGACTTTGTTTTAACTGGGAGTTTGAATGATTGAGAACGGAGTTGGGAACTCTTTTTGCTTTGTTACCTTGTCAGCGTTCAGTTCTATGCCAGATATGGGTGTGGCTGTTCCTGGGTTCTTTGTTTTTTTGGTTTACCTGATAGATCCACAGGGTGGACAAAAGAATCAGACTTCATGTCTCCCCCATGACATTCAATTGATCAATCAAATGTTCTCCTGGGCATGTTGTTGATTGGGCCAAACTGACGATAGGTTCACATCGAAAGCTAAAGGAGCCCCTTACACTAGAAACTTTAATAGCTTGGGAAGTCACGGTATTGAGCCAACCCTAATCGACCCAGTAGCATCTTGAGAAAAACTTGGAGACCTATGCCTCTCAGTTCAAAACGAAATTTGCAACACAAAAGAAAACTCCAATTGTATGATCGGTAATAAAGGGCTATAAAATAACAATACAACGTGAGTACACCGAACTCATCGCCTGGGAAATTGGATATACACATATAAACACACAGGAAATAAACACTGCCAGATTTTCGTGACGCTATTTTACCTCCACTAAAACGACCCCTCCTCTAAATACACCTCTCCATCGGATCACACTTGAGTGACACGCTTAGTAGACACGCTTGAAGGGTGGCACCGGCTTGCACTCCTTCTCATCCAGGGTGTTGTGCTCGACGGCACGGTAGCCCAGGTCGATCTTGCCGTGGGGAGTCTTCTGCCATGTGAGAGTGTGCTTCATCCAGTTCTCGTCATCACGGTCGGGGTAGTCCTCACGGGCGTGAGCACCACGAGACTCCTTACGGTTAGCGGCGGCAACAGCGGTTTGGGTGCTATATCATCTTGTGGTCAGCTATTCTGTTTGTCAGATACTTCAGGGTAATACATACGCGCAGGTCAAAAGGTTGCGGAGTTCAAGGGTTTCCACGAGGTCAGAGTTCCAGATCATGCTGCGGTCCTTGGTACCGACCTGGTCGTACAACTGGTCGATCTCAGTGACCTTGGCGACACCCTCATCCAAACTCTCCTGAGTACGGAAGACGCTGACGTCAGTCTGCATGGCCTTCTGCATAGCGTTACGGATGTCGAAAGTCGACTTGGGGCCGTCCGCAGTACGAGCGAAGTCGAGATCCTTGATGGACTGAGCACCGGCGTCGGAGCTCAGCTCACGGTGAGGCTGGCCAGGGGTGGCAATGTCACGGACACGGTGAGAAACAGCGCGACCGAAAACGACCAGATCCAGAAGAGAGTTGGCACCAAGACGGTTGGCACCGTGGACGGACACACAAGCGGCTTCACCGCAAGCGTACAGACCAGGAACAACCTTGTCGGCACCGTTCTCATCCTGGGTCAGGACTTCACCAGTGTACTTGGTAGGGATACCACCCATGTTGTAATGGACGGTGGGCAAGACGGGGATAGGCTGCTTAGTCACGTCGACACCAGCGAAAATGGAAGCGGTTTCGGAGATACCGGGCAGACGCTCGTGCAAGAGCTCAGCGGGCAAGTGGCTCAGCTGAAGGTAGATGTGATCCTTCTCAGGACCAACACCACGGCCCTCGCGAATTTCCAGGGTCATGGAACGAGAAACGACATCACGAGAAGCCAAATCCTTGGCGGTAGGAGCGTAACGCTCCATGAAACGCTCACCCTCGGAGTTAAGCAGGTAACCACCCTCACCACGAGAACCCTCGGTGATCAGACATCCAGCGCCGTAGATACCTGTGGGGTGGAACTGAACGAATTCGAGATCTTGGTTGGGAAGACCAGCACGGGCAACCATGGCCATACCATCACCAGTGCAAGTGTGGGCAGAAGTGCAGCTGAAGTAGGCACGTCCGTATCCACCAGTGGCCAGGACGGTATGGTGGGCCTTGAAACGGTGCAGAGTACCATCCTCCTGGTTGTAGGCAATGATACCGCGGCACTCACCATCTTCCATTAGCAGGTCAAGGGCGAAGTATTCGATGAAGTAGTTGGTGTTGTGACGCAGGGACTGTCCGTAGAGAGTGTGAAGAAGAGCGTGACCAGTACGATCAGCGGCAGCACAGCAACGGTAGGCCTGGCCACCCTTTCCGAATTCCTTGGACTGACCACCGAAGGCACGCTGGTAGATACGGCCGTCCTCGGTACGAGAGAAGGGGCATCCGTAGCCCTCGAGCTCACGAACACTGGCGGGGGCTTCTCTGGTCATGTAGTGAATGGCATCCTGGTCTCCGAGCCAGTCAGAACCCTTCACAGTGTCGTACATGTGCCATCTCCAGTCGTCCTCGTGCATGCTATAGTGTATAGACTTAGCGCAACTGCTATTGACACGCTCACCAAGGGATGACCTACTTTCCAAGAGCAGCGTTGATACCACCCTGGGCAGCAACAGTGTGACTTCTTGTAGGGAAGAGCTTCGAGACACAGGCAGTGTTAAAACCGGCTTCCGCAAGACCGAAGGCGGCACGAAGACCAGCACCTCCAGCACCGACGACGACAGCATCGTACTCGTGGTCCTGTCAAAACAGTCAGAGCGCTAGATCATTTGGTGTAGTCATTGTTATATAGACTTACAATGATCGGGTACTTCTCGGCGATAGCGCCGGTGGCTTCCCTCGCGCGCAATGGGTTGCTGCCAAAAATCCGGGCTTGTGGAGAGACGGGTCAGTAAATCAAGGCATAGACAATTCTCGCGACCTCCAATGCGTACCTGCAGGCCGGGTTGAGGAGAAAAGACGTCTCTGATCCCTCAAGGCACGAGAAATCTGCGCAATCCGCTATGTCAGTATATGTAAACAGAGGGGACGATGGCGCTTAAGGGTCCTGAAGAGACCGTCGGCTAACTGACCTTGGATGCGGGAGCTAGGCTCCGCAAGCTCAGGGAGCTCATGATGACGGGTCAAAAGAAAAGAAACACTTCTCTAATGAGCCGAAGAAAGGGTGTAGTTAAAAAGGGGGGGGAGGGGGGAGAAGGAAGCAGCACAAAGATAGGGAGAGGAGAGTCTTGAAGTCAACGGTGGTGGTGGTGCTCGCAAAGCAGCACTTTTGGATCGTCGGTTCTGCTGGGCCGAATTCCTGGCTGACATAAGCCTTTTCTCACTTGCCGACGGGGAGGACCGGGGCCGAGACTGCCAATGAGAATACACGCAGTGGTAATCACCTCGGGCAGCCGGCGTTTTCTCATTGGCCGAGGATCTCAAGGCACGTGGCCGGTCTTCTTTTAACCCGGCAGCAGCGAAGAATCCCGGAGACAGACGGTACAACGGAGAGTAGCTGGTCTTGACACGGACGGGGAAGCGTTCAATTTTTATTGCCTTTCTCAATCTGAGGTTGGCGGGACAACTACAGCATTCTTCTCCCTATGTGCTGAATTGAGCTACTCTCTGAATGACACAATGTTAACTATCCATTGCTGAGATAATCTATTACCCGGTCCAGTCATGTGATCTTCTGCTGGCGGCAAAGAGAACCAGCAGGGATATGCGACAGGTTCATCTGCTTGTCTTCGCTCCCTCAGGTTAGTGAAGATTGGATCACATCTATATGCGAATTCCTATTATGAGAACATTCGTAGAATGAACCACTAGCTAAAAAAAAATTGATCATACACATCCATTCAACCATGCAATGTAGCCCAAGATGTAGAGGGAAGAAAGGCGTTATCTAATTATACTGCATGTACGTAGCCGTCGAGTTGAACTTCAGGTTGCCCTTGATCACCTTGTCCACAGCCGCCAAGAAGTCCTTCTCCGTGGCAACCTTTCGTCGCGCCCGGATCGCGAACATACCGGCTTCTGTTGCAACACTCCGGAGCTCAGCTCCTGTGGCATTCGGGCACAGCCGAGAGATCAACTCCCACCGAATGTCCCTCTCCACCGACATGCTCTTGGCATGAATTCGAAGGATGTTAGCACGACCCTCTACATCCGGAAGCGAGAACTCGATCTTGCGGTCAATTCGTCCAGGACGCATCAGGGCAGGATCTAGCGTCGACGGCCGGTTTGTAGCGAACATGACCTTGATATTACCACGAGCATCGAAACCATCGAGTTGAGTGATCAGTTCCAACATAGTACGCTGGACTTCGTTGTCGCCACCAGCACCGTCGTCGAAACGTGCACCACCCACGGCATCGATTTCGTCGAAGAAAATAATGCATGCCTTCTTTGTTCTTGCCATCTCGAAAAGCTCTCGAACCATCCGGGCACCTTCACCGACATACTTCTGAACTAGCTCGCTACCAATGACACGGATGAAAGTGGCGTCGGTTCGGTTGGCCACAGCTCGAGCGCAAAGAGTCTTACCAGTACCGGGAGGTCCGTACAGAAGGGCACCCTTTGGTGGGTCGATACCAAGGTTGACAAAGCGCTCCGGGGAAAGGAGGGGCATCTCGACGACTTCTCGCAACTTCTCAATCTGTTCTTTGCAGCCACCGACATCTCCGTATGTCACATCGGGCTTATCTTCAACGGTCATCATTGTTACGCTGGGGTCGATCTTAGGAGGCAGAGGCAACATAATTTGGTACTTATTCCGGTCGACACTAGATACAGAGTTAGATCTAGAACGGGCCATAGAAAGCCGGTAAACTTACCCAACCCGCATGCCCTCCTCAATATCTGTCGGACTCACTCGCTCCCCTAGGTTGACAACGAACTTGGCGATTTGCTTCACATTGATGACATATTTGCTCTTGTCCGAGTCCTTCTCATCTTGAATAATCTTCGTACAGCGGGCTACCTGCAACGGTTGCTCTTCTGCCATGCGTTGCCTATCTGCAGCAACATCCCAAAGGTGTGGTGGTGCAAGACCAGTGTCGGATTCCTATACATGTCAGGTACGCAGGTTCATGCTGATAACAGCTCGGTCGAACTACCTTGACACCGATCTTCTCGTTTACACTTGCTTGCTTGTCTTTAATCTGCTTCTCGAGTTGCTTTAAGGCGTTCGCATAGGGAGCGGCGCCATATGTCTTCAGCACTTGGATATCACTAGCAATATTTAGCCATCTATCCCCGGAAACCTAACAACCATCACAATGGAGCCACCGTATCACTTACGATTCTGTGAGAGGGGTGATCTTCTTCTCCGGCTCTTCATCATCGGCGAAGTTCTTGTACTTCTCCCAGTTCTCTCCCGTGGCGCTAGGCATGGTGAGAGGTAGTAGTTGTGAGGCGATAAGACAGTGGACAAGGGTGTATCGAGTTTTAGAGGAACAGAGTGTAAGAGAGCAAGAGTCGGTAATATACGTAAAGGTAGCGTGAAAGGATAGAAAAGGACGATGAATGGGAGATGAGAGCTTGATCGGAAGGAGGAGGAGAGTGAGTGAGTGAGTGAAGTAATCAGGTGTGAGCTCCAGGTTGCTGCGGCGGTCGGTTCGAGCTGTTGGCGCTAGTGGTGCCAAGCCCAACACCAGCACAAGAAATTCCCAGAGCCGCCTCCACGGTCTGGATCTCCTTCGTCACATTACCCCCCCCATCTTTCCTCTTATTTTCAATTTTCGGTACGGTGTTTGGATCAGAGACAACTTTCAAAATGGCTACGGCAGTCTCTCAGGGGGCCGCTGGCAATAACACCTTCAAGGTGCGTCCGTGTCGCAGAGAGAAATACTTGGCGTGGGACGGGTTCTAATAGTCGGACAGGACAAGGAGAAGCCTATGGCAGTGCGGACGTCCAACATTCTGGCCGCTAGAGGTATTGATTATGTTCTGAACCTATGGGGAGTATGGTGCTGACATGAGAACAGCCGTCGCCGATGCCATCAGAACGGTATGGATGTTGCAATAGTATGCATCCCAAATGAGGGGCTAACATATCAATTAGTCTTTGGGACCTAGAGGAATGGATAAAATGGTACGACCTCCGTTATCTCTCTCTTTCTCTCTCCAAGAATATGTCGCTAATACGATTCTAGATCCAAACACCCAAGGGCAACACGATTATCGTACGAATCCTATTCTCGAGCCAACAATCGATGCTAACCCCCCGCAGACCAACGATGGAAACACTATGTTGAAGGATATGAGCGTTATGCACCCCGCAGCCCGGATGCTAGTCGACCTGAGTGCTGCTCAGGATGTTGAGGCTGGCGATGGAACTACATCGGTTGTCGTAATCGCAGGAAGCTTGCTGGGTGCCGCAGAGCGTCTCTTGTCCAAGGGCATCCACCCCACCGTCATTTCGGAGTCATTCCAAAGAGCTGCAGCCGCAGCCGTCGAGATCCTTCACAACATGTCCCGCCCAATCAGCTTGGTCGACCGTTCCACTCTCCTCCAGGCGGCCTCTACATCTCTTTCATCGAAAATCGTCTCGCAGCACTCCGGTCTCCTTGGCCCTATGGCCGTTGATTCGGTGCTGAAGGTTGTGGATCCTAAGACTGCTGAGAACGTTGACCTCAGGAATATCCGGATTGTTAAGAAGGTTGGCGGCACAATTGAAGACAGTGAGATGGTTGATGGTTTGGTGTTGAACCAGTCCGTCATCAAGAGCAGTGGCGGTCCCACAAGAATCGAGAAGGCCCGGATAGGTCTGATTCAGTTCCAGCTTAGCCCACCTAAGCCTGATGTGGGTTAATTCCCTTCAAAGATAGTGTTTGCATTGCTGACGAAGATGAACTACAGATGGAAAACCAGATTGTCGTGAACGACTACCGCCAGATGGACAAGATCCTCAAGGAGGAGCGTCAGTACCTTCTCAACATGGTTAAGAAGATCCAGAAGACGAAGTGCAACGTCCTTCTCATTCAGAAATCCATTCTCCGCGATGCCGTGAACGACCTCTCCCTCCACTTCCTCTCTCGTCTCAAGATCCTTGCCATCAAGGACATCGAGCGTGATGAAGTTGAGTTCCTGTGCAAGAGTCTTGGCTGCAAGCCCGTCGCCAACGTTGACTCTTTCACCGAGGACAAGCTGGGCACTGCAGACCTTGTGGAGGAGGTTCATTCCTCCGGGGCTCGCTATGTGAAGATCACCGGCATCAAGTCCGCCCCTACCACCAACCAGACCGTGTCGATCGTCGCTCGCGGTGCCAACAACCTCATCTTGGACGAGGCGGAGCGTTCCCTGCACGACGCCCTCTGTGTTATCCGCTGCCTGGTCAAGAAGCGTGCCCTTATTGCCGGTGGTGGAGCACCCGAAATCGAAGTCGCTCAGGCCCTCGCAAAGCGCGCTCGTGAGCTCACCGGCACAGAGGCTATCTGCTGGAAAGCCTTTGCGGATGCGATGGAAATCATCCCCACCACGCTGGCTGAGAACGCCGGTCTCAACTCTATCAAGGTGGTTACCGACTTGCGTCACCGCCACGCCCAAGGTCAGCACAACGCCGGTGTCAGCATCCGCAGCGGCGGTGTGAAGGACGATATCACCGAGGAGAACATTTTGCAACCTCTTTTGGTGAGCACCAGCGCGATCGAACTCGCTGCTGAGACCGTTAAGATGATCATGAGAATTGACGACATTGCCTTGTCGAGGTGATTTACGGCGGGGATAAATCTTGAAAAGTGGAATGTATAGAAAAGGGTAGTGGTTGTATCATGACGAGTAATTCTTCCAAAATCAGATGATTATTTAAGCTACCTACATACCTACTTAGCTGCTTACCGGGAATTATAATATGCTTCATATGTATCGTACATGCTAACAGCCCCCTATATCAAAAGGCTAACGTCAAAACACTCGCAATATTTCATGCAGCAGCTTCATAGAGTCAGTCCCTTATGGTTTACATTTTTTGATACCTCCAGAGCTTAGCAATGCGGTGGTGTCCATCTTACCTTTACGTCGGAATTGGCCAAAAGTGTCACCTTAATGGGAACTACGTGCTATAGTTAACTGAATTCATTTCTAGGGACCATTACGCCCAAATGTGATGAAGGGAAAAGGGTATAGACTGCAAGACACATGAGAAACTTATAACGCAGGCAGACCATAACGCCAAAGATCAACAAGCACATCAAAGGGAATAAGAACAGCTCGGCCAGGAACTTTTCCTCCAAGACACCCCGAGACAGCCCATACATCACTTGGATATAATCAAAAGAGGTTGCTATGCAAACAACAAGAGAGATAAAGAAAGTATAGTATAGGAACTGCCCAAACAAAAGAAAGAAATATAAAGAATGGCGGGGAAAAAATATGTGCACCCAAGTTCTCGTCACACCATATCATTGATAACTCGTAACCAACGCCCGTTCGGTTCATAAATACCTTTTAGATCCATCTGGTTCACTTGTCGTTCTCATACGAAGCATTTCACGCAATCACACCTGATCCAGCAGCTCCAGAGCTCCATCGGAACCGCTTCAAGCCTCCCTTGATGGCCTCTTGACCACAAGCCGCGGATGTTCTGCCACCAGAAAAGTTGCCATCACCCATGACTGACCCGACCCCTGTGCTTGCCTCCATCCTTCCGACCTCACGGCCAATCACATAACCTGCTGAGAAGCTGATTGCTGAGAAGAGAACCACGACACCAGCACTGATAACCCAAGTCATTATCGTAGGACTAGCCGTCGAGTCTGCGGTAGTTGCTCGACGATTCTTCCTAGATGCAGAGGCGTGGTGTTCTCTCGGGGAACTGGACCGCCGTCTCACCTTCGGAGCGGAGGGAGAAGAGCGTGGTGAATAAGTAGCCACGGGTGGGTTCATGGGCCGTCTGGATGTATTAGTCTCGACAGCCGATGTGGGCACTTCTTCAGATATATGTTCTCCCATTGCAACTGACTCCGACACCAGTCGGAACGAAGCAGGCTGTGCTCGAGAAGGCCCCGAGGGTGGGGTAGGTTGCGGATCAGATTTCGGCAGGCCCCGTGCAGCGGCCGCACAGGAAAGAAGGGTGGAAAGACTAGAGCGGAGGGCGGCATCGTGGTCTGCATGGTAAGACGGTGAAATCATATTGTACGGGCTATGCTGTTGTGATTGCCTGCGAGCTGGTCTTATGCTGGCTTGAGAGTTCCGTCGGATGGCAGTTTGACGGCTGGAATTCGATACCTCGCTAGGCTGGGGACGACGCCTCTCAACTGGCCTGGTCCAGGCTGGGTTCTCCGATGCTGGCGGATGGGTGAAGACATTTGGCTGCGGGACAAACGGGGATGAGCTGATCCGCATCCCCAGCGCTGTTGAGGCATCATCCTCATCACTTGAGGGACTATCCGGCATCAACGGAGGCCCAGGGTGAGCTAATAGCGGACCTCCAAGGGATCTCTGAGGCATGTCTTCATTGGAACTTGTCATAACGCGATCCGATTCACTTTCACTTTCCTCGTACTCGTCTTGACTACTACTTTGTTCACGGGACGAATAGTCAACCTGCGCCGCTGTGACAGCAGCCAGGCGCTGCAGACGCCGTCGCCGACTACGGTGATGGTATGCTCTCGATCCATGTTGCTCGACACGCAGACCCGTTGTGATGATGTCATCATTGGTAGCAATGGAGGAAAGCGACGAGGAGGATGGCTGCGAGGCGACCTCGATCCACGAGTCTATGTAATACTGAAGTGAGTACATATTGTTATAACAGAAACGGTGATGCCTGGAATAAGGGGTGTAACGATATGCATGTTGTACGTGTAAGGAAGTTGTAGGAGAGGGGACAACGAAGTAAAGGGGACGTCTATTTGTCCCAGAACGAAGTACTTACCTTCGGATCTCGTGGGAGCGACACCAGATGGAGAACGTGACAGGAAGGGATTCCGATGATGAGCGTCTCGTGGCGCTCGTTGAGGCTCATCGGGTTGCACCTGACTTAGCAGGTCATAGTGGTTTGGTTGCATAGTGTTGAGTATCTGGTCGCTCAGAAGTATTGGGGGAAAATCAAAATGGTGAGATGGCAGAGAAGACAGGCCCCGAAGAATATAATATAAAGTCGATGAAGGTGGATGGGAAGGAGGGGTGTTTGCCGATCAATATCACATCCACATAATCAGACCACCTGTGGCTGTAAGGGAACCGTCCGAAGCGGTCAAGAATGATAGACTGACCATAAGCCCAGGAAGGGGGGTGAGTGTATGAAAGTGGGGGGAAGTGCGTGGGGAAAACCAAGTAAGTGGATTGATGGATGAGTTTATTTGCGCCTGATTATCTTATCAGGAGCGGATACCACAATTTAACCACTTTAATTAGTTCACATCGCCCATCAAAACCACGACCCTGACAGAGGACGAGTCAAGGTGGTTGGTTGGTTGGTTGAGATGTGCGGGAGTAGGGAAGATGAGGACGTGGAGTACTGGCTGGTCGAGGGAGAAGTAGAAGAGAAGTAAGTACTGGCAATATGGAAAGAATGATGTCGACGCACAGCTGACTGCCTCGTGCTGGTTTTTAAGTTCAATCAGCAGATCACCACCGGGAGCCACTCACAGTTCACCCGACATCGGCAGAGGACCAAGGAATGACCACAATGACTCTCCAAAGCAATCCGGGAATGCCACCAAAGGAGATCAAACGGCAAAGACCAGCAAGAAAGCCTGCAAGAGGAACAAAGCTGAGAATGACCGGAACTGTCCATGGGAGCCACTTACCTGACAATCAATATTGGCGTTTGCCAAGGCTAAAGCCTCATACCTCTCTTTTACACCGGGTTTGAGGACTGACACTTATGTCGACAAAAAACAATCACGAAAAAAACACATTCCTATTGAATCAATAACGATCATCCATTATTTCATTCTATCCAATTACAATAATCATGCAAAACCACAAGTAAACTTTTCGAGTGCTCAAAGCCAGTCAGTAGCAACAATCCGTACGTAATCATACAAACGATCCTGAATCCTGTTCAACGGAGATTAAAGAAAACAACGGTTCGTCAAGGTATCGTGTGGAATTAGAAGGTGACCTTAGTACCCTTGTACTCGGGGATACCGCCACGGGCCTTGTTGGGGGGACCACCACCACGTCCACCAAAGCCGCCGCGGCCACCGCGACCACCACCACGGGGACCACCACCGCCACGTCCACCAAAGCCGCCACGACCACGGCCACCGCCGCCGCCGCCGCCGCCGTTGTTGGCACGGGGGGTGCTGAAGTCCAGGCGGACCGGGCGGCCATCGATCTCGGCACCGTTCAGCTCGTTGAAGGCTGCGCGAGCTTCCTCAACCGACGAAAACTGGACGTATCCGAAGCCCTTGGGACGGCCCGACTCGGGGTCGGTCGGCAGGCGGATGCCCATGACGCTACCCTTCTGACCGAAGACCTCGTGGAGAGAGTCCTCGTTAGCACTGAATGGGATGTTGCCGACGAAGAGAGTGTCGCTCTCAGGGCTGGCCTGATCACCGAAAGAACGGGCACGAGCCTGAGCCCGGTCCTGGAAGCCACCCTGATCCCTGTTGGCGGGACGTCCGGTAGCGTAGTCAAGGTTGATCTTGCGACCGTCGATTTCGGTGTCCTTCTTAGCCTCAAAAGCCTTAGCGGCATCGACAGCATTGGTGTATTCGACATAACCGAATCTGACAGTGTTAGTACATCATCGTGAAGGACTCGATAGAAAATTACTCACCCGCGAGAGCGGCCAGTGTCGCGCTCAGTCATGATACGAACACCAGAGAGCTCACCAAATTCCTCGAACTCACTCTGAAGCCAGGCCTCATCCACGTTCCAGGAGAGATTTCCAACGAAGAGATTGGCGGATGCACCGGCAGCAGGCTCTTCAGTCTTGGTCTTCTTGGGAGTGGTAGAGACATCCTCCTCAGCCTTGCGCTTCTTGGAGTCCTTGGCAGACTCTTCGCTGTCTTCAGACTCAGACTCGGAAGAGTCGGAGTCGGAGTCAGAGTCACTGGAATCGGAAGACTCCTAGAACCATTAGCATCTGGAATGAGATAGAATATGACAATACTACATACCTTCTTAGCCTTCTCGGGAGCCTCCTCGCTGTCAGACTCGGACTCGGACGAGTCACTGTCACTGGCCGCCTTAGCAGCCTTCTTGGGAGCCTCTTCCTCATCAGAAGAGTCCGACTCAGAGGAGTCGGAGGACTCGGCAGCCTTCTTTACCTCCTTCTTAGCAGGCTTCTCATCCTCTGACTCGGATTCAGACTCAGACTCAGACGAGTCAGAAGACTCTGAAGACTCCTTGGCCTTCTTGGACTCCTTGACCTTCTTGGACTCCTTCTTAGGCTCCTCCTTCTGCTTCTTGGCGGGCTTCTCCTCCTCGCTCTCACTGCTGGAAGCGTCCTCCATCTCTTCGTCGCTGTCAGAGTCGGACTCCGATTCAGAGGAAGCTTCGGAAGAGGATTCAGCGGCCTTCTTCACCTCCTTCTTGGCAGGCTTCTCATCCTCACTTTCACTCTCGCTGCTGGAGCTGGAAGACTCCATCTCCTCATCGCTGTCAGACTCAGAGCTGCTGCTGGGAGTAGGCTCCTTCTTCTTGCGCTTAGACTTCTCGCCCTTGGAGGCGACCTCGCGAGCAATCTGCTTGCTCTTGGCCTTAGGAGACTGGGAAGCCTTGGAGACACCAGAATCCTTGACCTTGCTCAAGGCCTTGTCAACGGGCTTCTCAGCACCCTTCTTGGTAACGGACTTAGTCTTGGACATTTTGAATCTGGCGACACCGACAGTTAGCTCAGAGGATAAAATAGACATGCGGCGAGAAGTTAATACAAACCAAAATATGATAGACTTAAAGTATAAATCAAAGCGAAGATTGTCTAATGATAGATCCCACGAATGTGCGGCAAATCGTACAATCCCTCAATCACCCGATTTTAGAGAAGAGATTTCTCAGATACCCACAAATAACCCACAACGACAGTGTTCAAGCCCACAAGAGACGGACAGGAAATACGCAACTGTATAATGAAACCCACGAGAGTAACCCACAGATCCCACAAGAGATATTGCAATATGCCACAGCCCACAGCCCTCTGTATTAAGCCCACAGGATGTCTGTTGAAAGTGAATACGGGGGGGAGATTGGTATGATTCACTCGGTAGGAATACTACTAAGTGAAAAGATATTGAAATAGAAAAGGCAAGGATAAATAATAAGTGAAGATAGAAAGAGGAAGAGGAAAAGAAAATTTCAAAAGCTGGAGCTCTGATAAGATGTGGACCCGGGCGGAAAACAGAGAAGGAAAAAAAAAAAAAACGGGGCTGGCAGAAATTCTTGCACACCGCCTACCGGACCCAGGGACAGACCAAGGAGGTGCTCCGTACCTGTAAGCGGCCAATCAATCACCCGGCAGAATTGTTTGAGCATTTTCTCAGGTGGTTCAACCGTGTACCATTTGTATTGTCAGGATCATCCTCCCATTGTGTTAACAACGGCAATTCTATATCCCTTAGAGATCTAAGTCGACAGCTATATATCAAAATACTTACAATAGAGAATTTGAGATCAAACTGGGTTTTTTTGGTCAAGATAAAGACATCTGTATACACAAATAAAAAACCCATTTCCCAGGTCGGAGGTCTAACTTGGAATATTGACCGCCTTCCCCTTTAGGCTTGGCCCGGGTGCTTTGAGTGGAGGCAGAGTAGATATTTGATTGGTGAAGATTTACCCACTGTATGTCATTCTCCAGAACCAACAATTGCATTGAGTTGGCCGCATCCATCTATTCTGCCCCCGACTCGTTCTTCTCTACCTAATTCACCAGACCTTGGCCCTGGGCTCATCTATTCCACGGCTTAGTTTCGCATGACAGATACGCAGTCAATGGGTCGCCCTTAATCACATCTCGTCTCGACAATATGACTTTTCCCCCTTCTTCCTACCGCCCACGGAAGAAGAGAAAGTTCCCCTTGTCGTCCACCGGGTCAAACAACGCCCTCATTGTGGACGATGGAAACGGCAAACATACTCCTGCATTCCCTTTGGCTTCCTTCCTATGGGCCGCTCGGGCAGGTGTATCTCAATGGCTCATTCTACCTCTGATTTTGATGGCTGTAGGCCTATTTCGCTGGGCTGTTAGTTTGTGGGGATACTCTGGTAAGCTGAACGATCCCCCGGTGAATGAGACTTGTCTCTAACCCATGTAGGCTTCCAAGTGCCCCCGATGCATGGAGATTTCGAGGCGCAGAGACACTGGATGGAGATAACAATTAATCTACCCATGTCAAAATGGTACACATACGATCTTCAGTACTGGGGGCTTGACTATCCGCCATTGACTGCATATCATAGCTGGCTGTTGGGAAAAATGTTCGTGAACGCTTGATGCCGCGAGATATAGCTGTATTGATGCTGATGATGGCAGTGGTACTCTCTTTGATCCCTCATGGTTTGCTCTGGATGAGTCCCGTGGCTTCGAGGATCCTCAGCTGAAAGTATACATGCGTGCTACGGTGGTAGTATCCGAGTATCTTATTTTCATCCCTGCAGTTGTCAACTTTCTGCGCCGATACACGCAAATGCATGGAGTCCCAGTATGGTCCGCCTCTGTCGCCCTGGTTGCTATCCTTCTGCAGCCGTCGACTATATTGATTGATCACGGCCATTTTCAGTACAACACGGTGATGCTGGGGTTTGTAGCTGCAAGTCTGGATGCGATTCTGGCAGGGCGCATGCTCTGGGCATGTATCTTCTTCGTGGGTGCCTTGGGGTTCAAGCAAATGGCTCTGTATTACGCTCCCGTCATGTTCGCTTTCCTTTTAGGAATCTGCCTTTTCCCTCGGATTCAGCTCATCCGCCTTCTTTGCATTTCCCTGGTCACAATTGTCGCGTTTGCCGTCCTTATTGCCCCACTTGTGGTGAGTGCACTCAGTGCTGATGCTCAGAATGAGTTGTCCTCTATTCCGCTGCCTCCCCTACTACAGGCGCTGCCTATCGAGCTAGACAAGAGCTCGATACTTTACGCACCCTTGCTTCAGCTGGCGCAGCTCATCCACCGAATCTTTCCTTTTGCTCGTGGCCTGTTCGAAGACAAGGTTGCAAATGCCTGGTGCGCCATTCACACGTTTTACAAACTCCATCGATTCGAGGGGACTCTACTCCAACGGGTGTCATTGGGTGCCACATTAGCATCAATCTTTATCCCCTGCGCCATAATTTTCCGTCACCCACGTGCCTCTTTTCTTCTTCCGGCCTTGTCCACCGTAGCCTGGGGATTCTTCTTATTCTCTTTCCAGGTCCACGAGAAGAGTGTTCTACTACCATTGTTGCCCATGACGCTCATGCTCTCTGGCGATGGAGGTTTAAGCAAAGAAACCCGCGCATGGGTGGGGTGGGCCAACATGCTTGGCTCTTGGACGATGTTCCCTCTTCTGCAGCGCGACGACCTCCGAGTTCCCTATTTCGTCATGACATTACTCTGGGCCTATCTACTTGGCCTTCCTCCCGCCTCTCTGGAAGTTTACCGTAGCCGAAGCTCTTCAGATGACTCCTCGCCGCTCCCCGAACATCACATTATCACCAAACTTGTTCATTTGTGCTTCTACTTTGCCATGGTCGCGTGGCATGTGCTAGAAGCCTTTGTTCCCCCTCCGCCTGGAAAACCTGATCTCTGGGTCGTGCTGAATGTGCTTATCGGTGCTGGCGGATTTGGACTTGCGTATCTGTGGTGCCTGCGGAAGTTGGTTTTACAGTGCTGGATGATTGAGCGCAAGGTGGAAAAGGATACGCAGAAAAAGAACCAATAATACACACAAGCGTTTGTTCCTACATTCAAACCACATCAGGAGGTTAATTTGAGAGATACCCATTTCCTTTTCAAGGGCGCCATGCACAGCTCGTGATTTGTATATAACACTTATTGCGCAACCTACACTAACCATATCCTATCTTCACTCAAAGGCCGGGGCAGATCAAAACGAAGCCTTGATACAGAACACTATCTCCATGTCAATCCCCTCACAGGTTTGATCAAGAGTCATATTTTACATTCTAACTTATCTCACATGAAAGGAGAGTTCCCATCAACCATTACAGCAATACACATCTAATATACAGTCTATGCGTAAACCCGAATCCCAAAACACCATGCAGTGAAAACCAAGCTGCGTGCACTTGATCCCGTTCCTGGCAGCGAATAGCCTAGACCTTGAATCCGTATCCAGCCATACAGGCCTTGTACTGTTCAATCATGGACTTGCATTCTTGCTGGGGCTCGTCGGATTTCGAGAAGAGCATGCAGTCATCACGGGCGGTCTTTTCGGTTTTGCAGACGCAGCAGGGCTGTAGAAATAATTGATTAGCATCGGGTTTGGGGATGTGTCGAAAAACGCTAGGGTAATCGTACTTTTGGCTTCTCGGCAGGCGCCGGGGTAGGTTCGGGGGTTTTCTCAGTAGAACCTGGGGGATTTGTATGTTAATGAGTGGACTTGCGGAGAAACCGGAGGTCTGGAGAAGTTGACTTACTGCTGGAACCGACGAGCCACGACATGATGGAAAGGTCGTTTTGAGTGGTTGATGGGAGAGATTGACTGAAGAGGGGGGGGTTAAAACTAGATGGTAGGTTAAGACGCGAGATTGCGAAAGATTGTACTCCGTGGATGAATCAACCTGGATTCAAGAAAACGATGCTGATTAATGCAATGATGCGATGCGCCAAATGGCGGCACTGGTTGCTGTGGATTCCTGGAGCGGCGATCGCAAGTTTTGTAGTAATTTTGGTATTGATCAGATTGGGTTTAGCGTGAGATTTTGGGTTCTCTCATTGCAGGTGCAAATCATCCCGCTTGACTGGCTTGAAGTTTTTATTCTTCTTTCCTTCGCACTTGTTTTGCTTTTCCACACTCTTTATAAACGCTCACTGGGTTTTCGCTAGATATAGTCGTCTTAGACAATATACAGATCATCATTTTTGTGTTGTCTTCTCACATTGCCTTATTTGGATACCAATTCCACCCCTGAAATTACCCCGCCATGGCCCCTCCTAAGGTCTTTTCTCTTGAAGGCAAAGGCCTCAAGCTGGACACCGATGTGGATGTCGAAGCCCATATTAAGCCTCTGATTGAGAGCACCGACTACACTGAAATCCGCCTTGGTGGCAATACTTTTGGCGTGAAAGCCTGTGAGCGCTTGGGTACCGCCTTTTCCACCCAGAAGAACCTCGAAGTCGCTGAACTTGCCGACATTTTCACATCGCGTCTGATTGAAGAGATCCCCGACGCCCTGACTCACCTTTTGAATGCGCTCCTTGAGATCCCGACTCTTCATACCGTCAACCTTTCCGACAATGCCTTCGGCAAGCGGACCTCGAAGCCCCTCGTCGACTTCCTCTCTGCCCACGCTCCTTTGCGCCATCTTATCTTGAATAATAATGGTATGGGCCCTGACGCAGGTGTGGAGATTGCCGGGGCACTGGTGGAGCTTGCAAAGCGTAAGGAGGAGGCCCGCAAGGAAGGAAAAGAGGTCCCTCGGCTGGAGAGCATTGTCTGCGGCCGGAACAGACTGGAGAATGGAAGTATGGCGGCGTGGGCACGTGCATATGAGGTGCACGCTGTAGGAATGCGCTCAGTGAAGATGACACAGAACGGCATTCGTCAGGAGGGTATCTCCCAGCTGTTGAGAGAGGGTCTCCGCCACGCCAGCAGCCTCGAAGTCCTTGACTTGCAGGATAACACCTTCACCATTTTGGGCTCCACAGCTCTCTCTGAGGTGCTTCCAGGCTGGACTTCCCTGCGCGAGCTCGGTGTCGGTGACTGTTTGCTCTCCGCTCGTGGTGGTGTGAAGGTTGCGCAGGCTTTGGCCGGTGCCAAGAACGAGAAGTTGGAAACACTTCGTCTGCAATATAATGATATCACGGCCGAGGGTGTTAAACAGTTCTTGCACGCGACCAAGACCGCACTGCCTTCGTTGCGCCGAATTGAGCTAAACGGAAACAAGTTTATGGAGGACGACGACAACGTCAATGAGTTGCGCGAGATCCTGGAGGCTCGTAAGGAAGAACACGGCAAGGATGACGACCCGGAGGAGATGTGGGGTGTGGACGAGCTGGATGAGCTCGAAGAGGAAAGCGACGAAGAAGAAGAGGAGGAAGAGGAAGAGGAGGAAGAGGAAAAGGCCGAGAAGTTTGTGAAAGACAATGTTAAGGCTGAGGAGGCCAAGGTTGCTCAGAAGCAGGACAAGGACGTTGATGAACTTGCCGAGGCTCTGGGAAAGACTGGTCTGTAAACACGCCCTGGCTTGACCGATCATTCGCCTACTCCCGTCATTTCCCATATACCCGATGCAGCGGGCGGTACCTACTTGCGCGCAGGAGCTGCGGTCATGTCTAATGATGTGTCTAGGACCGGCTGGCATGCGTCCGTTGGTTACGGTCAAAAGAGTTCACAACAATGAGCTCCGGAAAAGACCGAGTCAACGTGCCAGTTGAAGTTGTCCTAACACCGCCCGCCGTGAGTTGCACCCGCGCTTGGATACGGCTGACGTCCTTTGTTTTATGCTTCATGCCCCCTTGTCACACTCGCATCTTGGTATTTTTCAGGGACTTTAGATTAGACAACTATTGGCCTGTTCCAACCATACGACTTAAATTTTGCCCCAGTGATGTATATAATGAATCAAAAATGAGAACGAAATCCACACGCAAGAGGTGTTATGTAGGAAGGAATAAGTAAATCATCTTAGGGTCGATCTGGACATAGATCCTGAGATGGCTAAGCTAGCTTGTGATAGATACAACCCTAGACAGTAGTACTTCTTATTCGTCAGCGTGTATAGCTCTCCAAGTTTATCTGTCATTGTTCAGGGCGTGTGTTTGATATTATCTAGGTTAGGCCTGGTGGTCCGTTGCCACTTAAGCCCTCCTGTGGATCATGTTTCTTCAACTCACACCAAAGGTGGTGATTCTCCCCTTGCTGGGCGTCTTCTGCATATATCCCTAAAGAAGGTCATCCCATTCCATTCTCTTCGTTGCATCTTTGCCACCATGCCGTCCTGAAGCACGGTAGTACAACCTGGCCAGTTTCTTGCAAATTCTGACAGCGCGGACTAGTTCACATTGATGGTAAAGACTAAAAAGTAAATCATACATCAGTCATCCAAACCCGCCATAACCAATACCAGGATAATCAAGAGAAGCAGGCTCTAGGAGATAGGGAAGGAACGAAAGGGAAATCGTACTCTTCCTTGAATCTAAGATCTATCTGCGCTTTTGCGGCCTTGGTGAAGCGCCCTTGAATTCGGTAATTCTGATAACCGAAGTCATGGCGCTCGCATGCCCGCTGAAAAGGGAATCCTAAAGGGTTGCTTGGAGCCTTTGTGCAACCATCAGAGTACCAGTCTAACTGAGGAGGGTCGTTTGCCTCTCTGCGAGCAGTGAAATCAGGCAGCTCGATGCCAAAAAGAAGTTCGTCAGTAATAGACTGAAGGCCCTGGCTTCCTGAGAGGCTTGGAGCGTCACCATTTGGCGTGGCGAGGGGGAGGGCCAGGGCGGCTGGGAGGAGAGCAATGAGAAAGCTGTTAGCCTTCATTGCGTTATTGAGGTTATAGAGAGTTAGGGGGTTGGTTAGTCAAGTACAAATAGAGGATGGAAAGCTTGTAGCACCCAAGAATGATATGTAGGCTGATGAGAGCCGTACACGATATACGAGTAAGAGTGTGAGGAACAGAAACATAGAGGAGAGAGCAACCACTGCTCTTTCTATTTGTGGTCAGATGCTGCATTATGTGAACATGATCTCAGTCTGTTCTTGCCCGGTGGTAGGTATCAACGCATCACAGTGATGCCATGCCATAATGTTATCCCGCTTAACCATATCATACTTAAGCCCCAACTGGCCCAAATATTACAGGCGCCAGTCCACTAGATTGCCAGCAGTAGTAATTCCAGAGAGCCTTGGGTTGTAGCATAGACTCTTAGCCTGAGTCATAGTCTTGACTCCGACCAATTGACATAGCCAATAAAGTTTATGCCGGATAATCACTGGAAGATGAAGTTAGGGATAATAGGCACCGCGCTTCTTTGAGAGTACTTGTATAACTATAACTATAACTACATAGTTTGTAGACAGAAATCGGAACCGGAGAAACAACTCGGGGGGAAGACACAGATTCTGCCATGTCTTACCGTCTTTTGCCCTTGTTGAGTGACAGAGGCCGATAGGAGACCATTCCGAAACAGGCAATTTAGGCTTGGCGTGGAGTATTGGGAATCGCGCGGAATCGCTGCCTTTATAAATTACTTCCGACTTTCACCTCTTCTTCCTCCACCACTCCATCCTGGATACCATCTCCTCAATCCCCCCTCTCGTTCGACCCCGTGTGTGAGGAGCGTTTCAGCATTCGCTCGTCCCAAACCACACCTGCGATCATTTGCGCCGGCTCTTGAGCGTTACGGTGAACTTTGTGAAGAGTGAGTGCTAAAATCCCCTCTTCCTTGCTTCCCATTCACCATCATCTGCCGTCGGTTACTGCCAAAGCTATCCGGGCGCCTGGTACAGCATATTACTCGCGCATAAAATGGAGACCATTCATGATTTTGCATTAACGGAGGTTCCTGAAGAGGCACGTGCGCATGGGTTGTCCCGCCATACTCCAGTGCCTGGCGACGTCAGCCTTTTTTCTTGAGAGATGGGTAGCTCGGGAAGCTTCGTATTCTCTATTGGCGATCCCATGAGCGGTCGCCTTCATCTAAAATCTAGCGCTCATAAGATTCATCGTCTTATCCTGACTTGACTAGTCATTTTATATCGGAATTTTCTCTGTTTTGCGCTAATCATAGTGTTTCACCTGATAGGTACTTCGAAGTCTCCTGCCTCTCGTTTAGATCACATTGACAACATGCCCTTGGAAGCGAAGGAAATTGAACTCAAGGCGAAGGCCTTGACGAAGGCCGCCACTCAGAATGAACCAGCAGCCAACATTGTATCCTTGCTTAAAGAGCTCCAACAAGGTGTGAAGGCGACAGAGGATCTGCTGCGATCCACCCGTGTGGGGATCATCGTCAACAAATTCAAACAGCACAAGTCGCCCGAGGTCTCCCGCCTATCCAGTGAAATCGTGTCCAGGTGGCGGAATGAAGTCAACAAGCAGAAGGCGAGTGGATCGCCCGCGCCCAGCCAGCGTTCAAGCAATTCGCCGCGCCCGGCTCAGAACGGAACCGCTTCACCTGCCGGTACGACGCCTACAGACAAAGCATCCAAGTTGTCGGTTGCCCCGGATAAACGTACATGGAAGGCAGATGGTGTGGATGTCAATCAGACGGGAAGTAAGATTCGTGACAGTTGCATTGGGCTGATGTATGATGGACTGTGTCTGAACTCGACGGAATCTCCGCGTAACGTTCTGTCCAAGGCGTCAGCCGTGGAGGCCGCAGCATACAAGTCCTTGGGCCCTGAGACCAAAGAGCAGTACCGTACCAAGATCCGCAGTTTATTTCAAAACCTCAAGAACAAGTCGAATCCAACTCTCCGCATCCGTGTCCTCAGCAGCGATGTGACCCCCGAGCAGTTCGTGCGCATGTCACACGACGAGCTGCGCTCCGACGAACAGCGCGAGAAGGACGCAAAGATCCAGAAGGAGAATATGGACAAGGCAATGGTTGCCCAAGCAGAGCGCAGTATCAGTACCAGTCTGCAGTGCGGTAAATGCGGACAACGCAAAGTCACATACACCGAGGCCCAGACGCGCAGTGCAGACGAACCGATGACTTTGTTCTGTACTTGTCTGAACTGCGGAAAGTCCTGGAAGCAGTAACTTCTTTCTTCCTCACTCCTCAATGTTCTACTTCTCTATCTTCCTCCGATTTATTGTTCCATTTCACCTTCTTACTCCACCTCATCTTTACTTTCTATAGTTGTTTTATCGAGTCTGTCCAATTACGCTACGGCGTGGAGTTTGGTTGCTTAAAAGAGGTCGTCATTCTCGGGGGGCAAGCAGGTTGAGCCCCGCGAGTTTTTTTTTTTTTTTTTTTATCATTACCATTACATTTTGACTATTTAGTGCCGGTAGATAGATGATTAACGAAGTGCGTTGACTGCTCCCAATCAATCAATTAATCAATCAGGACAACAACATAAGATGATAATGATATCAAACCATACCATACCATCGACGTCATCGTGAAAACACCCCCCTCATACAACCTCAAATAACAACTACAACACCACCATTCACTAAACCATATCTCCAATCCACACAAGAAGAACCTTAACGCTCAAAACAACAAAAACAGAAAAGAAAGGAAAGAAAAGAAAAAAAAGAAAAACCAAAGATGTCCAAACGAACCTCCCTCCTCACGCGCACGCGCACATTATGCCAAAACTTCTCCACCAGCGCTCCCCTCCCAACGCTCCTCTCAAACTTCACCCAAAACACTCCACCCACAGCCCTGGAACACGGTCTCCCGCAACTCGCCCCCTTCCTCGGGCGCCCATTCACCGGTCAGGAAGGACTACGACACTACTTCGGACTTTTGTCTGAGCTGCTTACGATCGAGAAGATGGATTTCGAGCCGGAGGAGAAATGGGTTGTGGATGAGAGGGCGATGGCGGTTTCGCTGAGGGGGGAGGCGAGGTTTCGGTGGAATGAGACGGGGCAGGCTTGGGATGAGACGTTTGCGTATCGGATTGGGCTTTTGGAGGAAGGGGGGGAGGTGAAGGTTGTGGGGTATGAGGTTTGGGCGGATACGGGGGCGGCGTATTTGGCTAGGGTTGGGGGGTTAGATTAGTGGTAGGGGGTTTTATCATGTGTATTTCATGTCTCTTTTATTTCTTTTCCTTTTACTTGTTCGGTTGGGGAAGAAGGGAGATGTATGATATGATTGAGAGAAGGGGTGTGTATTTGGAGCATGATAATAGTAATTCAATCAGTTCTTGTCCACATTCCAGTCGATCCAGCCGATGTTCCCGGATTTCCCGTCTGGATACTGGAAGACTCTTGCTGGGGAGCTGTATCTCGCGTACTCCTTGTCGTCCATTACTATTGTGACGTTTCCGTCTCTTCGGCCTGTGGCGTTGAAGCCCGGTCCGAAAACCTTGTACTCAGCCATGACGGTATCCTTGTTCAAGCGACCCTCGCCATCGACAATCCAGTCGATGTACCCAGCTGGAATGATACTTGCGTCTTCGGAGGTGCGCGCGAATATAGACCGGTGCTGGCTATTCCATGGACGGCCCAGAGCGCATTTACCCCGGATATCGGGAGCTATGGATGTATTGGCTGCCTTGACGGTAGAATCGACGATGTACACGCCGTAGTTGTTGGTGAAGGTAGTGTTAGTTCCTTTCCAAGCTGTGATACCACCGCCGCAGTTGCGTAGAAGAATCTCAGACGATTGGATCCAGGCAGTGCCGAAACCGTAGAGAAAGTCAGTTTGGCCGGCGATGATACTTTTGTGGAAGTAGGCGTTGCCCAGTTTACCCACGTAAACCTGAGTTCTTTGGTTAGGTTCAGTTCACACTCGACTGCAAGAGTAGGGAAAGCGTACAGTGTCCTGGTAAGAATAGAACCCGCAGTGATAGAACCCGCCATTGGCGCGACTGAAGCTGATCGCATGCGCCGGTCCATCGGAGTAGTCTCGCCAGGTATTCGTGAAATCAATATTGTATGCCCGGAAATCGATGTTGCCGAAAGGTGTATCCTCTGGCACAGGATATCCTGTCGTGCCCGATCCTGTATAGCTTGATTCCAGCGTGGGCGCGACGGTCAGGACGCTCGAGAAGACATTATCCACTGCCTGACCGGTATTGTCATGGTTGGCTTGGGCCCAGGTAAGAGTGACCTTGTTTTTGGTAGCATTGTTAGGGTCATCAGTCTGTCCGAGGAGCGTGACAGGCCCGGACCGAGTAACATTTACTTGCTCCTTATACGTTCCTGGGAGGATGAGGATGGTCTGGGTGGTGTTATCATTCGGGAGGGAAAGAATGGCGTCTTGCACAGTGGTGAAATGGGCGGAGGGGTCAGTCTTGGAGACAAGAATTGTTCCTTCCGGACAGCTGAGGGCCGTTTGACAGGCATATCTAGAAGTTTTGAGCGGGCTTGCCGATGCCAAAAGGGCACCCAACAGGAGTGATAGTCCCGATGAACGCATGGTGACCAAATTGTATGGTGGGAATCCGCTGGTATGAACAAGCAATCCCTCTCACGCTCTTCCCGAAATGCAGTGTGAATCTTTTATACCTCATAACGGAAAATCTATCTCATGTTCTTCTACCCCGGGAAAAATTGCGGGGAGACACAGTAGTAAAGTCAACGCGGATCAATACCGTTGGTCAAGCATACGCAGCCAACTCCGACTGTCACAAGGCTTATCCATAGCCCAAGAGCTTGTATAACTACCTAGGTCACTAATTGGGCGAATCTGGGGGTTCTGGGGATTGGATCACTCCGCATTTGGGCGTAAATTTCCCCAGACCAGGAGACGGAGAAATTTGATATAGTATGCGGAGAATTGCTTTCCACCTGTTAGCATCTTTAGTCTAAGAGTTAAAGAACATGAGAATTTTTTTTCGTATATCGAGTCAAGTATAAGACGACCGGTATGCCATATTATGGATTGTAACTTCGAGATGCTTAATCATTCTACCGCGTAGAATCATATACCCAGTATGGGGTGGACCTAAGGTGATGTCGCTATGTGGGGTGCCGTATGTATACCAGACATTGAAGAGAGCACGGGCATAGGCTCAGACAGCACCATTTCACATAGAGCGGATGAGTAAAGAGGCCGATGTAGTCTTTGTAGGTGAACAGTAACGACAAAGCAGTAGCATATCACGAGTCCACTGTGTCTTGAATTCACCAAAACGTCGCGGTACTCCGGCAGGTGACTTCCACTTTGGGACAACATCGGACCACTTCAGGCCAAGCGAACTGGTGCCTCAGATTACAGGCCAACAATCATCCCACTGAGGGATTTTCTGCTTTCTGCTTCTTTCCTTCTGTTTCCTTCTCTCACGTGGATCCCAATACCAGAGCGGGGCGTACCTTGCAGCAATTGTTCATATGATCAATACTAGGCGCATAGTCCGTCGCGGTGGACCGAACCCACCACAGCTTTCGAGCTACTTAGCTAGTAGCCAGCTCAGCTCCAAAGAACGCTAGCCCACCACACTACACAGTACTACTACCCACTCCGACTACTCAGCTTGCATGATTCAAATATTCGAGAATCTACCTCGGTGTTTTCTCTCTATCGGGCGGTGTCCGAGGGGTAACTGTTACGTAGTCCGCGCGGTTGAGATAGTGAGGGCTCCACCGTACCTGCCAAGAGGGGCTCTGGGTGCGTTGAGTGGACCGTGTCTAAGATGAGACTGAGCGCAGTTTAGATTTGCCGATCCGAATAATAGTCAGGGGGGGGGGTGAAAGAAAAAAGAAGGGAAGAAAAAAGAGGAAGAGAAATGGAAATGACAATAGATTTAAAAAGATTTTTGAGAAAAAGTAGGAACAAAAGACAGAAGATTGTGGAGGACAGTTGGTTTACTAGAAATACTAAAGAGAGAAAAAAAGAAAACATTCTTTGGAAACCCTTGATTTGACTAATTTACCACTATTAATGACATACATACATGATAAAAGAAAGGAAAATTCACTCTATAAACGTAGAGCAAAGTAATAAAGGCATAAAAAGTCTATAATACGGGGTAAAATAATAAAGCCGGTGCACCAGCTCATGCATGTATGCTCAAGTGATATCCAGATCGGATAATATTAAATGAAATGAGCGTAATCAAGCGTTTACTCGTCCTCTTCGACCTCAGCACGGGCACCCAGCATGTAGCGGGACTTGCCGTGGGCGTCGACCTCGTGCTCAATAGCCAGCTTGGAGAGGTGGCTGAGCATGTTCTCGATCTTGGTGTCAGCCTTGGAACGGTTCTTGCGGCCAAGGTTGTCAAGACCAGGGATGATGGTGAGGAGGTAGTAGACGACGGCAATGATGATGGTGACACCGATGGAGTAGGCCCAGATAACAACGACAGTGACAATGTCGACGTCACCGTTGACGGAGAACTCAGCCTTGCTGGGAGGGCTGGTCTGCTCGTAGTCACCAGAGAGCCAGCCGAACACACAGAACAGGGTGGAGAGGACATCGACAACGAAGATAGCACCGACCAGCTGCCAAGAGGGCCAGGTCTTACCACCACGGGTAACGAAGATCAGCCAGTTCTCAGTAAGGGCAACCTCAAGGAAGAGGATTTCCTGAGGAGAACCGAAGTTCTGGATGATACCGCCGTTGGAAAGGAAGAGAGAAGCACGGATGATCCAGGTGGCAGCGGCAAGCAAGATACCAAGGATGACGGAGATGACCCAGATCTTAGGAAGCTGCCACTCGACAGGACGCTGCTCGAAGTGGGCGTTATCGTAGGCGATGGCAATGGTAGCCAAATCAGCGAAGAGGGCAATGAAGACAATAAGATCAGCACGGATGGTCTCCTCGATGATGATCATGGAGGTAACGAGGTAGATCTCAAGATGGAGACACAGAGCAATACGGTACTGAATGTAAGCCTTCATACGCTGGAAAATCTGACGAGCGAGCTTGATAGCGTCGACAATGGTGGAGAGACCAGGGGCAAGGAAGACAATATCAGCGGCGGCCTGGGCGGCTTCAGTGGAACCCTCGACAGCGATACCACAGTCAGCCTTCTTGAGGGAAGGAGCATCGTTGACACCATCACCAGTCATGGCAGTTAAGTGACCACGCTGCTGAAGCATCTCGACGACCTGGTATTTGTGCTCGGGGAAGACCTCAGCGAAACCATCAGCCTTCTCAACAAGGTCGTACTGAGCAGAGCCAGCAAGACCACCGTGGATAAGACGCTCAGAGTCGTAGACCTTGGTGCTCAGGGCAAGCATCTTGCAAGTTTCCTTAGCAATGGCAAGAGCATCACCAGTCAACATCTTAACGGAAAGACCAAGGTGCTGGGCCTCAGCGATGGTGTGGGCAGTATCTTCACGAGGGGGGTCAAACATGGGGTACATGCCCAGAAGTTGCCAGGGCTCACCCTCCTTCTGGACGGCAACACCAAGAGAACGGAAACCACGGCGAGCGAACTCAGCAGACTTCTCACGGAACTTGTTGGCCTCCTCCTCGGAGCACTCAGACATGTTGAGAATAGCCTTGGGAGCACCCTTAGCACAGACGTAACGGACACCGTCGCAAGTACAGATGGTGGTGATACGCTTGGAGACGGGGTCGAAAGGAGTGTACTTCTCGGTAACCCAGTTGCGAGCGAGGATCTCACGAGCCTTGGGGTAACGACGGAGAGTAAGGATGGTAACCTTGTCGATGGGGTCGAGGTTCTTGACGTTGTGGTTGGAGGCAATAGCAGCAACAGCCATCATCCAGTTAACATCAACGCCCTCGTTGACGTAGGGCTCACGGATGGAGAGCTGGTTGGCAGTAAGAGTACCAGTCTTGTCAGAGCACAGGATGTCAACACCAGCAAGGGATTCGATGGCAGTGAGCTTCTGAACGATAGCCTTCTGCTCAGCCAGGTAGGCGGCACCGACAGCCAGGGTGGTGGTGGTGACGACAGGGAGACCGACGGGGACACCAATGATCAACAGAATGAGAGTCCAGCGGAGCAAGAAGTTCTCCTCGTTCTCAGGAGTAGCGATCATCATATGACGGTAGAAACCACCAATCCAGGCAGCGAGAATCCAGAACATGACGAGAACCAGGAGAGAAGTACCAATGTTGTCCATGACAGCCTTGAAGTGACCGGAATCAGAGGCACCCTGGACGAGAGCAGCGGTCTTACCGACGAAAGACTGCTTGGCGGTAGCGAGAACAATACCGTAGGCCTTACCACGCTTGCAACCAGTGGTGTAGTAGCAAGTGTCAGCCATGTACTTGTCGACAGCAAGAGATTCACCAGTGATGGCGGACTGGTCAACAGCGACCAGAGAGACTCCAGCACGGGCCTCAATGCCAGTGTCGTCCTCATCATCATCATCCTTCTCCTTGAGGGTGTCATCGTTGGCGGTGGCGAGGTATTCCTTGTAGGTCTCGAACATCTCGGGCTTGGAGTAGTCACAGATCAGGCGGACATCGGCAGGAACGACGGTACCTTCCTCGACCACAACCTGTAGAGGCAATTGGTTAGTCAATGAATTCCAAAGCGTAGCACATAACAAGCCAGGCACATACGATATCACCAGCAACAAGCTCACGAGCAAGGATCTCCTGCTCTTGTCCCTCACGAATAACAACAGCCTTCATGGCAATGTCACCCTTCAGCGAAGCAACAACGTCGGCGGCCTGCTTTTCCTGATACCAACCGACGACAGCGTTAAGCATAAGAATACCAATAATCACACCCAAATCGATCCAGTCACGCAGACCAGCGGCGAGCAAAACAGCAAGTTCCATAACTAGTAGGTTGTCAGCGGGGCTGCAATTCCTCTCTAAAACGCATAGCTGTCGAAAACGTACCATAGAGAATAGGACCACGGAAGTAACCAATGAACTGAACGAAGAAGTTGGTCTTCTCAGTAGTCAGTTCGTTCCAGCCAGTGCGCTTGCGACGAGCCTCAACATCAGCGCCACGGAGACCAGCACGCAGGTCGGTCTCGAGCCACTCATCGGGGCAGACGAAGCCCTCCTCAACACCATCGCCTCCCTTCTTCCAGAACTGCCAGCTCTTCTTCGCCTTCTTGGTGCTCATAGCACCAGCAGAAGAGGTCGAGCCACGGCGCTTGTCGCGAGCAGTCGAGATATAACGGTTAAGAGCGGCATACTCATCGAGGTTGGCGCCATCACGGTCACCATTCTCCACGTCGGGAGCATAGGAGATTCTCCGCTCCGCCATTGTTGCTTCGGCTCACACAGCCTTTGGGACCCAACGATATGAGCAGATGCAAACAAAGTATGGCAGGAATGGCAAGAGTCGGAATTCCTATAGAGAGAAGAAGAAGAAGGGAGGGGAGAGGGGTGGAAGGGATGTACTCTTTAATATGTCTGGATGGGGGGGGTGAGCGAGATTGATTTGCACGGGACCTGAACAAACACGTCTTGGTCTCTAAGCTCCAACGGGCGACCTTCCCTGTGCGTAAGCCCACTTTTTTTTTTTTTTTTTTTTTTTTTTTTTTTTTTTTTTTTTTTTTTTTTTTTTTTTTTGGGTTCTAAGTTTCGGGGTCGTGTGGCCGGGTGCAGTAGCCACTTTGATCGAAAGTTCACTGTCCCTGAAAGGCCGACCCGACCTCCGACCCTCTTTGGGTCCAATCCTCCTGCGCACACACATTTTTGCTTAACGGGACGCACTCGCGAGCAGATTTTTCTTTTTTGTTTTTTCCACCTTCACATATTTTTCATTTTTCATTTTCGTCTTCCCTGAATGGCTGAATTCTCCAAGGTAAATGTGGGCCCCTTACCGCATCTAGTTTAGTCTCACCCTTTGGAAAACTCTTACCTTTCCATATTAACACGATGGTACGCCGCCTTACGCCTCTGGGGCCTTGTCCTCTATGCTCAATGGAGTAATCTCTACTGTACGGTTAGTCTCCATGACCGGCAGCTCTGTGCCGAGTTCGCCCCCCTCTCCTCCACTCTCTCCATACACTTCACAGGAAGCGTAAACCACGGGCGATGAGAGGATTCTGGGGTGTCATGGTACGTTGCAATACATCGGTAAAATCGGCCACAGGGCAAAATGCCACCCCATGGAAGGTATGTGACTTGTAAAATACCATACCGCTTGGCCCGGTCTCCATCGGTCTAGTTATCGGCCAGTCTCTCACTCTCGTACCTGACTCTGGGGGTGTGATTGTGGGCAAAAATTCTCTTACGGTACGCAGTGCCGCGTGCGGGTGGCCCTCGTTAATTTTCCTCATCCTTCCCATTCAATCTCAATTTTACTATGCGCGATTTTCCAGCCGCTTGCGACGAGGCGTTTTTTTCCCTTACCAAGTCACCAGAGTACTAATTTCCATTCGAATAATCATAATCATCAAATTTGCCGTCAAAGTTCCAGGAAATTTGAGACCAACATGAAAGGGCAAATGAAGGATAAGACAAGAAAAGCTATCGGTTTCTGTTATCTTCCTAGTTCCTGCAGCAAATGACAAGTCAGGATTTGCATCAATTTACTTTTGATTTCATTTTTCATTTTTCTTATTTTTTCTTGTCTTTGGGACCTCCTTGCAGAGGCAGACGAGAGACTCATCTTCTTGAATCCAATAGTAGCAGTAGATAGAGAGGACGAGATTCCGAGGATGGTAAAAATGAAACTGTTCCGTTACGGGTGCATACGAGACATACAGGGCAAACAAACAAAACTAACATTGTTTCTGCTTGGCTCTGCTGTTGCAGCAAAATACTCCGTTTGGTTACTTCAAAGTTTTCCTTCATACGGTTACCATTCAAGGGCCGTCCTACCCGACCTTCCCGTCACCAATAACCACGAGTTCAGCCAACCGGGAAAGAGCAAGGGGCGACACGAAAATCCCATCCCATGCCATTTCCGGGTGCAGGGCAAAAAGAGGGTAGATTAAAAAATAAAAATAAAAATAAAAATAACAAAAAAAAGTAGTAAACAAACACCATCTCGAGTCCGAGACGCGATGACACTGCATGGTTAGATTATGATACGATGCTTCCAACAGGGTTTAATCAATGGATCATCGTGAGACTCCATCCGAGAGTAATAACGTCGTAGAATTAATCGTCTCCATGGTCAGAAGTCCCGACGGGAATTGTTACGGGGAAAGGGAAGAAAAAGTCAGTACGAATTGAAAGAGAGGTACCTTTTGTTCCCTTCCATCTTTTTTCCATTGTGGTCACTGTCAAGCCATCATGATTCAAGATTACACTTTTTTCAATACAGCATCGTTACCACATCTCATGGCATTCACATCCAGAACCTGAGTAACGACGCTATTCCCAAACCCAGCGGTCATTATGTCATCAGGATTAGTAGTTAGTTATTTCCTATCGATCATTTGTTGTTATCAGCAGTGAGGATGATGAACAATACTAGTAATTATTATCTTCTGCAGACGCACTCGCTGGTCATATCCCACGACCCGCTTAATTCCAGTTATGAATTTATTTGAATTATTTAGTTTATTTTATTTTTATTTATTTTTCTCTTCCTGGTTTTTGATTCCGATGAGTATTATTATTATTTATCTAATGTAACTAAAAACCCACACTAGCTCACCCAAAAAAATACTAACCCGGAGTCGATCGTTCTTGCTTCCCACCAAAGACCGAGCGCGTATGACGAGAAGAGACTCTCCACTCCACCTTCATTAGCCTCGCTCCAATCCGCGTCCTCTTGAACGTTGATTGAGTTTCGTCCCGTCCTTGTCTCGTGGGGAGCAAAAGGTCTCCATTTCCGAGCGTCATTTCCTGTGAGTGGTCGTTTGGCCGTGAGAGTCTCCGCCAACTAGTCAATGGCCCTCTCCATTTGGTTGCTTCTCGATTATTGCGATGGGATCATGGATTATTATTCTGGCCCTGCCATTGAGTAGCTTTTCTCGGTTCCCACCACCTATCATTAGTCCCGTTTGGTGTATAAGACTAGGAGCTATAATCAGCTTGAACTATCTGAGAATAGAATAGATTAGAGTATAGCTTCAGACCTCCGTAGCATTTGCCTCACACATGGGTTGCAATCGATGATTTCATCGGCGTTGATCCTGTGAAGTCATAGCCATCATCAGATCTTACCTATCTACATTGCGATAAGGTCCATCCAATTTGGATGCTCTCCTGCACCCTGAACGGGGAGGAAAGATAACCACGTTGCGTTGCGACATTTTTCCATGGGCTTGACAGACTGCGCTGTATGCATGCATGCGTGATAATGACCAATGGCCCTCCTGCAAACCAAGGGGGGGGAGGAAAAAGCGCTTGCTCATGCATGACCATGCCCGCCGATCGCCCGTGGCTGGTCCCTTTTTCCGATATGATCCTGTACTGAGGTCCGAATCATGACAGGTGAATGAGCGATATGACTATGAAAAGGCAAAAAGCCTCGCGCCAACTAGAGCGTCATCATGCCGCAAAAACGGAAACTCCAGATTAGGATAGATTCAGGTTGGAAAGTCGATGTGTCCAATTAATGAACGTAATTCATTTGACAACACAAGGGTGCATTGAAGTTCCTCTACTAATGCCCATGCTCTCTGCTATGCATGCATGGGCTTTGACACGATCATCGTCACCACTGCCAACCACCCGTTGTCTATCGTCAACCGCCCACGTCGTGGTTGCCGTTGGTTGCCCATCCCCCAGATCGGCTGACATCTCGCATCGGTCTGATAGACCAACCTCTTTTTTCTTCATTACCATTTCCTAGACCCGGTTTATTCCCTCACTGTCGCTCGCTATTATCCATGATGCAACAGGGAAATTGCCGGTTCGGGATCTCCTCCACACTTTTAGCTCCTCCCACAGAAGGCTTGTCTGTATACGAGAGCGAGTAAAAGTACGGTGGTATAGAATATACGCCTGCCAAGGCTGCCTCCACATTCAAATTTAGTTTATTTAGTTTCGTTATGGATTTATTTGCTTTTCGGTATGGGGTTAAGGCGCTCTGTAGTCTGTGGTACGTACAAAACCCGCTCTTGCGGGATTCGGTGAGAAAATCTGGAGTAGATAGACAGAAAAACCCCATACAATGCTGCTGCAGCAGAACGACGAGGTCCATGTCGGGATATTTCGAAGCTTCGGAGGGTCAATCGGGGCCAGTCTGGACCGCATACCGCCACCGTCCTGATTCAAAAATTAAAATAAAATAATAAAAAATAATCATAACAAAAAAAAGACCTCAGACCTCAGACCTTTAGACCACCCCCATGGAGCCTAGTAAGACTACGGAGTACAATGGTTATGGTATCCTCAGCGACAGGAGATTTCGGGGAGAAGGATGACCTGCATCATCCCTACTCCATACCATATCGACGGGGTTCACGATCCCAGTTGTCTCAGTCACATGTACGACTCGGGGGTTTGGGTAGACGATGCCATGTGGAACATGGCAGATCCACCATTGAGAAAGAAAGGAATGCCGTACTCTTTGTTCACCAAAGCTGTCCGGTATGCTTGATGGTATGTTTCCCTCGCCGACGGACGTCCTGTTCGCAGATCGAATGCTGTTTTGTTCCTATTTCAGTTAACTCTTTCGCGATAGTATAGACTACTGAATGAGGACAAGTCCATAGCAGCAGCAGGTTAGCGGGCGCTTTCCGCGGCTGATGGGGACCGGTACGGGTACGAATGTCGTTAGTAGATACGCTTGCCCGTTTAGTACCCGCTCATCTCGACTCTAGTGGTGACTGCTTATTGAATTCCGCTTTACTCCTAGCTCTGCAACAGATAACAAGGGAAGAGTCACAAAAATAGCATAAAGATGATTTCACGAAGTACGGAGTAAGTACGTACATACTCGGGTTCTTGTCCCGATAAGCAGAAGAAATAACGGATTCTGAATGCGTCGTTGCAAACGAGCCGAGGGAAATCCCCAGCCACCTCCATGCCCCATTCCCTCGATAATATTACAAAGGTACGACTTGAGACAGTAGTAGCTCTAACAGAATTAGTTCATCATCCATACAGCTAGATCAAAGCACCATCCGCCTATAGTCCCGTGCACGCAACAATACTACCTGTGCAACAATTACTTTACGTAGTTAATCGAACTCCGGGGGATTCTCACCGTTTGCCGACGCGGTTTATTTTACCTCAGTTTTGAGTGATGGGGTGTAACCGGCGGACGTCAGCCAAGAGTTCCTCCCTCTCTCTCTCTCTCTCTCTCTTTTTGATTCCTCCATGCCTTTTGGTCTTGGTTGTTGTACTTACAGACCATCAATATTACATACCAATACCAGCTTACCTCATCAGTAATCCCTCTTCCTTGGAGGAAATGGAAACCCTTAAGTGCAGAGCCCTAATCGATTACCTTATGAAAAGCATAAAAATTTTCTACACGATGACAGTTGGCAGGGCTGAACCCAATTGCTCCAAGATGAGAATTACACTCGTACGGTAGATTCTATCCTAATAGTTGTTGGTTATACCAGTGGGGGTTTTTTGGTGGAAAGAAACAGTCAAGATTTAGTCAAGGAATCGACTGGTGTTGGTAACAAAGAACCCCACAACAGGACCCGTGGTTGAGCTCCTTCTATTGAGACTCAATTCTATGGCTTCGGGAATTCCTGACCCTGACCCAGTACCGTTGATAATAAATCATGTGGATGTGATTGAGAGACGTGAAAGTTGGGTGGGTAAAGGTTTGATTTTTTTTTTTTTTTTCTTTTCTTTGACAGTGTCATCGACGTGTGGAATTTCCATGGTTTGGCTGTAACGGGTGTCAGTCGAAACCTCATCCATACAAAGAATTTTCAACCCTCCGACGGCAAAGAGGCAAACCAGTCTCGTTCTAGAAAATCGAAGAATAAGCCAAGAATCTACCTTACTGACTGACGTCGCGGACAGCAAATACCTACGTGGACAGATCTTCGACTACGTAAATGCCTCATGCCATGGACTGGAGATGGGGGATCGATGAGTGAGTGATATCAGTAGTCAACTTTTCGATATGCATTAGAACAACACACTATTATCCCGCAACGGGTCCCAGCCAACCAACGGTGAGGCTGTCGACTTAAACGGGCGAACGAAGTGGAAATAATCGCCACCGGATTGGGGACGCCGCAGCTCTGATGGGGGTGTGGCTCCATCCGTGACTCGCCCGACCGCTTTCGATGCCCGTTCTCGACGTTTTCTAGAAAACTGGATCGAATGGAACGGTGCGTGTTAGGTGCATTCTTCGTCCAAGAAGCTGGGATTCGCCTTTGGGTCGCATTCTAGGTCGGATGTCGGCAATCTGAGCGTATCTGAGTCTTTTTGTGTGGGATGTTGGTTGGTTGCATTGTTGTTTGGTGGATGGTGTGGCCATGTGAGATGCAATTTTTCTATTTTATTTGTCTTGAAATGGTTTACTCCAGAATGTTACGTCATAATCGGCAGTCCGAGGAGATGCTTTTTTGTTTTCCACACACACGCACGCACACACGGTCGGGTAAATTGGTCGGGATTCCAGAGAACCACTGGCAATTGGGACTCAATTAATTGGGATTTCCCTCTTTGGGACCTGAGGAACAGCTTTCCTTGTCGGGCTAGATCGTACGGTCTCGTTACGTAAGTTTCGACAGATGAGTAAGCCCCTACCGCTTTGGGTAAGTACCTCTCATTTCCCTGAGAGGGTATTCACGGTGCCTCTCACTCTCGACCGACTGACGAGAGCCGCGTACACTCACACCACACACACACACGCAGATTTCCTGAACGAGGAAATTATTAGATTCTCCTCATCATGTCCCGGAAGATCTTGCCGGTCTCGCCTTATCTACGTGCATGGTGCTAGTTGTGCGACGGCGCTAACGACAATTGTCCGCCGGGATATTACTTTGACAATTGTGGAATATATTTCCTGATGTCCTTAAATCTTCAATTACGACGTACCTATACCAAAATGTTGACAGATAGCACCGTCATGCGAGAGAGAATGGCGCTATCTCAAATGGATCACCGAGGTCTTCCGTGGTCCTGAATGAAACATAGCTAACGAGCTGTACCTACAGTAGCACCTCTTTTAGCCCGCTCACTAACCGCTAGTAACAGAAACGGGGAAATTACTTCCCACTCACCGATGCTAAATTGCAAATAATCCCCCCAATCCCCACCGGCGATCGCCCGTCGCCAAGCTGTCTCATCGAGGATCGTGGTGAGGGATTTTCTTCCAGTACGGTCGTATTATCGTCGCTTCCCGAGGTTGCTCCATGGTTTGGGTGTGGTCTTGTTCGCCGTCTTGGACCTCTTAAGTGTTCCAGATACGGAATTGATCTCGGTTGTGCTTGCCAAGAGCCAAGACATTGTCCATCGGGACAGCCATTGGGGAGGAGAATCAATTATTGTCTATCTATACATAACTCACGGGGATTCCGTTCATGTCACGCCTGCAGGACTGCACAAGAATACGACATCGGCTTGCCCCAGATGGGGGCGTTTGCTCATCGAGATCCCATTTGCAGTTTAGACGGAGGCACATCATCTCTTAGCGAAATCCTTCCCACCTTTCCTATCCTGTACAAGACGGCCGCGCTCAGACGAAGCTACTAACCTGTCTTGCTACTATGAGAGATTTTCCCCCATTATTAGGCCCTTTTCCCTCTACGGTGCCACGGTGGCAGCGGGCAACGCCAGCGTGATGCCAATCAGCTTTTTCAATTATATTACTCCATGGAAATCATAGATTATCGGTCATGAGATGATAAGAGCTCCTTGCAGCTACCAATTGCCAAATCAAAAGGAGAAACACAGTGGTCGTCTCGGGGTAAAGCCGAGCCTCGACTCGGAGATGATCTGACCATCCGTTGCCCCCAACCCATAGCTCGCTGTCCCCATTGTCCCTGCGTCATATTGTGCGTGATTGTCATTCATAACCATTGTTTAGGATTCAGCATCGGCTACACGCGGTCTCGTCGCCGCTCTAGAGGACTTCTTCTACAAGTAGTGCGAACGGCTATCTCGGCGTGCAACATGACGACTGGAAATTAAATTCTAACATTGAGAAATCAACACTATTCTTTTTGTTCTTTCCAGGCCCTAGTCTCCATTAAAATTTTCAATAATTTATGAGAGGTTTCCATAAACCGGGTGCATCTGACATGACATCGGGATATTTCACACCTCGGCAAGGTCCTGGTCTCGGCCCAGCCCCCAAACTCGCCGCCATCGGCGTCGCGGGAATCGGCACGCGAAGGCCGCCTTCCTTTCCCTATCACAATCATCCTATTTGGCGATGATTTTTCTCTGGACGTTTTCTAGCGTTTCTATCCAACTGTCTATCCCTGGATATGATCAGGCGACTCCGTCGATGTTCCATGGTTGGAACAGTCGGTCAGCGACTAAGAACTTTCGTTCGGTGGTTGACGCCGCCGCGACCCAAGATTAAAAATCTGCTAAGGCAAAATGCTCCATGAGACAAGTCTCTACCGACGATATTGTTTCGGATGCTCCTGTGCCATGCAGTATGTACTCCGTATAGAACCATGCAGGAACTATGCTGGGAATTGGTCCGCCAAGGGAATAGAATGCAATAGGGTCGGCGAATAACCTTCCTGGCGGAATTCTGGGCCCGCGCTCAGAATCTCCCTCGGGAATATGATACCAGCGCCTGACAAAAGTTGTCTCAGCCTGGGTCGTCGCAATAACGGAGGTCTATCGATTGCCCTGGAGAGTGTATGCTAAAGTATATTCACCCTATAGTAGGCTGTGTAACGGCTCGCTGCCAAGGGATCTTCAGCATGGATATTCCCCGCATGATACCGTACATCCTGTATGTACGACTGTCTATCTGATCTCATCTGTATGTTCGGCTCTCGTCAATGCAAGAATGTCAACCTCCTTGCGTGATGGAAGTCTGCCAGGCTGCATCCCACGGGACCGGGAACAGAATGGCACATCGACCCTGCAGACTTGTTCATTGGAATGCTTGGGACCGTGTAAACGAGCTCTGCGACGTCATCGGAAGGTGCTCCCGACATACAGAGACATACATGCACGCCTACTCAACCTCATACATACAGCACCCCCATACGTCCCGGCCCAGCCAGGCAATGCAAGGCGAATCATCCCCCTCGGGAAAAAAAAAATACTGCTTCAAACCCTCCTAGAAGGCAGCAGGGACCTCCGGGGGCATACTCCATACAGTTCCCCGAAACGAGTTCTCGATCGACATCAGCGCGCTGATCGCTATCTGCCTACGACCAAGTGCCTAAGCGGGCGATACCGCCGACGCCCCATGATGTCAAAGTTTTCTATATTCAGTATACTTCGAGACATACGTAGGCCCTTTGTACACGCTGTTCAGATCCAAGACAATGCCAGTAGATGATTGATGGATGAATTGGAAAGACAATGATCCAACCCAGCCACCAGTTCAGGCAACACAGATTGTTGAACGTTTACTTGTAGTTGACAGGCAGTGATCGACAATGCGTCAGGGGCTGTGATGAACTTATTTCTTCACCGCCAAGAGGCGAAGTGTTCGTTCGCAGTGAACTGTATGGGGTCAAGACGCCCGCATTGAGGGGTAATGCTCTGATGCATTCCGTTGGGTTCAGCACAAGAAACGAGTTGTCTCTCCAACACTGGTGTGTGTGTCCATTGTGACGACCCAACCACTGAGAAAATGAAGCAATCCATTGACTCCGCCAAGCAAATGATGTGCAGTATCAGCAAGGCTGGTTCTTGGCGGATTTCCCCCTTGGGGGAGAGTCAGTCTATCAATAGCCCCAAACTGCAGCGTCAAATGGATCTCAATCAGACGATAAGGGAGGAACTGAAATGAAATCCATGACCTTGCAAATGACATAACAAGAATAATCAATCAGACCACTATCGCTACACCTACCCCAAAGCACTCGCCGACGACTCAGCTTGGCAAGGAACGTTAGTGCGTCGTTTTCGACGTCTCCCCCATGGAGTACTCCATATTTTTGCCCCCTACCCCTATAATATAACTCACATAATAATAATAGGAAGAAGACCATAACCACCAAATCATGAACAAATAATCAAAATTAATGAGTAGGATTATCCACCGTCGGAGAAGATGACGATAAACAAGTCCCATTCCACCCCCAACCATCTGACTTTTTCTCCTGAAATTCCAATCCCGCCAAGGCCCAAACCATAAAAAAAAAAAAAAAAGAGAGAAGAAAAACAAAACCCTAAGCCAGACTTCCCCATACATTCCTCGACAAACAACTATCGTTTCTTGGCAATTTCTCCTCCCCGAATCGAAGGGATACGCACTGCCCCCCCTCCCTCTCTCCAGACCAGACAAGAAAACACAAGAAAATAGACCAGAACATCAGTAGATAGTCAACAGCGATAGTAGTCTCAGCCAAGGAAAAGGTTGTCGTGTCATTGATCGACGAGGCGGAGTTTCAATGCATGTTATACGTAGTTTATTAGTTGGTAGTTTGTTTTGCCCGATAAGATGAGTCTTTGTTTATTTTATTTGTTTTTTTTAATTTTTACCTTTTTTTTCCCTTTGGCGCATTTTTGAGTTGAGTTGGGATTGTTGGGGGGGATGAGTTCGGGCGATGATGGTTTTTTTCTTCATCGAGATATACTTTTCGATATTGATTTTATTTGTTGTATTTTATTCTTATTTTTTGTATGTTTTTTTGAGCATAGGTAGAGGTTGATAGGATAGGATAGGATCGGATGAGGAATAGAGGGATCTAGATCTGGGTTTGTTTGTTGGCCCTGTTCAGTTCCGCCGTGGCTTGTCTTCAAGATAGGGGGTCTAGATGTGATATATTCATTCTTATCTTGGATCCTACATAACTACACAGTACACAGTAGTAAAGTCGGTGGTAAGTAGTGTCCTACCCAACCCAGATCATTAAACATGGAGTACTTCATCCAACATATCAAAACCCAGTAGAAACATCACCACCGCCTTCCTTCACGGTCAATGGTAAAAACAAGTAGAACGAAAGAAAGGGGATGACAATTACATCATCATCTGACAATCTCATTCAATCAATCAGTCTTGATTGACTTCTGCAATGCCACCACCGTTTTCAATGTCCCGGTCCACTTTGCATTTTTGCCTGGTTTGGCCGTGGTATTTCTTGGCTCCTGGGGGGAAAAGAGGGGGAGAAAGTCGGCTGTGGTATGTTTGAAACAGGGTGTGTGTGTTTGAGTTGAATGCGGCGGGTATTTGGGTCGCGTTTGAGAATGTAGGTTTGGATGGGTGTGTGATGTGAGTGTGGTAGGGTTTGGGGTTTGGTTTCAGGTGGAGGGATGGGATAGTTGAATTGGAGGGGAGAAGAAGGTATGTGGTTGGTGGTGTCCGTTGGAGGAAGGTAAGTTCTGAGGATTGGGTGGTAGTAAGTTCATGTAGATAATAGTAGTGGATCGTATAGAGTGATCTGTGGGATTGTGAATTGTATATGTATATGTATATATGTATTGCTTCGGTTCTATTATATGTAGTTTAGATGTTTCTTGTATTTTGTGGTGTTGTAAGTAGAATATATATATATGTCGTTTATACATATGTATATAGATAGGAGTTTCGGATGAACAGCATGACTATATATACCTACATAATATAGAGCTGCATGATGCTAGTGAAAACATATATATATACATAACTTATTTGTATCAATATATCAAAGATTATCAGTGGCTGGCTTGATCTCCATCTACCTACATACAGGTTTGGGTAAGTGTGATATGTGAAGTTTAGAGAATATATCGAGATATGAAGACCACTGTTCATGTCTAGGATGCTGATAAGGAAGAGCATTAGAGGTTCCTAGAGCCGTTTTATAGACGAGGACAGAACTGGGACAATGATAGTCATATTCATGAGGTGTAATATCGATATGTGTGTGTTCGTGTGTGTATGTGTATAGAACCATCTTCCGGCAGTGAGGAGTTCTGTCCAACCCGTGGATTTGTGTGAGAATATTTATCTCCTGCAATTGAACTGATTCTCGATTAATAGATTTGCCATTCAATAAAGCACTCTGTAGACTGATAGAGGACGAGATATGTAGAGGCAGTATGTCCCTTCGATAGAGAAGAATATCTCAAGGAAAGCCCAGTGGCAAAGCCTATGATATACTGCAACACGCAAGAATTGCCACTAGAAAGCAATCCTCGCACCCACAGTGCACGGTACCAGACTCCCAGGCATATGTTTCTCAATCGCGAACTTAGCCCTCCAACCTGAGCAATGCCCCGGCAGCAGCACAGCAGGGTCCAGTCTCTGAAGGTCTTGGACAGTGCTTTCCGTGTCGGCCGCAGTGCTAGTAGCAAGATGAAAGCCCCCAACAACCGCATAAAGAGGAACAGAGCCATCGAGGCTTTCAACCGCATGTCGAGAGCAGTTGACGACACCTGCATGGCTGCAGCCTGTGAACAGGACGAGTCCTTTGTCTGGAAAGGTAACGAGTTAGAGACAACCCAGAGTAGAAGAACATAAGAATGATTCATTAAAAGCATACCCTTAAGATTACACATGAGGAAACGCTCGTCGGAAATAAGCTCATCAGAAAACCAATCCTTTTCCTCCTTGTCAAAGCGCATACCTCCTTTGACACCGTTTTCGTACGCAGTCTGGCGGGGGATTTCGCCAGAGACCAGGAAGAAATCATCAAGCACAGTGTGTACCTCGTCATGCTTTTGGATGGCTCCCCCGGCTGCTTCGAGTTCCTCGAAGGTAGGGTCCGCCTGAAGGGAAACGATGTTTGGACCCAGGGCGAGTCCGCGATAATCGGGACGGTCAGGATGAAGATCTACTGATACTTTGTCTGTATGACCCTTGGCTTTTTTGGCCTCGGTTATCAATGCAATGGCTCGGGCAAGGCCACCTGGATTCTGTTAGTGGAGTGACCTGACAGGGAACTCATGAAGAATCAATAAAAGTTGAGCGATCCATACCCGAATGGTCCCGATGCCAATGGGATAATTGAACCAGCTCAACAGAAGACAGATCCGGCCGTAACCGCTTGACATTCCTCTCCCATATCTCGCCTTCAGGGCCTGCATCGAATAGAACTGAGTGTTTTACATCGCCTTTTATAGCTGTCTAGAGGCAATCAGTATACATTGCCGTCGGTTCTTCCGGGCGAAATGGAACATACCACAAGGATGGACAGTCCATGCGCCGAGCAGCAAATGTCTTCCATCTGCAGTTCCTTTTTGGCTTCACCTCGGTCATGTACTTCATGTGTTGAGTGTAGAGCAAGAGAACCCATCAGACCCGATACCTGGACGGTGTCCTGGGCAGGAGGGGAGAGAGGATCGAGCTCATTGTCGATGATGACAAGGGCTTCGAGAGAATCGACTTCTACGAGATTTAGATCAGACATGTCTGGGACGTATCAACATGGGTCGAAGAGGATCCCTTTTCTCTACTCCGTGAGGGGATCGTGTGTTTTTTGTTACTATGAGCGGAAGGATGGAAACGTCAATGCGGGGACGGAGGATAATTGTTCTTCCTTAGCCCTAAGACGACTACACTCATTACAGGGCGTAATAAACGTCGTCTTTGGCTTGATTATCTACATATTGAAAAGATTGGGATATTCTACTTGTAGGAATAGGTTATCTCTGATGATCTAGGTGTATCCTATTAGCTGGTTATAGATGAATATGTGTCAACAGAGCAAGATGCATCATAGGAGATGCTATACCATTGTTATGACCCTCCTTAGCAATAGCAAGTACATGGTATATAACTAAGACATGTTATATAGCAAAGATATGACCAATTTCCATTCAATTTCCGTACAATTTCCACCAAACCGTTTATACCATCAATTGCTCTCGTTGTTTGACCCAACCGACCCATCCACAATCAGGGGCCCCTCCCAGGTGGTCGCGACCGAGTCCTGCTGATGCTCAAGCTGGCTCTCACTAGAAGCCTGTTGGCCCTCATCAGAAGTCTGTTCTCCCTCATCAGAAGTCTGTAGTTCTTCATCAGAAAAATGTAGTTCTTCATCAGAAGTCTGTTCTCCCTCATCATAAGTCTGTAGTTCTTCATCAGAAGCCTCTAGTCCTTCATCAGCAGCCTGTAGTCCCTCATCAGTAGCCTGTAGTCCCTCATCAGTAGCCTGTTGGCCCTCATTAGAAACCTGTTCCAAAACCGGACCGTTGCTGGCCTCCACTTGCACAGGGTAGCTCTGCTCCTCCCAATCATGCGGATATGGGGACACCAGGTAATTGTTATATCCCATCTGCTCGGAGTAGTTCTGCTCCCCCCAAACGGGTGGATAAGGGCCAGGAGCACCAGCCATATAAGGGTTCATATAAGGACCAGAGGTGGGTTCGGTCGGAGGGCCCTGCTGGTACGGATACCCCTGTGGTGGCATCTGAAGGTGGTGCATCTGGGGATAAGGCATCGGGGGACACGGCACCGGAGGATATGCCACCTGGGTGTAGGGCACCTGCGGATAAGGCATCGGGGGACACGGCACTGGAGGATATGACACCTCGGTGTAGGGCACCTGGGGATAAGGCATCGGGGGATATGCCACCTGGGGATAGGGCGCCTGGGACCCGCTGGCAGACTGATGCCCTAAATAACATATTAGCATATCAAAGCAAGGCCTTCATAGACAATTATGAGTACTTACTATTCCCGACTGCCATTGCAACCCTCAGAGTGCGGCCGTGCAGCTGTAGCTTCTGGGCCATGCTGAGAGCTGCTTGGGCATGTTCAGGACGCTGTAGATTGTTAGTTTCATGCTGCAGACAGTTTGGAAGAAGCATATGATAGATGGCTTACTTCGTATTGGACGAACGCCCCAGGCAGTTGCCGGCCTAGCTTGTTCCTGCTGTACTTGAGCGCGATATAGCAGGATCCGTGTTGCCTGAATTCTTCATACAAATCATGCATGAGCGTTTGCTGCTCGACGGTGACCGAAAGACTAAGAGAAGGTTAGCATTCTATCAACATCGACGAGCGAGAGGAGTGATACATACTTCCCAACGAAGAGCCGGGCAGTCAGACCATGACGCTCTTGGACCTCATCGAATGTGATTTGAGGTTCATTCTCAAGTGGAGGGTAAAACTCGTTGGTAGGACGGTTAGGATGGGGAGGCGGAGGGTAGATGTTCGTTTGTTGGATATTGTTGTTGTTGTTGATGTTGTTGTTGATGTTGATGTTGTTGATCCAGGGAGCCATCTTGAAGGATGTCTTATGATGGATCGATATGGTATAGACGATATGACTATGGAAAGTAGATTTGTATAGTTTGGTGATAGGTACGGGTGCTTGGTGATAGATGGGTGTGTATGGGTAGAGAAGAGAATAGAAGAAACAGAAAGAAAAGGCCACCCCTCTGGCTTACAAACGTGCACTCAGGAACTCATGGTTAGCTCAGAATTTGATAATCATTTTCTTTTCTTTAATTCATGGGTTTATCTGTGTAGGCTTCTACGAAAACCTAGGAGCATCATTAAAAGCCATGGTCGAGTCATGGGGAGAGGCTCCCCATGGCCTGCTACCATGGCTACTAAATAGAATAAACGAGAGCAGAGGATACTAGAGAAGGGCCTATGCATCTGGTGAGTATTCTGAATCGGCTTTGAGAGAGTTGCTGGCTTAACGGCGAGTTTAACGACGGATTTCATAGTCATGACGAGATCCTAACGACTCTTTGCAGAACTCTATACCACCTACTGATGCCTAGTACGTATAAGTAGTACATACGCAACAGGGAAAACAGAAGGCTCAACATTTGGGATAGCTTGGCAGTGTCTCAGGCAGACCTTGGAGAAGTTTTCACATATACAGGAACCCTAGCTCGCTGAAGGAGAGGGCAAGGGCGTTATGCTTCAGCCTCAAGTGTTGAGGCTATCACTCGATTCAATAAAAATAACCAATAATGCTGTATAAAAAAAAAAAGGTGATATTACGGTTTGTTGGCTCCACAACTAACTGCCTTTACTTCAACCTTCTACGTTGACCTTAGAAACGCCCACCCCAACGTAGTTAAGGAACCCCCGGACCAAGAAGCCAAAGCTTGTTTTTCCCATACTACTGCCAGAAAAGCAAGAAGAGCCGCAGGCCAGAATCGACTTCTCTTAGAGAAACCTGGGGACTGGAACGTAGACTTGCCCATTTGTTATCCTCTCGACCGTTCCCAAGTCTCTGTTTTTCAAAATCCTCCAAGCCACACTTCTGGTCGACCAATAAGAAATGGAATAAAATACCATTAATATTTATTACTGGGAACTCCCAGCAGTTTCGGAATTTGATGACTATTGAATGTTATCCTATCCGGACGTCATCACTGAATTTAACTGGTGATAAAGCACAAAAACAATATTTCACATTAAAGGTGAGTCCCACTGATACTTCCATGGAATGCTATTGAGTCAGGACATAATTACTAGTCTTGAAAAGCTCGTTTTTAATAATATTCCTATGAAGGTCGTTGTTTGTATAGATAGGTTTCCCGATTGGGATGATTTAGGGCTGAATTTGGCTTGGCATCTATTCTACTGATGCTCTCACGCTGTTGAACGATGCCTAGGTGAAGATATGTTGCTTTACACACATCCCGGACTTTCTGCATAGCATATTAACGCACTATTAATATATAAGTCATTTTTTTCAACTCTTACTTTTAGAAGTATACTATCTAGTTCTTAACTAACACCTCTAATTTAGCGTAAATAAAGTTTGACTTGGAGTACCACACGATCTGTTGGTCGCCCCGCGGGTCTCCCAATAAGTCGTCTTATGCCTACAGCATAAGGTTAAAACAGGCAAATGGGGGTCGGTCATATACGGGTAAAGATGATGGCATCACTGACCCGATGGCTACCTAGTAAAATACTCGTTAAAGTGTTTAATACTCGTAACGACGCATTTAATTTATTTAATGCAATCCTTGTGCCTGAAGGCGGTGAGCGGGGATTCAGTTTATCAATCAGTGCGAACTCACGCGACGTCATTTCAATCGCCCCCGAATTCCGAGTTTCTTCCCTGCCGACCATTTTATTTGGACTTTGAACTACCAAGATCTCTCCTCGAAAACGGTCATAACAATCGCACCATGTTTCCCACGGCAAGGTGCTTCGCTGCGAAGCCTGCAGGATTCTTCAAGCGCAGCGCAGACGAACTGGGTCGCCTGTCAAAAATCGGTACTTAACTCCCCCATTTCCTACGGTCGGACCGCCGATTGTTTCTTGCGATCGATCTGCTAATACCTTGGTTCTAGCCTGGAACTCGGAAGCCCTACATACCCCGACGAAACCTTACGTCCTCCTCGACTTCGAAGATGATTCCACTGTCGCCGGATGCAAGACAATGGCCGACCGCGCCGTTGGAGGATTCAGCACTGCCAGTTTAGACTACGTCCCTGCCGACCCAGCGACTCATTCGCCCGCACACGCTCGATTCCACGGAAGTATTTCGACGAAGCTCCCCAATAACTGGCGCGTAGAGCGGACGGGTATGATAACCCTTCTTTTTCCCCCCCGCCCCCAGAATCCAACCCTGCCTGTAACAAGGAATTGACAACAGAACGATGATAAAACAGGATATGCGGCCTTCCGTAACAAAGACCGAGGCCTGTGGCTCTTCGGACGACTTTTCTGGGATATGGATCCTTATTCTTACCTCGCTTTGCGCGTTAAGTCCGACGGACGTAGATACACCGTGAATATTCAGACGGATTCGATCGTCGAGACGGATATCCACCAGCACCGACTGTATACTCGGCATCATAGGATCCAGGAGGCTTCGGATGAGTACCTCTCGTCGCATGCTGCTGAGGAGGCGGCGGAGTCGTCTGAGTTGGAGGAGGAGGACGTGTATCCAAGCCGCATGCCTGCTTCTCTTTCTGATGTTCCGCCCGAATCAACTATCATGTCGACGTCGACCAGTACGGAGACAGCGGGAACGACGGGTTGGGAGACGATCTTGTTACCGCTGAACGCGTTCGTGCGGACGAACCATGGATTGGTGGTTGAGCCGCAGACGTCTATCTTGCGGCAGCGGGTGAAGAGTATCGGTATTGGACTTACGGATCGGGTGGAGGGTCCGTATGATCTGCGGATTCATAAGATCTGGGCTACGAATGGTGTGAGTGAGGCGGAGATCGAGGAGGAGAGACGTATCTGTGGCGCGGATGCGTTGCCTCTGGACGAGGGCGTCCGGACTGGCTGGACGCAGGGGTCTGTGCAACAGCATGCGAGTCAACCGGAGGCGCCGAAAGCGAAGAAAGGATTGAAGGCGTTGCGTTCCGAGTGGGATCAATGAATGGATATTAGGTTTTAATTTGTATAGTAATTTCTTATTTTTAGGTCTCTATACCAGTTTTTCAACTTGACCAGTAAGGATTTCCGGACATTTTACAATTGAGCGTTCCATATACCATCTCCCTGACTAGACGATAGTAGCCCTAGTTACCACCAGTGATCCGCTCCCAAGCCTCATGGTACTTGGCGCTCGTCTTCTGCGCAATCTCATCGGTCATGCGTACACCCGGCTTGCCCTTCAGTCCCTCGCTCGTCAACCAGTCACGCAAGAACTGCTTATCGAAGCTCTGCTGTCCACGACCAATCTCGTACGAGTCCTTAGGCCAGAAACGCGATGAATCAGGAGTGAGGACCTCATCGGCCAGCACAACCTCGTTAGTCTCAGGATCCAAACCGAACTCGAACTTCGTGTCGGCAATGATCACACCACGAGTAAGCGCGTACTCATGAGCGACCTTGTAAAGCTGAATGGCGAGAGAGGCGATCTTAGAGGCATAAGGTTCACCAACAATAGCAACAGCTACAGCCAAAAAAATGATTAGCCAATAATCCATGACCGCGAAAGAAGAAACCCCCCAAAAAAAAGAAAAGCTCAATCAACCAATGCCTCCGAAATCGGAACCTGGGAAGAAGTGGAGATATAGATAGACATACCCTGATCCGGATGGATGTTCTCATCATGCTCACCCTGCTCCGCCTTGGTGCTGGGGGTGTAGATAGGACCACCGGGAAAAGCCTCGCTCTCCCTCAGACCCTCGGCGACCTTGATCCCGTGCACCGTGCCGGATTTCTTGTACTCGTTCCAGGCGGAACCGGTGATGTAACCGCGGACGATGGCCTCAATGGGGAGGATCTTCAGCTTGCGCACCAGCATGCTTCTGTTCTGGAGGACGGGACGCAGCGACTCGGGGATCTGAGGCGGGAGGTCGAGGGTGAGGAAGTGGGTGCGGAGAGAGGGAATGGCATCGGAGAGGATCTTGAACCAGGTTTTCGTGCACAGGGTTAGGAGGATGCCTTTTTCGGGGATTCCCTTTCATTGCTCTGTTAGTGATGCTGTTGAGAATTGAGAGAAGAGAGGGAAGTCAACAGCGAGAGGGGAGTGGTACATTCTCCATGATCACATCGTACGCGGAGATGCGGTCCGTTGCGACGAAGAGGAGGGTCTTCTCGTCGACATCGTACAGGTCGCGAACCTTGCCTCGAGCGATAAGAGGGAGGGCACCCTGAAGGTCGGTGTTTGTCAGAGCTTCAGACATGATGGGATTTGTTGGAATTGGGCGTAGGACGGGGGGAAATGTCTAGAAGATGATGTCGAGTCATAAAAAGTTGGGGACGATAATCGATAAGCGGGTCACTCTTTTTTTTGCGGCGGGGTTTCTGGCCTGAGGCAGGTAACCCCGCCATATCAGAGAACTCTACCATCTATTCGTGAAGAAGGGGGGGTAATCGAGCGATTTTCAGTGGGAAGTGAATATGATCTATTTGTAAATTAAGCTTAAAGTAATACATCGCTCTCGCGACTCGTGACTGACTGGTATCTTCTTCCCAGCTCACGCAGCTTTAGTCGATGGAGATAGTAGAAGTTGCTAGTCTACAAACAGAGCCTGGCGAGCCTGAATGAACTCTTGTCTCTCCTTAGCCCATTCTGGTCGTACAGAAGACAGTGGAGAAGGTTGTTCGGCACCGGGGAGGAGCATATCGGGATCGATTGTGCGAATTTTGGTACCACGAGGTAGACGATGAGAATCTTCTGCATGCGGCCCGGCTTCGATGTGTTCGATCGTCTCCAATCCTTTAGAGTCAACTTTACGTTTCAGGAGCTCCCAGAATTCACGATCCGATAGACTCCACAGGACCTCCTCCTTCAATAATCCTCGTTGCACCAGATCCCCAATCAACCGACCTATCTTCCTGGACATGACGGCATGAGCCGGGTTGCACCACACATCCCTATCGCATTCGCCATAGGCCCTAGAATAAACCAAGGCCAGATCAATGTCTCGCAGGACCAGCAAGCGATGTGGTGAAGACGTGTCCGGGAATGCTGTCACAGAGTCATACACGCGGCGCGCATCCTCTATCGCAAGTTTGCCGAACGCGACTGCGCCTCGTAGAGAGTAATCGAGACGATCAGCGCAGAGGTGAGGAGCGGGACTCTCCACCAGAGGATAAAGCTCTTCCTCGAACGGTTTGAGATCAACGAAGCCATGTTTGGTAAGTATCTGTGGCAGCTCAGTGGTCATGATGTACCGTGACTTTTGGACCTCATGATAGCTCTCCCCCGGCTTTGACAAGGCTCCATCGACGTCATGGCTGAGTACCGTGTGGCTGATATCGTGCAAAAGACCTGCAACTTGCTCCCCAACGCTAGCACCAACTTTGCGCACTAAGAGCGACGCACCTATGGAGTGCTCCAGTCGAGTCACTGTCTGGGTGATACCCAACAGATCGGTTTGGCCGTGGAGACCGATGCCTGCGAGTCGGAGCAGCGCTGGACACCGAAGCAGCTCGGCTAAAACCGGCTCGGAAATGATGTGCTCCCCGTAGATTTTGTCCTGTATAACCACCGTGTTGTCAGGGTGAAAAGTCAGGGTTTGGAAGGAACCCGCACTCAAAGAGGAAGACATTGTGTGGTGGAAGTCGGATATTTGTTTGTTTGGGGATACGTAAATGAATGTTGGTCGATTTAGTTGGTCTTCTTAAGCTTGTCTGTTAGCGCATTCCTCTGCTTGGCTCTTCTGCCCAATGCTTGTTTCTCTTACTGTTGAACCCCGCATTCAAATCTCTGGGTGCGTCAGATTGATTTCCAACGCTGAGGACTCGTGGTTCCAAGGTTGAGCAACTGATCACTAACCGTGGAATGAGACAAGATTAGGTGCACACTGGTACCTGAGAAGGATATGTGGTTTCAAAACCATTAAAGACGCAGAGTATAGAAGAGGCCAAGTTGATTGGCAATCGGGTAGGAGAATGATACCTTTATATAGGTGAGCCTGGTGTCCATAACGTGACTTTCCTTAGAAAACACCTAATACAGAATTCAAGTTAGATCATGACCCGGTAGCATCACACAAGACAAGCATCTACGACTTCCTCCAACTTGACGAGGTCTGTATCAGTAGTAATTCGAGACAAGGGGTCAAAGAAGAACATTACTATGACGTTGAAGATATAAATAAAAAACAATATGGCCCGTGGATAAGGGCGAAAAGCATCACTGCCGAGAACAAGGACGGGATGACAGTCAATGCAGTCGATCTAAAAAGGTCAGGATGCTCAGTAAAACAACGCACAATCACAAGACCAGAAGTGGCATTCTACTACGTAATCGCTCTTCGCTAAGAGAGCATTAAGGAGTCCCTTACTGGGAGAATACGTAGTCGAATCGTCTGTACTCTTATTTCATTGTCTAAGCCTTGACAGAGAAAGGACGTACGGCCCCAGACGCAGCGATTGTCAGCATTAGAGATAGACTGCTTCATCAACCCCAGAAGCATGTTATCTGTGGTACTTCATTGACACAATAAGCCACGTAGCTTTTTCTTCCGTCTCTTTTCTCGTCGTTTTTCTCTGAACAAGGGTCAAACATAGCCAAAGAGGAGCCAAGCATCCAGCCCTAACTCTTGCAACATCCTTACAGAGACCCACCCGCAACGGCTGGCTATCTCCTTAGTTCAGAGAAAGGACCAATGACTATTAGTTGTAAATGAAAATAAGCTGAGTATCTAGCAGGTTACAAGCTCGTCAGTCTTGACTTTCACTTGGCCCTTATCCTACTTGTCTCTACAGGCTAGCAGGGAGTTGAATCCGTGTCCCGTTCAATTCAGTATCTCCGATCTGAGACAAATAACTCAAGAGATTAATGTCAAGAAGAGAAGCAGGCAAAACAAAGATTTTTTAATAAGTAAGATGGGAATAATGACGGACTACACTCCATTTATGAGCACTATCGATGGTGTCGCTGTTCTGCCATTCAGCAATGACCCACCTTAAGTCATTTGAAAGAATGCATACGAAGAAAGCATCCGTTGGTCACCTAGAATGTTCAATTTAGTCATGGAAAAGAACCATTACGCTTTGAATGTTTAAATCCAGCCAGGTGTTATGTTTCCCTGATAACTCGAGAAGTATTCCAAGTAAGTCGTAGTAAACACCCATAAAAACACATCTCATTAATCATATCATGTAGAAGCCGATAGCAGTATATTAAATTAAACATAGACACATGTCTTTTCATAGCCAGAGCGTTTTCATCACGCCCTCCGTCATTCCCTGGATCATCAACGTGCTCAACAGTGGTCGGTAGTCTTGCACCACCCGACACATATAGCCACGATGATAGCGATTATAAGAACTTCATCCACGGTCAGCAAAGCCAATCTAGCCAAAGTCCAATGGGTAAGCCTGTATACTTACTGCAAACAAGCAGAATGTACCACTTATATTTCCTCGCATTACGAGCGCTTATAATCGCATGGCCGATCTTTTCATTGCCCTTCTCATAGTTCAATCGCGTTTCCTCCGCATTTTCCTCGATTTTCTCAACTATTGGTTCCTGCGAGCGAACAAGCTCGGCGACTTCCTGAGAAAGCTCGCTAAGGGCCATCAAATCCTGTTCAATCTTGCGGATGGCAGCTGATCGCTCCAGAACAGCAGCCTGTGCATCTTTCGCTTGTCGAGTCCGAGCCCCTTGTACCTGTGACTAGTTAGCTCATTATATCCCTATAAGTCCATAGCCCTTGGAACTTTAAACTAGAATAGTATTAAAAAAAAAGGGTAAATACCTGGAAAACCATCTGTGTCCCCGCCAACACCTGCTGTACCCCATGCTCTACCTCTTCGGGCGAGGCTTCAGGGTTGGCAATCTCATATCGCCGCCATACCTGGTCGCGGAGCGCGCGATCAAACTCCGTCTGCGACCGATAGTAATCCTGAATAGCCTGTTGCACTTGGTTCTTTGCCGCATCGACCTGTGCGCGCACACGAGGATCACTCGGATCCGCAAGATATCTAAGCTCATCTACCAGCGTGCGGACTTGTTGGAGTGTGTTGTTGATACTGGATCGGGCATCGTCGAGTTCCTGGCGGGCGGCTTGGTCGTCTGACACAGTAGTGGAGTTGAGGAGGGCTTGCTGTGCGGAATAAAGGTTAGAGTCGCGGAGGGTCTGAAGTTGATTGAGCTCGTGGGTGATTTGCTGGCGTTTGGTGAGGACGGGGGTCAATGTGTTGATTTCGAGCTCTGGTGTTCACTATTAATTAGGGCTGTTCATGTTCATAGGGCTGGGATGGTGTTGAGGTGGGGAAGGTTTTATTTACCATAGCCTTGTTCAAGGGCGCTGTAGTTAATATTTGTTGTTGCCATTGTGTTAATATGTTTTTTCTGGAAAGTTTAAGAAGAATGATTATAATTGAAAATTGAACTCGAAATGCAAGGGTGGGTTTATATCAATGAAGTTTCGAATGAGAGTTGATTCTATTTTAAGGGTGGGAATGCGGAGGCCTGAGGTTTAGCGGAAGGCAGTGCTGGATCCATTTTTATACGCCTCGAGCCGCAGCGCGATCGACATGGAAATAAGCACTAAAAGACCCCGAGGCAGTGCTACATCTTCTCTATTGGCTATTTCGTATCTTGAACTCGGTCTTGACCCGCATAAACCCGACCAAACATTGACAAGTGCATCGACAGTCATGTCTGACACACCAAGGAATCAGCATGCGAGATGCATGTCAGTGCAGCTTGACTCACACCGTTCCTACAAAGATGCCATTTAAGTAGTGAGTAGGACTTTTCCCTCAATTCAGGAAAGACTCCCCGTCAAGCAACAACTTTTGCGTGTAAATCTTGTGGCCGATCTTGATCGGAAATGCACCTCCTCCACCTACCAAACGAGCTTCTACAAGTGATCGCAGACAACCTATCCACGGACGCAGACCTGAACGCGTTGATCCAAACACACAGTCGCTTTTACCACCTGCTAGAAACTTATTTGTTTGAGCATAATGCCCGCTATGGCGAGAGTTCTGCCCTCGTCTGGGCCGCAGCGCACGGCCAAATAGAAATAGCAAAGAAGTCACTTCGAGCAAAAGCAGATGCCAATACCCTTGGTCGCCTCCACCATTCTATCATCAAGCTCAACTTTCGTACTTGCCCAAGTATTGCCTTGCCTTATGATCCTGTTTATGAATGGGACTTCCCCGACCGTCGGTGCAGGTCAACCCCGATCATGCTAGCGGCGGTGTGTGGACATAAGGAGGTGGTTGAGCTTTTGTTCCACCACGGCGCTGACATCAATCGCATAGTCGGCGACGTATGTACCCCTCTACTCGGGGCGATAGGACATGGACATGTTGATGTTGTGGAGTACTTACTGGTCAATGGTGCTGATCTGGAGGTCGAGCTGGGTGGTTACTTTCAATATAATGCACTCGAGCTCGCAGCGCATGAAGGACATGTGGAGGTGGTGAAAACGCTGCTTCGGCATGGAGCGGATCCCAACAAGTCCTCACCACTCGCGCTTGCAACCGGTATGGGCAGACTGGAGGCGACACGTGTGCTAATTGAAGCTGGAGCAGACATTGGGGGAATAGCTGTTGACAACGTCGGGACGAATGCATTTTTCAATGCAGTGTATCACGGTAAAGCAGCAGTAGTCAGCTTGTTAATCGAGTATGGGGTCAGCCCTGAATACAGAGACAACGACGGCATGACTCCCCTCGCATATGCCGCTTATTATAGACGTGATAAGGTTATTGAAGTACTTTTGAACCATGGTGCCAACGTCAACGCCTTGGTCTATGGCTTTACCGCGTTATCCTTTGCGATCGATGAAGGAAAGGTGCCCGCGGTAAAACTACTGCTTGAGAACGGTGCAGATTTGACCATGACGAACGAGCCATTTCTTTTACGTACACTTAAGAGAAGCCACAATCAGGAAGCGGACACCGCGATCGTGGAGCTGCTACTGAATCACAGGGCCGATCCCAACTGCTGTGACCGGAAAGGGAGGACGCCATTGTTTCTTGCTACAGTTAAACAGCATCTCGATATTATGAGGTTGTTGCTTGTGCACGGAGCCAACCCAGACCGAGAAGATGAGAAAATCGATTTACTATCATGGGCCTTTCTGAAAGGTCATGAAGACATAGCGAATATGTTACTCGCATATGGCGCCCGTGAATCATGGCGAAGAGGTGATCACATCATGACACATTGAGGTAAGTAAGTATTGGAATTGCTTTTGTCATGATGACCCCCCAGCATGTAGTGACTCTTTAAAAGCAACTGTCACTGACTTTTAGCCCAGTCTCTATCCATCTATCTTGAGAATCTCAAAATGGCCGAAGAGTTTATCTCAGCGCCGGATCTAACATCTTGGACCATTGTACTTCCGCGAGCTCCTAATGCCTCTGTCTGCCAGTCCCCAACAATGCAGAGCAGTCATGACACCACTCAGCCTCCCGAATACTACTATCACGTATACAAATTTGGTGAACCAGATCAAGCCTCGCTCGAGTGCCTCAGTCAAGAGCTTCCTGCTTCGGATGACGACGAAATGTTGGATGATGAAAGCGACTTTGATGGCGAGGAGCCTCTGCCTTCCGGCGAATCTGAGTACTTTCCTGGTGGCTATACGTCGAGAAGTCAGTATGAAGGTAGGACTGACGACCAGTTATATGATTCGGCACTAACCGTGTAAAGATGCGCTCCTAGACGACAATATGATCGATGACAGCGTGTCGCTAGATACTTCCTCTTGCTCCTCAATTGCTAGTGAAGGAAGCGAATGTGGCATGAAGATACTTGATGAGAGTGATATCAAGGATATCAAGACCAGAACTCTCATGGCTATTCCTATCTACGACTTCATGAATATCAAGCGCATCCGATCCATGATAGACAACTTTACGCAGCAACAACTGGTAGATGCTGTTAGGAAGGTCTTAGAGGTTGATAAATTTAAGGTCAACCAACAAAGAGTGACAACATACAGGATAACATACAGCCACCCTTCATTAGAACTGCGCGGTTTGATTCAAAGGCACCTTGTGAAAGAGGTACCTTGTCCTGACGACGAGAGGGCTACCAATATCCTTTCTTTCGATGACCTTGACAATAGTCTCCACGAGAAGAGTAACGCGCAACTAAAGCAGTTATTGGGTGGGGCGCTCAGTGAATTTCACACGGCGAAGCTGTATGCTATTCTGGAGGAACAAATCCAAGCGTTGCCGGAAGAGACAAGAGAGCAAATTCACACAGAAGCGCGCCGGCTATTTGATGAGTCGAATTCGCAGGTGCTTTGGGGTTAGTGAGCGAGGAGGCTGGGTTGGTGAGACTGTAGCGTGGGAATGGTCCTCTGGTCACTGATAGAGCCAGCGACCTATTAAAAGGGAAATTGTTAAACGGTATCTATCCTGAGCCTTAGGATGTGTCAGCTACAGAGTAGCTATTCACGTGGTAGTGTCGTGGTGGCTTTCTTTGCTCCATTGCTTTAATTGATTCAGTTACCCTCGTGTTCGGCAAATTAGCGTCCATCGATTTGGAAAGATCGCCTTGACGGTGGCTGGTATTTCAACTTCCGTTTAAACCTCCTAGATCCGATCTGTTTAATACTGGTAAAGACTCCAAAAATCAGTGCTCTGACTTAGTGGGCGATGTTGAAGAAAATGGCAGAGACAAGCGATCAGAGTAGTTCTACCCTTTCCACCCAAGGCGAGCCCAGAGATGTGTATGAATATGAGCCATTGCCCACCCCCACTTCCATCAGACTCATAAAAGTGGAGGGCAAAGACGAAGATGGAGCAGTCCACGTGCGACTAAAGACCATCGACTTGAAAGACGCTCCTTGGTTCCACGCCGTCTCATACACCTGGGGAAACCCACACACTGAGCTACCCCATGTTCAAGCAGCTCATGCGGCTTACTCTCAGAAGTACCCACCTGAATATCGAGAGTTTATAGTAGCAAACGGGAAACTTTTATATGTTAGCCGAAGCGCCTATGACATCCTAGTATCCGTGCCGAAGGATGCCTGGGCAAAGCGATGCAACCAGAGAAATCCCAATAACCAACTTCGCGCTAGTATTCATTCAGCCTGTATGGCGAACAAGAAAGAGTACGTTGAGGAGCTGATCTCCGCCGGAGTTGATATAGACGTTCAAGACGAATATGGTCGAACTCCGTTGTCCTATGCCGCGAGACTTGGGAAGCTTGATTTCGTGGAACTCTTGCTCGCTGCCGGTGCCGATCTCAACATCGTTGATGGGAATAACAACCGGCCTCTCGATCATGCTCGGGAAGGCAGGGCTGAAGAGGTTATCAAATGCCTTGAAGAGGCTGAGGAAAGAAGTAAAGCCGATGGTCCTTCCATATCATGGCCCGAGGGCCCTCAGATGTGGTGTTGGGTCGACCAGATCTGTATTGATCAGAGCAATCTCGAAGAGAGAGCTTCACAGGTGTCAATCATGGATCAGATCTACGAATGTGCTTCTTACACTCTTATATGGCTTGGACTAGAAGACAATTATACCGAAGTGGCTGTTGAGACGATCCAGAAGCTGTATTCCGCGAAAGGAGATCTTATTCATGCCAATGAAATCATTCCCTACACGCACCAACCCAAGGAGATATATGCCATAGCTGATATTCCATATGTGTCGCTAGCAGAGTGGACGGCTCTTGCTACGCTTTTTCTACGGCCATATCTCAGAAGACTGTGGGTGATACAAGAAAACATTCTTTCCGACACATGTCTGGGATATTGTGGTAGATTCGAGGTTCCTTGGAGGGCATTCTGTACAGTTGCCCAACAAATCTACTTCCGCCAGCTCGTCTTGGGGAGAGTTACTTCAACCGAGTTTATCGACATCAACAGTCCCGTGGTGGCTATAGAGAGTGAAATTGTGCATCTGACCCAGTGGAAGGATCGCCTACAGAAAGGTGAACGAGCTTCTATGCCCAAAGCCCTCTCTTTAGAGAACCTCCTCTTCGAGACCTGGACCTTTCGCTCCACAGACCCAAGAGACAAGATATTCGGACTTTACGGTCTTCTACTCAAAGCTGGACCTGTGCCCTGGAAGCCAGACTACTCGAAATCCACCGCGCAAATCTACGCAGATGCTACAAAAGAAATAATCTGGAACGCTGGTGAACTGCGCATGCTCTCTGCAGTCCTCGACCGCTCACTCCACAACACCCCTAACCTCCCATCATGGATCCCAGACTACAGCGTCCCGTTTGTTAACATGATGTGCTCTAACTACAACGCTGCCGGAAATCTCCCTCACCAGGCCATCCAACCCAGCCCTTGGAATGTCCTCACAGTATCCGGAATGAAAATCGACACCGTCCTACAAACAGGAAACACAACTTCCGGACCCAAACAGATGTCCATGTTCTTCGACGCACGCTGGTTCGAGCTCGCATTACTCCTCCCACACCCTTACCACAATGGCCAGGCCAGAACCGAAGCACTATGGCGCACTTTATGCGCGGACCAGAAGAGAGACGGATCCTTCCCCGCCCCTGCAGCGTACGGGGACTTTTTCCGAAGAATACTCTGTCGACTTACCTGTGTCAAAGCAGAAGAGACCGCCAGAGCTGCCAAGCAAGATCCAAATCTAGTAGTACTTGAGGCAGCTCTATACCACATCCGACAAGTTCTATCAAATCCACCAATTTCTGATCTCTCGCCCGAACAACTTCAACATACCTTCGGAGACCCAGATAAAAATCTCAGCAGCCCTGACCTCCAAACGCTAACTCATCTTCTCTACAAGCTCCATTTTCTTGGCGTGGTGGAGGAGGATCCCTGGACGCCAACTATTGATGAAATCGAGGAGTCTTACCGCAGTACTAAATGGCAGACATGGGAGGAGAGCAGTGCTCTTCCGGGCGATGGTATCGAGTTTCACGAAGCGCTCCGAAGTAAGCATGGTAGACGGCGTCTGTTTGTAACCGAGAAGCGATATCTCGGGCTTGGTCCTGCATCGATGCTTGATGGAGATGAGGTTTGGGTTATACCTGGTGCTGGTGCTGCGTTTATTCTGAGACCAGTTGAGAAAGGAACGTTCAGTTTGATTGGTGAAGCGTACGTACATGGAGTTATGAATGGAGAGGCTGTTGGGCAATGTGATGCGGATCTTTCTAGTATTTATTTGGTCTAGGGTTTTGGATAAGTTAGCAATTTGAGAATGAGATGATACCAAGAGATCGGAGTTTTTGTAGACTGAATCTGAGAATGACATCAGGGGTGATTCGGTTTGGCCTTGTCTTCTGACGTAGAGTACCTTTCAACGAGATTGTGATAACCATTATCTAATGACGCTTTATCGCTATTGTAGTCGAGGTCTTTGACTGGCGTAATGTAGCAACTCACCCTTGGGGTTGTGTCAAGGGAGTGTTGAGTGATTTGGGACTTAGTAATGTTAAAGTTCTGGTTTGAATATTGCTAGTTAGACGAAAGACCGTCTCCTATAAAAGCGGTCACTAAAGCTAGTTTTATAGTGCTACTTGAGAGAGGAGGAGTTTGGTATAGCTATACAGTTATATTGACGTAAATACATAACAGGACATTAGCAAGCTAGAGTCTAATTCTAAAAAAGCAAAGCAATAAACACCGTCAATCTGTCTAGAGTAATGCAGCGCGGTAGGACCGCTTCCTAGCATTCAAGTCTCACCGAGAGACTCTCACAGTTTGCTAGAGAAGTAGGGAATGTTCTTCTGCTCATACAATTCCCTGTACTGGGCCTTGATGATATCGGCACCCTGTGACACGATTGGTATTAGCTATACTGCACTTCACGGGTTTGAAGGGGTTCCATGTTCTCACCTTTTCACCGATCATGTAGACCGAGTTCTGGATACGGCAGTCAGGGATGACAGGCATGATCGAGGCATCAGCAATGCGGAGGTTCTTGATGCCATGGACCCGCAACTTGTTATCAACGACACCATGTTGGACGTTCTTACCCAGACGGGCAGTACCACAAGGGTCTGAAAGGGGGTTAGTTATTGCATCTCGAATTAGGCCAGAAAAGGGAATACTTACGGAATCCAGTCTGACTGCGGTCCAGGACAGCCTTGTTCATGGCCTCGTCGGAGTCGAGGGGCATGTTCCAAGGATACTCCTCGAGAACGAGATCCTTGAAGCCCTCGCCCTTGGTGAGGACATCGTAGGTCCACCTGACACCCTCACGCATGGCCAAGACGTCGAGGTCGCTGGCAAAGAAGTTAAGGTTGATGTTGGGCTGCTGAAGAGGGTCGGTGCTGTTCAGGGTAACCTGACCACCCTCAGACACGGGGCGAAGGAGATCGACAATAACGGTCATGTAGCTACCAGATGGGGGCACAGGGTAATGCCACTGGAAGGCAGAGCTGAAGAGACCAACGAAGTCGAGTTCGAAGTGGGGCTGGCCAGCAGGACCGAAGGGGTCAAGGCCACCGTTAGCAGCCTTGGCCTCACGGTAAGCAGGGTAGCGGTTCAGGCGCTCATCGATACGAGGGAAGCCAACCAGCTCCAGGAAACCGGAAGCGGCCGGTCCAGTCTTGTCGCGGCGGTAGGCAGCAACAGCAGCCTCGTTGGCCGGTCCAGCGCGGTGAATGTGGTCATCAAGGCCCACACCATCCTTGAGGCGCAGGACGAAGGGCACAATCGGGTGGTCGAGGAGGTTCTTACCAACATGGGGAGAGTCAACGACCACATCGATGCCGTGCTTGTTCAGCTCAGCAGCAGGACCGATACCACTCAGAAGCAGGAGCTTAGGGGTCTCGAACACACCCTGGGAGACAATCACTTCGCGAGTAGCATAGAGATTGAGCTCAGCACCGTTGGTGGGGTCGATAACGGTCACACCAGTACAGGTTTGGGTGGTGCGGTCGATGATCAGGCGCTTGGAGTGGACCTGAGACAGGATAGTGACGTTCGGCTTGTTCTCGAGGTACAGCCAGCTACCTTGGCGCTCACCCTTGTAGATCGTGTCGACACAGTGGGTAAGACCGTGCATTTCACCGGAGTAAATGTCCTCGGAAAGCGGCTCGCCCTTGGAGGTCCAGGCAGTGGTGAGGGCATTCCGGAAGGTCTCGAGCTCAGGAACAAGCTCAGCGTGGGAGATCTGGACAGGCCCACCGGTACCGATCTTGTTCAGATCAGTGGGGTAGAGCTTCTCGTCATCGTGGTAGGTAGCACACTTGCGGAGGTACTCCACACAGTTGTCCCAGGTCCAGTCACTGCCACCGAACTCATACCAGTCATCAAAAGTGGCCTTAGATCCGGGGATCCAGGTAAAGTAGTTGGCACAAGAGCTACCACCAAGAGCTTTACCACGAGTGTTAGGCTTTTCAACACGCTCGTAGTCGTCACGCTTGATCATGGTAGTCTTGTAGGCCCAATCATACTGACTGCCACGGAGTCCGAAGGCCTTGGAAGGGGTGGTGATGTCCTCGATCTGGCCGGAGTTGGCAACACCAGCTTCGACGACGAGAACACGAACGCTGGGGTTCTCGGAAAGGCGACCAGCAATAGCATTGCCAGCGGTGCCACCTCCGACGACGATGAAGTCGTATTGGTTGTTGTTGACTTGGGCACTCATGGTGATGGTTGGAGTAATAGCAATAGTGATTCTATTGTAAATTGAATTGAAAGATTTGGAAGAAGGTTGTTATTGTTGTTGTCTTGCTGTTTTTGTTTTTGTAGTAACTGTTATTGTTGTGATGATGATAAGAAGATGTCTTTGGTGCTGGAATCCATGGTTCTTTTATACTGACATCCTCTATAGGATTGATGCTCCAGACTTTCAAAGACATCGTCATTAATGAGGGGGGTGCCGACTTTCCGTGGTGGATTGTGAAGGTTTTCGAAAATAGCTCATGGAAGATGATGCATTCAGAGAAAGTAAGGTCGAGCTAAGGCTGAGCTAAGATTGACCAAGAATGACCGTAGAAAATCCGACGGTGGAGATGGTTCGGCGATCGATCGGACGCCAGATACTACTTCCGAAAGGGGACATAGTAACAGGAACACGGGACTTTTAGCACCCATCCTCTAAATAGTCATACTCAGAAAAGCCACTTGTGGCGCGCTGCGCTCGCTTTTCACGTGATATTGGCCTTCCCCTCACGCGGGTACGCGGGCATGCTGGGTTTCAATTTTCCCCTCATGAGGGGAAACCATCACGAAACGGAAATAGTGAGGGTTTTTACTGCTCCACTATAGCTTCAATTTTCTCGTATCCACAAATTTTTGCGTGCCACTGACGATTTTCGAATTACACCTCATAGCGATAAGGAAGCCCGAATACTCCCAATGAGGCGTCAGCACCGGGCCGAGTATCCACCTCCGAGAATAGGCCGGAGACCTTCAATGGGGAATGTGGATGTCAAATTGTGTCAGTCCACATCTAAGAGAAAAAATATATATAGGGGCGATGGGCCTAGATTGGTGTGAACCCCAGATTCCTCCATTTGTACTCCAGAAATAACAATAGAGTCATTGCGTCAGACATCTACTCATTCTCCATTCATACAACCCACATCAACATGATCAAGAAGACACCACATCAGTATACTTTGGCTGAGGGTAGGCATTCATAAAACATAACAAGTCAACAACCTTGGCTGACGGGTGTATTTGTAGGGCAACCTATTTCGGACCCCTCGGTCTCCACGACTCTCCCAACTTTCGGTGGTGGCAGCTTGGTTACCCTTGCCGACACGACGCTTCTCGAGACTCTGGCCCATTTCAACCGTGAACGGATCCCGGAAAGGTAATTGCCAGACAGCTGGTCACTTGTGGTTTACTTGATTACTTACTCTGGTTAGAGTTGTCCATGCCAAAGCAGCTGGTGCTTGGGGAGAGTTCGAAGTTACCCATGATATCTCCCATCTCACTAGTGCCAAGTTCCTCAACGGAGTTGGCAAGAAGACGCCGGTTCTTTGCAGAATCAGTACCACTGGTGGTGAGAAGGGTAGTGCCGATACGGTTCGCGATGTCCGTGGCTTCGGTGTGAAGTTCTTCACTGAGGAGGGTAACCACGATATTGTTGGCAATCACACGGTATGATTCATCGTATACACATGATATACCTGTAACAGTCATACTAATCATAGCAGCCCGTTTTCTGGGTCCGGGATCCTATCAAGTTCCCGGCAGTCAACCGCGCCCACAAGAAGCACCCGCAAACAAACGCACATGATTTCACAATGGTAAGGGCAACACCTGCTCCTTGGGTTTCCGCAATTGCTCACTTCAATCCAAGTTCTGGGATTTCCATGTCAACAGCCCCGAGAGTGTCCACGGTCTTCTTCATCTGTTCGGCTCCCGCGGTATCCCTTCCTCCGTCCGTCGCATCACTGGTTTCGGTCTCCACACCTTCAAGCTTGTCGCTCCCGATGGATCCTTCAATTACTGCAAGTTCCACTTCCGCCCCGAGCAAGGCGTCGGCAACCTTTCCGAAGACGAAGCTACACGCCTTGCTGGCGCCAATGCTGATTACCATACTACGGAGTTGTTCGATTCGATCGCACGTAAGAACTACCCAGTCTGGGGTCTCTACATCCAGGTTATGACGCCTCAGGAGGCCGAGAAGGCCGGCCTGATGACCTTTGACATCACCAAGGTCTGGCCACACAAGGACTTCCCCCTCATTCCGGTTGGCAAGATGACATTGAATAGAAACGTAAGGGCTACTCCGACCCCCCAACTGAGCTGCATTCCATACTAAAACAAACATCTAGGCTGCCAACTACTTTGCCGAAATCGAGCAGGCAGCATTCTCTCCATCCAATATGGTTCCCGGTATCACCTACACGCCGGATCCCAGTATGTGAAACCATATTTTCAATCCGCTAAATGCATGTCGAATCTAGTGCTGATCAACCCTTTCAATAGTGCTCCAAGCTCGCATGTTCGCCTACCCTGACGCTCAACGTTATCGTCTCGGAGCCAACTACACCCATCTGCCACCAAACCGACCCGTTGCACCTGTATATGCTCCCTTTGAGCGTGACGGTCTGACCCAGACCAGCAACTACGGCGCAGACCCGAACTACCAACCCAGTATGTTTACGCCTGCAGTCCAGGCGCAGCAGTCTACACAGGACGTGCGTCATGCAGAGTTCCTTAAGGGCGCTGTCCTGGGATTGAACAATATCCCTGTGACCGAAGCCG